GGGAATTAGTGGTACATGGCCTCGCCGTGTCAACAGGCATCCGTATATTTGATGTAATATCCACGCCAAATATCGAGAGCCTCTACCTCGTGGATATGAATTGCTCCGCAATATCTGCTATTCACAGATTCATGACACGGTCTTATCCGGATGCGTTCCAGTCCTTGCGCGTGCTACGGTATATCAGGTGCGAGTTTAGCGAGGACATGGACATCCATTTCCTTCGCGCAACCCCTGGTATCTCCCAACTGCTCATACCTATCGATAAAACAAATTACCTGATACGCATGCTCGTGAACAGTGACAAACAAGCAGCCATTCACGGCTGCGCACCACTGTGGCCAGAGTTGCGCACTGTTACCCTGCACACACCTGGGTACTGTGCGCAGGTGGTTGGCGCGGGCGGTGTCCCCGACGACGAGCCTTCGCCTACGATGAACCTCCTTCAGGAACTGGTTACAGGGCGAAAGATGTTGGGCAGACCGCTAAGCAAGCTCTGCTTTAAAGGACCAAATGCAGGACCCTTTGCGAACGAGTTCCACTGGGGGCTCAATCGAACGAAACACTTCGTACATACCGAAGTTGTTTTCTGTCAAATCCCTGCTTTATCACAGGATGGAGGACAGGAATACGACTGGGCTGTCGTCGCTGAGGCATATGGTATGCAGTTGCGGCAGTTTCTTCAGCAGGTTCAAGGCATACGGCATCAGCTAGCTACTATTCTTCCACCTAACTTTTCGTTCCAGCAGCTACGAAGACGAGTAGACGGGCCAGCATGATAGATATTTTACGAGAAAATCTGACTCACACCTTTCGCGTACTTGATCACCATCAGTTTCGGAGCATTAGTATTCGACATTTATTCATGGTCTTTAAGACGTTATATTTCGTTCTTCATAATTTCGATTTGGGACGTTCTAGGTCTCGTGCTTCTTTACCGAATGCTCCCTCAGTGACAAGTTGCCTCATGTTCTCTTCAGACAATCCGAGTTCTCTGAGAATGTCTGCTGTGTGTTTCCCTGGATCTAGTGTTTTGATTTCGTCTGGTAGAGGTGATGGTGATGTTCTGCTCAGCTCCGGATGGGGACTAGGGTAGATAGATCCATGGAGTTGAGCTGCTTCCGTGGGAGACAGGACTGGAACTGCGCAAGCATCAGTGCCTAATGATGGCAAATCAATCAGCATGAGAACCCTTCTGTGATGCAATACTTGCCGTGGAAAACCTCCGTCCAGAAATCTCTTGGTTGTGTTCTGAACCCATCTTCAAGATACCTGCGAAGTTCGGGCCAATCTTCCTTCGTAGACTGCGTCGACTGTGACGGTGACCAACTCCCTTGCTTTCCACTGGATTTCATGACCTCGTTGAATTTGCCAATAAACTGCGCAAAGAACTGGGGCTCCAAACACCCTACGCTCATCCACTTTCCGTCTGAGCAGGTGTAAACATCGTAGAATGGCGCGCCACTATCAAGGAGATTCGTGCCTCGCGGTCCTCCCCAGGCACCGCTCCCAACACTTAGAAGTGGAAAAGACGATACATAACGCGAACCAGAAACCTGCCACCTATATTTATAAATCATTGAGACTAAATGCCCCGGCACGTACCATGTCCACATTCACGACTTGTCCACGGCCACTCCTACCTCGCTCGATTATAGCCAGTAATATACCATTCGCACACAGTAGGCCGCCTCCAGCAAAGTCAGCAATTAGATTCAAAGGAAAGGTGGGCTTGTCGATGGTTCCCGGAAGCATCTGCAAGAGTTTAGACATGCTTCGTCAAAGTACAAGCGAGCCGCACGGAGAGAATGCCGCTAAGGGCGATATAATTGATATCATGACCTATGGCGGAAATCTTAAACAAAGCCACGCGTATGATGTTATAATACTTACCGGCCATAGTAGAGTGCGAGCCTTAAAATTGCTGAGAACATGCGAGAACATACACTTGGCATGCGTACCATTTCTTGGGAACCTTGAGGGAACATCAGTTGGATGGGATTTCAGAAGCTCATGTGTACCCTCACCCTGCGAGCCTTGCATATATAAGTTTGTCATTCAGACCTTCCCGCCTGTCATTGGTGTGAAATACGTCAGGACCGAGCCCTAGTTTCTCAAGCACTCCGGGTCTGAATGGATCAATGAGGACATCTGCTTCAGCAATGAGGTCCTTCGCGACTCGCACTCCGCTCGCAGTCTTCATGTCCAACACAATCGACCGCTTTCCCGTGCAAAGCAGATCTTTGGAAGTTGAGGAAGGGCGATCAATGCGGATGACGGATGCCCCATTGTGAGCGAGTACCAGACCTGCGAATGGACCCGGTGCCAGGCCTGCAAACTGTGGATGTTCGTCGTTTGTTTGTTTCACTTCAACTGCTACGTACTTCTACTACTTTGATGCCACTGAGCGACATTGGTTAGACACTCGACGTCGTTTGTAATCAGTGAGCAGGTAAATACTAGGACTCTCCTAGACAAGCGAAGGAAGATAGTAAACACGCACTTCCTCGGGTTGGTAGCCGAGCACTTCCGAGCTCCGGTTACTTAAGTTAGCCAAACAAGACTAATTATATCTTCAACTTCATCAGCAAATCCAAAATCCAGAAACGAGCCTTTGAGGCGCCGTTTGGGAACTATATTTAGTCGGTGTCGGCTCACGCGCCTTTTTAGTCGTTATTGCACCTTAGGCGATTCGGCTCCAGTGCAATACAATTTGCGACCACAAAAAATGGGCAAGAAACAATAAATAATATATTGTAAACCTATCTATACAGATAAACGTAAACTACAACCCTAAATCTGCCTCGCCGCGCGCGATGATTAGATTACATAGAGAAACATACCATTCTCTCAGTGCATCATCAAGACGGATTTGTCTTATCAGCACTATGATGGAATTATAGATATCATAAAACTGTTCAGCGGATGCGTCAACGTTTTCGTATGTACCCTCACGATATGCCTTGATGGCATTGTGAACTGCAGCCCCCGCAAGACCGAAGATGCAGTCGAGATTCTCCAAGTTGATGTTGGGATATAGCCCTTCCTGCCATATGACATCTACAATCATGTTCATTAAGTACTTGGCCTCCAAAAAACGCGTGGTTTCGACCCCATTGACCTATCAGTGTAATAATAAGTCGCTTTAATGTCGCACGATAAGACACTTACTATTTCAATCTTGTGCAGGAAGTTGAGTCCAGAGGAGAGGTACCCTTGTACTATGCCAGCCCTCTCCACGGGTGGGAGGCGTAAATTCAAAGCATCTAGAACGTTATGCGAGGCATATGTCTTGAATAGTCTCCACATATGCGACATTGACATCACCATCTCTTCGCGCACTTTCAGTGTCTCAAACAATTCATAGGGAACTAAACATGTATATATATATCAGCGATGTTCTTCATACAATCATTAGTACTCACCTTCTCCGATTGCGTTGATTCTGGCATCCCGCAACACATTCAAAATATGTGCATCTCATTGCCTGCATGTTGATGAAACGCCCTCTGTTCGCAACATTGTGTGACGGAGAAGCATTTTTGCCTCAGTCTTGATCGCCTTGATCTCGTCCTTTTTAAGCTTGACAGGTGCTACCAGACTAGCTGGAGTACTAGCTGAGGGACTAGCTGGAGGATTAGCTGCAGATGATGGAATCTCTATCTGTGCTGGCCTGGGTGCAGGTGTGGGAGGGAGATGTCGTTCGATAGTGCGTGGTCGGCCAACTGAATGTGTCGTCTGTAGCTCCTAGCCAAAGTAATTAGTATTAGCCATAAAAAAGAAAAAGAAAACATACATGAATTACACCACCACTAAATTCGCCCCGCTGAACCTCTCGTTCATGGGGCAACACAACACCTACTATTGTTGGTGCTGGTGCTGGTGCTGGTGCTTGCCCTGGCCCCGGACTGGGTGCACACAGTGCAGTGGCATCTTTGAGGTCCAATCGTGTATGATGCGCCACCCCAGAGCCTCCAAATTCGGATAAGTCGTGGTATTGAGGCTCTGGCTGATTGTAGAGGTCATCTTCCTGATCAAAGAGCTGATTGAAGAAGTCGGGCTGGGGAACATGATCATTAGGGTGGGGAGGGTGATCGTTGAGCTGGGGAGGGTGGTAGTCAAGCTGGGGAGGGTGGTAGTTGAGCTGGGGAGGGTGGTATTCAGGCTGGGAAGGGTGATAGTCAAGTTGGGGAGGGTGGTAGTCAAGCTGGGGAGGGTGGTAGTCAGGCTGGGAAGGGTGATAGTCAAGTTCGGGAGGGTGGTAGTCAGAGCCCACATATGTAGCTGTCGACATAGTTGATGAATGGTGAAGGTTTTCAGGGGCCTCTGGCTGATCTTCCGTGAGGCCAAGCTGGGTCACAATATCCCGACCCAATGTGTTTATATCTGAATTTCTTTTTGGTCAAGGAGGTTCCTAAACATTGTGTCAGTGTGTGCTTTGGATATAGTTCAAACACTTACCCTGTTCCTGTTGGATGTTCATCTTGCTTGTTGTGAGTGTTTTCGTGGGGGCATTAGTTGTGGACAGTCATCTTCCTATCTGTTTACAAATAAAATCACTTGCCACATTGGATTCACATGTAATTGAAGGGCACAACAAATGTATAAATCATATACATAAAATGTACAGACAAGATCAATAACAGGTCATAGGGGGCGATAATACGATCAAGATTTGAATTGAACAATGTAAAATGAAGGCTGTACTGTACATGTATCATCAATAAATCAGTACACGAGGTAGATTGAAGTAGGGTCTTGCACTCTTCCTATTCGTTGATAAGGCCACATGCCCTAAATTCTCATTGTTCTGATCAATAGATTAGGCTATCATCAGACTCCACATCACTGTGGGAGTCTGACAGTTCAGTATCGCTGCTGTTTGGGAAAGGGGTGGCACGCTTTCCAGCATGAGTCATGAATTGGTCATATTGCTCACTGGCAATGTCATAGTGGTCCAGTTCCTCCACAAAGACTGCCTTGAGGTAGTCTTTGTTGTCCTCCAATGCCAGGAGCCCCCAGGCAGTAATGAATCCCCTGAATATCTCCATTTCTGTCTCCGCCATCTTGAATTCACCTTCTTGATCCTGTTGGAGAGATTTCAGGAAAGATTTTTCCTGCCTATTACGTTCAAGCCTCCAGATGGTGTGCATGAGCTGGTGTCAGAGGTCTTCCCTGGTGGCTTGTTTCATGTGAACAGCCTTGTAGAAGGAATCATTGGACATGGGAGATAAACCTCTTTGGAGAAGTTCCATGCCCTGTATATTTTATTAGTCACAATACATTAAGTTCAAAAAAAAACTCTAACCTCATGTAAGTCTTGAAGGTTTAAAGCTTTGCATGAGCTGTCAAGAGTTTGCTTCTTTGCAAACTGGAGCTCATAGGGGGGGGAGTGATGGATGAGGCGTGGCCTGTACTGGGCACGCAACTGTTCATGAAAGCAAGAAATATGATCTTGCTTCATAAATGGTCATACTAAGGAGAGGCCGCAGCTACTGCTGCAGCTATGTTGAGCTCGTTTCCCCAAACGACTCAAGTGATCAAAGTCCAAGGAAGAGGTGGCACTGGACTGTTTCAAAGATCTAGGAGGGGATAGCAACATGGAACTAGACTGTGTAGAGGGGGATAGGTCGACACAAGTTGAGCTCGTAGTCTCAGAGTCAGACAGAGGAGGTGTGGACCTCTCAGAGAAACCATCCATATTGATGCTTGTAACATCAATATCCTGGCTGGTATGAAGATGAATGACACATACCACTATTTCCTAGCTAATCTGAGAGGGAGATTACAATGTGATGGGAGTATGTGCCAACCAGAGGGCAGAGTTTGAAGGACTTGGATGTTTTTCTTGCTGTGTTGATACTCGCTGAGCTGTTACTGCTGGTATGGAGGTCAATAATTCCACTGTATTGTCCAACCTTCAGGGAGGACAATCTGGACAATTCATTCTTGATAACAATTTGTAAGTTTTATGTCCTGAATGTACTCACCATGGTGAGCATCTGAATCAACTGGCAGATCATCTTCCGCAAAATGCCCTCAGTGCCTAATTGATCTGCCCTCCAGTGAGGCAATAGTAGAACACCTGCAGCAAGGTGATGGTTGCTGGCCTCAAATTGAAAATTGTTGTATTCCTGTTCTACCTGCATTCCTTCATTCTGCCTTGGAAGCAGGCAAAGACCATGTCTCAGGACAGTACCACCCATCTTCTGGCTATATCTTTGGCAAGGTGCCAAACATCCTCGAGGCCATGGAAAGTGACCAATTTGCTTATTGGTGAGTGAACACTCTGTTTTACCCCTTTCAAGACCAAGCAGAGTTTGAACTTGGCAAATTCCTCTGTGAGCGGCTCACACAAAGTGATGTTGACTGATTTCTCAAACTCGAATGGGTCTGTTTGGTGTGAAATTCTTCTATCCACACATAGGACTAACTTTCAGCACACAGGTATGCCGAGCTAAACCATTGTTTGGCTCAAAAGACCAGCTGCTTGCATGGATGGGTTCTCTTCCCACCAGACCAAAATGGTGTTCAACGACACTTGAAATAACAGGCTATCCAACTGTCCAACCAGTACAGCTCATCTGGCGTGATGGCTTAGAAGTAGTGGAAGATCTCTTCACCAATCCAATTTTCGCAAACCACATGACATATGACCCACACATCATGGTCGACGGTGATGAGTGTGAGTATAGTGAATATTTTATGGCGCGACAAGCATTCGAGATTCAGGTAAAATCCCACAACTTACTTATGGTGATTGACTGATGCTTTGGTACAGGACCAACTTCCCAAAGGCACTACCATAGTTCCAATAGTCATTGCATCTGACAAGACACCCGTGACATGGCACACTGGAGGGCTTGAAATGCACCCTATCTTTGTCTCAATCGCTAATATTCAGTCTGATGTATGAATGAGAGCAACGAGTCATGCTTGGCAATGTGTTGGCTTCATGCCAATTCCAAAATTCGCCAACATCCATTCTGACTACCAAACTATTCTAAGTCAATGGCTGTTTCATAAGTGCATGGATATTATCTTCGCAAATGCCAAGGTTGCAGCCATGACAGGCAAATTTATGCCTGATCCATCTGGCCATGTATGACACTGCTTCACACCTCTGGCTGCTTACACCACAGATTTGCCAGAACAGCAAGTGATCACATGTGTCTCAAAGGTCGCTTCTCCTATTACGTTGGCCACCTCTCAATCCTTTGGCAACAACTATTGCCACGCACCACGCACAAAGGAACACACCCTTTTGGTGATATACGACATCTGTCAATGCATTGATCCGTGGAGGCTACGCGAATTCCAGGAGGAAGCGAAGGCTCATTCGTTAAGTGGTGTTCACCAACCATTTTGGTGGAGCTGGTGGTTCACAGATCCTTCTCGCTTCTTAGCAGGAGAAGTTCTCCACACCTGCCATAAATTCTTTTTTGATCATCCATTCAAGTGGTGCAAAGAACTAGTGGGTAAGGATGAACTCAATGCCCAATTCAAAAGTCACCACAAGTGAGTAGGAATGTGCCATTTTTCATCTGGAGTGTGCCAGATGAAACAAATGACTGGCCGAGAACACCAGGACTTGCAATGCACCTTAGTGCCTTCCATTGCTGGGGTTGTGCCTCCCCAGTTTGTCCACATGATCTGCACTTTGACTGACTTTGTTTACAAGGCTCAAAGCCCTGTTTATACAGATACCTCCATTGATTCCATGGTTGCATCTCTCAAAGAGTTTCATGACCATAAGCAAGCAATTCTTGATGCAGGAGCTAGATGAGGCATGAAAGGAACAATTGACCACTTCCTCATCCCAAAGCTAGAACTTTTACAGAGCTTCGCTACGTTCACGAAGGATATAGGCACTCTCATTCAATGGATGGCTGATGTCACTGAGTGCCTTCTCATCACTCATTGCAAGCTTCCATTTGAAAGGACATCCCACCAATCATGCACATTTACAGAGCAGATTGTCGATATTCTCAACCGTGAGGAGTCAATGTGACAATTTCAGCTGTATCTCTTCCTACAGATGCACAACACCCCCCTCACCAATGCTATAGTCACAGAAGAGCAAGAGATCACTGAAACCAACCCTGCCCTCGCATGGATCGCCTGCGTCGTGCCTGGTGATCCCAATCAGCATTGTTTCATCAGACCCCGTCCGGTTTGGAACCATTTTCTGAAGGGCATACTGTCTTCCACTGTGACGACTGCCTTCCACATTACCGTTGCTCCTGATAGAGCCAAGACGTCTATCAATGAAGTTCAGCAACTCTATACATTGCTGGATTTTGGACAATTACTATCTGATTACATTGTGAAGGCCTCTAATGGCCAACCTGCAATGTCATGGAGTTGTGATCGTGGTCGTGTTAAGACTTGGAACAAGTTTCGATTACAGCTGCATTCCGTATTTCACTTGCGGCTGATTATGCCTAGTCAGGTCATTCAAGCCAGTCCGCCTTCACAAATATTTCCTCTGGGAAATTGTGATGCAGTTATCGTGCAGTCATCACATGGCGACCAGATGGGTAAGATTTATTTTATGCAACTATATATCACTAATTGAAGTTTATGTAGTAAATCTTATTGCGCAAGTGTGAGCTATCTTCCAGCCCATTCTGCCTCGTCACACCACACTTCCCCACTACCTTGCAGATCAACCACTGATTTATGTACAATATTATGAGGTCATCAGTCATCCACATGATCAGCCTGCTGTCAGCATGTATACGGTAGCCCGAAAATATCATGATGGGCCTGGCAGTCAGAGGATGAGATTGGGCACAGTTATCCCTCTAACAGATGTTACACATGCAGTAGAACTTATCCCTGTGTATGGCGAAGGAACTAACTGTAGAGTGGGTGCAGAAACTAGCATGGAGGTGTACGAGCGCTTTTACTTGAATAATTTCTCGGACAAGGAAGTGTATCATACCTTGCGCTCAGACTTGCACTAGTTACATTTTTTGTTAGCTTGCAGCTCACCTGCATTATGTTTTCTGCTTTATCTATCTTCAGCGGAATGCGAGAGATTACATGTAATCAAAATGTTCGATTCTCCATCTCTCGTAAGTTTAGAATAGCGAAATAAAATGATACCAAAGAAATAAAATAACAACTGTAAAAGCATCTCCACCAATCGCGTGAGTGTGCTACTGAAGTCGTAAGCGTTCGTAAGCGTCCGTAAAGCGCTTAAGCTAAGCGTTCATTTCAGTGGTTTTGCAGATGTTGAACTCCCTCACGGCGTGACGTGCTGATCATAGTGGAATTGGAAGTTGACCCCTTGGAAAGCTTCGCCGAGCCCGCACTGCGACCTGTCATTTCTTTGGACATATGGTTAGTCCTGAAATTTGAATTCATCGTGGACCGTCCGTATAAAATACCGCAAGGTGTGATAAAATGGTATTTGACCTCACCTGTTTCTTCCTGGGGGATGTGGTTCTTGTCTACAGTTCTGCCTTGCGTTGCACTGGCATCTGCGAGACATGCTCTTATGTCCCGCGATGATACCAGTCTGTCCAAATTGACGCTATCCGGCCCAGCTTCGCTTCCGATAGACGCAACACCACCCTTAAACCCTGCCCTCGCAAGCTTCAGTATTGAAACCACCTCCTTTGAAGAATTTATGGGAAACCAATCCTATCCAAACCAGTTTTCTCAGAATCTCTTTGAGAACCTAAAAGAGAGGACTGGGGTTTCAGCCGAAGTACGCATTGGTGGTATCACCGCTGACTCGACATTCTGGGATCCGAATCAGGAGGCTGCACTATACAATTTCATCGATAGTAGGGGTGCACTAATAAACACTACACTGGGACCCCAGTTTTGGAACACTGTGAAGCTTTTACCACAAGGGACGAAGATCGTCATGACGCTCGTGAGTCATTTACTTATCAGATCATTGGGTGTCGGTCTCTGACTGGCCCGTGTAGGATCTAAAAAGCTTGAATTATACCGGAACCCTTGGTATGGCTGAGGCAGCATGGATGGGTCTTGGTTCACGCCGGATTTCTCGCTTCGAAAGTGAGTCATTCGATTCTCCCACTGACGCTTCCCGGTCCGACTATACCCCGTCTTCAGTAGGAAATGAGCCAGATCAATATTACCTCGACCTTGATGCTCAGACTTATACCGCTATATGGGAGGTATTTCTATTTCTATCTTTATCTCCTTGGTGGTGCGGTCTTACACGTTCTGTATTTAGCCGTGGACTATCAATATCTCGAAGGCATTGGGCATTGATTATCCCGAGTTCCAGATTGGGGCGACTGCTCAAGACCCTTTTTGGCCGTATAACACCCCGCAAGCAGATGCACAGTTTGACTGTGTTAGTGCTCTGGCTGCCGGGGCCAACGATGGACACACTGTCCATGACGTGTAGCGAACATACATACCAGTACAGCGTGAGGGAGCTCCCAACTGACCCACGCCCAACTTGAACCTCAAATAGCTTTTATTTGTAGGTTTGTGATCCGACTAGGGCTGCCGTAGCTACGTTGACCAACCTGGTAAGCTGTTGATTAACCATCGCAACTGTTAATTGCGATGAGGATTTAGGTGAATCACACGCTTGGCTGAGTAAGTCATATTTGTTGCTATGATCATAACACACTAATCTTCTGGAGATATTTGGATCTTTGGCAGCCACGTATTCACAGCGTGCGCGTTCAGCTTGGACCTGATGCCTTTGTTATTGGTGAGGCAAATCGTAAGATTAAATATTGAATATATATTGACCCACGACGAAGGTGAATTCAATTCTGTCTCCTGTGGTGGACGGGCCAATGTCAGCAACACATTTGGTCAAGCTATGTGGCTGGTATGTCGATAAAAAACGCATTTCGTGACATCCGAGCATTTTTGTAGTTAGACACGACCCTCTACGCGGCTTCAATCAATGTCTCACGGTAAGTGAACAGGGTGCATCGATGAGCTTGCGGCTTAATCTTACCTCCAGTTTGTATGTACATCAAGGTGGACCTCCTGCACACTACAACCTCTGGTATGTCATCTCAGAATATGTGACTTTACAACATCTTGGGACTGATGTTAATGCCACAGGTACCCTGTTGATAGCAAGAACGGCCCTATCCAAGTCTTTCCGTCATATTCGGCTTACCTCTTCGTAGCTGAGGCCATTGGTTACTCGAGGTCACTGCGCCTTTCAAATATCTTCCCAGGGCGACAAGCCAATGGATCGTCAATTACGACCGCAGGTGGTGATCCTTCTGCTGGTCAGATCTCGGTATATGGTTTCTGGGATGAAACATCCGTTGGCAGCTATGATTACCCAACTAAGATCGCGCTCCTAAACCTTGAGCTATACAACCAGACGGATTCGTACCCTCGTCCTAATATCGCAATCGACGTATCTGCGTATTTGCGGAAGAAGACTCAAGAAGTAATAGTCAAGAGGCTGACAGCCCCAGGGGCTGATGTCCTATCAGCCGAATTAACGACTTGGGCAGGGCAAACTTTTGCCTCTGGCGTTGCAGAAGGCAACATTGTGGAAGAAAAAGTGTACAATGGACAAGTGGTCGTCGAGGCTTCCTCTGCTGCTCTGGTGTATTGGTAAACGCAGTGTAGCACGCCAGTGAAAAAATGTTGATCCTGGACATTGCTATAGAAGTGAGTCGGTTATTATATTATTATCTCCCGTCAGTCCCAAGCATAAACAACCTGGTCTTGAGGAGCGAAGCAAGAGACGACGATGTTCTCGAGCAGGATTCAGGTCTGTAGAACCTTCTGTGAGGTTGGTGCCTGGAGGCCTCATTGTTCGTAGCGAATAAGTACCTGGTGCAAATAAGGCTCGCCAGAGCTACAAGCCCAGGCACCTGCACGCACGGGGTTTGGGTGCAGCAAAGATCTATACAGAAAATGCGGGACTCAGCATATGACTGTCGCTAATGGAATTATCGAGGCTGACGGTCACCGGTTCACAAGCATCAATTAAAATAAGGATCCGGCGAAATCACTGATGGCTAAGCCATGTGCATAACCACTCAACATTATGAGGCTTACTCATTGGAAGGTCAGGTGAGTATCTCTACAGTATTCATTTCTTTGCTTGTTTGTCAGTGATAGCATTGGAGGGCATAGTCAAGCAAGACCAAATATCTTCAACAACTCCCTCACGTGCCGATCATGGTGCTTCACACCAACGTTCTGTGACCTGTCAATTCTTTGGACATGTGGACATTCCTGAATTCATTGCGGACCGGTGCTCATGCCCTCTTTCCGTCTGTATAAAATACTGCAAGACGTGGTAAAATGGTATTTTTTGACCCCACTGCCTGTTTCTTTCTGCGGGATGTGGTTCTTGTCTACAGTTCTACTTTGTGTCCCGTGGTATCTGCGAGACATGCTCTTATATCTCGCGATGATACCAGTCTGTCCAAGTTGACGCTATCTGGCCCAGCTTCGCTCCCAATAGACGCAACACCACCCTTAAACCCTGCCCTCGCAAGTTTCAGTATTGAAACTGCCTTCTTTGAAGAATACATGGGAAACCAATCCTATCCGAATACACTTTCTCAGAATCTGTTTGAGAACCTAAAAGAGAGGACTGGGGTTCCAGCCGAAGTGCGCATTGGTGGCATCACCGCTGACTCGACATTCTGGGATCCGAATCAGGAGGCTGCACTGTACAATTTCATCAACAGCACGGGTGCACTGATAAACACTACACTTGGACCCCAGTTTTGGAACACTGTGAAGCTTTTACCAGAAGGGACGAAGATCGTCATGACGCTCGTGAGTCATTTACTTGTCAGATCACCGGGTGTCGGCACCTGACTGGTCCGTGTAGGATCTAGAGAGCTTGAATTATACTGGAGCTCTTGACATGGCTGAGGCAGCGTGGATGGGTCTTGGTTCAAGCCAAATTTCTCGCTTTGAAGGTGAGTCATTCGATTCTCTTACTGATGCTCCCCGGTCCGACTATTTTCCGTCTTCAGTAGGAAATGAGCCAGATCAGTATTACCTTGACCTCGACGCCCAGAACTATACCGCTATATGGGAGGTATTTCCATTTCTATTTTTGTCTCCTTGATGGTGAGGTCTTACACGCTCTGTATCTAGCCGTGGACTATCAATATCTCGAAGGCGTTGGGCATTGATTATCCCGAGTTCCAAATTGGGGCGACTGTTATAGACCCTTTGTGGCCGTATAACACCCCGCAAGCAGACGCGCAGTTTAATTGTGTTAGTGCTCTGGCTGCTGGGGCCAACGATGGACACACTGCCATGACGTGTAGCGAACACACATACCAGTACAGCGTGAGGAGGTTTCCGATTGACCCACACGCGACCTAAAATAGCCTTTATTTATAGGTTTGTGATCCAACTAGGGCTGCTGTAGCTACATTGACCAACCTGGTAAGCTGTCGATTATTCATCGCAACTGTTAACTGTAATAAGGATTTAGGTGAATCATACACGCTTGGCTGAGTAAGTCACCTATTGCTATGATCACAGCACACTAATCTCCAGTAGATATTTGGATCTTTGGCAGCCCCGTATCCATAGCGTTCGCGCCCAACTCGGACCTGATGCCTTTGTTATCGGTGAGGTTGTAAGATTGAATATTGAATATATGTTGACCCATGACGAAGGTGAATTCAATTCCGTCTCTTGTTCTGGACGGGCCAATGTCAGCAACACATTCGGTCAAGCTATGTGGCTGGTACGTTGATAAAAGGAGTACATTTCTTGACATCTGAATATTTTTATAGTTAGATACGACGCTCTACGCGGCTTCAATCAATGTCTCACGGTACGTGACCGGGGTACATCGATGAACTTGCAGCTTAATCTCATCTCTAGTGTTTATGTGCATCAAGGTGGACCTCTTGCACTGCAGAGCTCTACGCAGCTCAATCACGGCGGGCTCTCACTCTACAACCTCTGGTATGTCATCTCACAATATGTGACTTTACGACGTCTTGGGACTGACGTCGACTCCATAGGTACCCAGTTGAAAACCAGAACGGCCCTATCCAAGTGTTCCCGGCATATTCGGCCTACCTCTTCGTGACTGAGGCCATTGGTTATTCGAGGTCACTGCGCCTTTCAAATATCTTCCCAGGGCGACAAGCCAATGGATCGTCAATTACGACCGCAGGTGGTGATCCTTCTGCTGGTCAGATCTCGATATATGGTTTCTGGGATGAAACATCCGCCGACAGCTATGATTACCCAACTAAGCTCGCGCTCCTAAACCTTGAGCTGTACAACCAGACGGATTCGTACCCTCGTCCTAATATCACGATCGACATATCTGCGTATTTGCCGAAGAGCTCAAGAAGTAACGGTCAAGAGGCTGACAGCCCCAGGGGCTGATGTCCTGTCAGCCGAATTAACGACTTGGGCAGGGCAAACTTTTGCCTCTGGCGTTGCAGAAGGCGATGTTGTCGAGGAAACAGTGTCCAATGGACAAGTGGTCGTCGAGGCTTCCTCTGCTGCTCTGGTGTATTGGTAAACGCAGTGTAGCATGCCAGTGAAAATGTTCATCCTAAGTGTTGCTATAGAAGTGAGTCGGTTATTATATTATCATCTCCTGCCAGTCCCAAGCATAAACAGCATGACTCTGAGGAATGAAGCAAGAGACAACTGATGATCGATTCAAATCTGTAGTGCCTTCTGCGTAATGCTCGGGGCGAAAGATCGACGTCGCGACGACTATCGTTGGTGCCTAGAGGCCTCATTGTTCGTGGCGAATAAGTATCAACCTGATGCAAATAAGGCCCTCCAAAGCTACGAGCCCAGGCAGGGCCCGCATGCAGCGCAGATCCATGGTACAGAAAATGTGGGACTCGGCATCTGACTGTCGCTAATGAGCACAATGTCTTGTTGAGGGCTGGTGGTCAATGCGCCAGTTCTTCCGAGAGATGAGGCAAAGGTACTGATTTCTTTGGTATGTGAGAGTACTGATATGCGGTTGAACAATCTATTCTCACAGCAGTGAAATGGAATAGCCGCGCGGCCCCAATGGAGTTTGGCCGGTCAGATGTCAAAACAGGATATCGAAAATGGTTCCTTTGAGGCGTTCGATATGTACGAGGAGAGCAAGCTACAAAATACGACGAGCGCGAATATCAGCTGCAAGCCTGTATGAACAGACCATCTCTGAGCCGGTTACGCCCGGAATCTCTCGGACGTTGCCAAGAATATAGGGGAAATTCGGACACTCACCAGACACTCACTCAACCGAACTCCCACAGACACATAACTCATCAACAAGTCCTTTTAATAACATCGCACGCGTACTAGCTTTGCCAACATGCACGATCAGTGGGAAAGCATCATTTTTGAGGATCCAAGGTCTAAGCACCCTATGCTTCCTCTCGTAATCAAAGTTATGCATTGCATCTACCGCACTGTTAATCCCACACGTCCACCGCCACCCACAGTAATGAAATGGCGGTACTCGCAAAGCCTTTCCTACCAGGTACATGAGGATGGATGCGTGCCGTCAATTGTTATCCTCAACCTCCGAGAGGGCAAATGAGATTCAACCATGAAAACCCTCTTCACGGTCAACTTAAACACCATGACGGTCAACGATAGGGCTCGAAACAGGCATTTTCCTGTACCTAATGAGATTGACTCTTCCCTAAGGGACCTTGAAGAGTACGTGAGGAGAATTGTCCGGGAGAAAAAGGAAGCAGAAATGGAGGAAGCACGTTGCCAACAGGCAAGTAAGCAACGTAGCTCCAAGGGCTTTCTTAACTTTCTACCTCACTTGTACAGGCCTTTTATCGCTGTCTTTTCGACAAAGGTCTGATCGATGAAGATTACGGAAAGTCGTTTTCCATCGACAGTCTGCTTTGCCCTATCTGTTCATCGGAGCAGACATCGTGCAGCAAGTGCAAAATTATTTCGTGTTCCAACAATGATTGTGCAGCCTCCTCTGCCGTCCCCATTGTACGGCGTTCCCAGGTCTTTCATCAAGCAAGGCAATTCTGTACTTCATGTTTGGAGTCTCCAGGTTCCCTGCCTCAGCTGGGAAAATGACCCATATGTTCACGCTTCTTCTGCTCAGGAGAGCTCGATTGGTGCGTTGGACGCCCAATTTCTAACGACTGCGCCATCGCAACTTCTTTATCAAACCCGGGATAACTCGAGTACACTCACCGCGGCCCTTGTTCTGCAACACCACAGCCTGCATGGCAAACAGTCAAAATGGCAGAAGAGATGGTCGTCAGTGCTCCAACCCTGGTTGCTGGTCCATTCGGCACCGCAACACCAAAGTGTGTCCCGAATGCATCACGCAGGATAGCTTTTCCTGCCCATGTGGTCGGTACTGGACTTGCAGCAGTTGCGAGTCGCAGTCTTCGACCATTCGTAGGATTCTTACGTGCCCTCGGTGCCTTCAGTGTTTCTGCACATGGTGCTCATACATCAATGCTTGCGAGCTATGCCGACGTGTGGGACTCTGTAATGACTGCATGGAAGAAGCGAGCGAAGAAACTGAGCATAGGACCGGGCGGAAACCTTTTCCAGTGCCAGAACTGCCAAGGTCATTTATGCAACACATGCGACGATGGTGGGAAATCTCGTTGTACATGTAATCAAATCCTTTGCAAACTTTGTGAAGAAGAGGTTTGTGATTATTCTGGTATCACTGTCCGTACTGAATGCAAAGTATTGACTGAACAGTGCCAACGTTGTGCTCATTTCCGCCGGGTGAGTGATTGCGAACCTCTATTTTTCGACGTTGTTCTTATCACCTTACAGCTCTGCGATAATGACTTCGGTTTTTTTGAATTTGGCTCTGGCGATGAAATGACTTACCACAATTTCTAGTAATTCAACGTTCAAGTTTTATCAGTACTTAATATTGTTATTTCTAGTCTAATGTACTTATATCTTGCTAGTTCCTATTTCATCGTGCCGATTCCGATTCCCTTCAGTGTATCATTGTAATTACTGGCATTCACTCCATTTTTTTCCGGGCCTTGCTGAGCTCCGAGTAGAGTTTGACTAGCAATGGACGCTCAGTTTGCGATCAGCCTTTCAAGTCAGTTAGGAATGTCCTCAACCCATATTAATCCCAGTCTGCTTGTACTATGTGCATGTGTATTCGTTGGGAGCTCCCGTAGTGCATGACCTCAGTCGTTACGGTGCCGTTCAAGTTGGAATGAGACTGTGAGTCTACAGGTGCACGGCGAATTAGTCACCAATTTAGATTAGTAGAAAATCAATTCCTAACCCATACCCGGTTTGGAGCACAAAGGGACTGAGTTAGCATGACAATTCCGTATAATTTGAGCATCGCACAAGTGTAGGTAGGAGACTAGTAGCAGTGATGCAGCGTGTTACTTGTTTACCCAGTTCCATCTCTCTTTTGAAAATCAATACATCACAATGAGTATCACGACGAACGTACAAAAACACTATCGAGCCTCTGCAGAATACCTGACAGGCGTCAACAACTTGGAGCGTTTCTCTCGTGCTACATGCCATCGCCAGTTGACACGAATGCACGCTCCTGGAAAGCAATTGTACTTATGCCTGTCCCTGCATCGGAGTTGCCCACGAGCTTGGTGTGATACTCTCGAATGCTGAGGATGAGACGTGGTCCCAGCACAAACATCTGTATGATCGAGAAAATTTCAAGATGGGCAGTATAAATCAGAGTTCCAGTTTCCGATGCCTGTAGGAATGGAGATCAGTTGCCACATGCAGATGCGATTGACAGTCGGCATACACTGGTCTTCAAGTTCGGAGAGAAATGAATTGGAAGACAGAAACAGTAGCAAAGCTAGCGCCCACAGAACTTCAGTGGGAGAAGAAGCCGCATTCAATTACGAGCTCATCTGACAAAGTAAAGGACGTGAGTTTTCATTAACACCGTAAAACAGTCCCCGATAGTTGGTCCCGTCGATGATCGTGGCAGTTCACGGAAGTGTTTTACAGCAATCCAGACTGCAAGACACAATGCGAGGATCTCCCATGCAATGTAAAGTACCCAGACCATGGAATCAAGTGAGATATCACCTTCCCATTCATAAGTGCACTGATAGGTACCAGAGAGGATGAGCTCCTCTGGTATTCGTCCGATGAGCCTAATGCACTCTTTCGTCCTAGATCAGGCTTACCTCCTAACATATGAATATCTCCTATTGCAGTGATCACTCCGCAGGCGATCGTGAAAGTCACGAAGGTTACAACGAGAAAGATAAGTATCTTTCTGGACCGCTGATACATGGCATATAACCGCGTGATCACTATAACTTGCATGATGTTTCAGTTAAGTCTCACGAGGTATTGTAATTGAGTGGCTCACCATCCAGCATGGTATTTACCACTACTGTCATCCAATTTAGCGTAGAGTTCAAAATTTTGCCTGAAAATCCCAGTTAGTAATGAGCGTAGACTCGGGACCAAAATCTCACATTTGTTATGGTCATTATAACAAAAAAGCTAGCCAACAATGTCACTCACCCCTACATAGCAACGCACGTCATTGAACGAGAATGATAGGCCTCGGTGCAGAATACTCACTACATCTGTCACTGGGAGTGACGGAAGGCTTGCTGAATGCCAACGGTCAGAAGAAACGAACACGACGAATGTGGGGAAATATACGCAATATGTTGATGCTGATTGTGAAAGATGACTGATTAGCTCGGCGCCAACTTGTTAGAAGGCGTGAACATACACAGCATATAGTATTCCAATGTAGCGCACCTAGGACATTGTTGAAGTTAGGACGGCTTGCCAACTGCTATATAAGCTACATACACTGATATATAAAAGAGTTATGCGGGACCAACGTTGCATCTTGCCCGAGTTAATTGTATCATCCTGATGCTCATTTAATACTGCTCACCCAGATCAGCTCGAACTATAAAACCGTTCGCAGTGAGATGGCTGCTCCGGTTATGACGGCATCGACCTACCTCTTGTCCGAATGTCAAAGCTGAAAATGTCATAAGAGTACCAGCGGTGATCGGTAACATCTTGCTCACCCCAGTCATATATTACTGCAGCAGATGCGGAAACTGCGCAACCGCAGTGAAGTTTAAAGTTAGACATCACAGACATATCCAAATGGCTTTCCACGAACCTACGTAATAGCTGAAGCCACCCAACTCATCGATTAGCGGCCACCAACTGGGATCATCTGAGACGAAAGGTATATTTGATGGGTGCGATTGAGCAGCGAACTTGATGGTCATTTATCCAAACGCTGTACAGGTTAAAGCTGTTCGTGATGTTAGGAACTTGTTTCCAAATTCCGATGCCGTTCTCGCGACCCATGGATATTCTTGCCACACTTATATCAGTTTAGGAATTCCATCAGTAGGATCATCATGCTTAAGTAGAAGACATGCAATAATTGAAAAAAGCGTGCTGTCCTAATTTCTCAATGAACACAGACACTTCTCAATCTTGCTGACCTGCACTTGCGAGGCGTAACCGCAGGTAACCGCTTATTGACAAGACCGTGCTGTCGACATGATAAGTCAGAATTGAATCAATCGAATACGTCTTTGAACCCGGCAAACAGATAACTCACCTCTCCACATTTGACAGGTTGTCATCATGATCGCTGCTGCAACGCCTCCAAACACGCCTCAGATACCTGATCCAGTACGCCCAAAGTGCTCTCGGATATCGGGTTACATGATCTGAATGATGATGCACGTAGTAGATGCGGTTAATACCAGTAACCCACCGAATCTGACCGATCGATGTTGCATGCTGGTCGGACACGCCGATCCTGATTGATTAGTCTGGTCTAAATATAACGGAAAGAAACGACTCGGACACGCTTGAATCACCCCACAGGAAGCTAAACCTCAGTCTTCTTCTCTGCCGGAAGTGATTTGGTTCTTAATATTGGAGTAGTTGGTACCCACTGTATCGAATTACTCCGATCAGCTTACTTATAAACACTTGACAACATACCCGGCCCGTAGTAGCCCTGTTTGAATTCTCAGTGCTAGCACAGCAGCTTTCTCTGCTCGTGCCCATAATTTGTGCATGAACGCTCTGCGTGCTCGTTCCATAATGGCAAATGTTTGCAAAGTGCCCATCTCCTCATTGCCCCTGCCGCCGTCAAGCCACATCGTGACTCATAACCTTACCCCAGATCCAGTTACCCCGAATCTAGCAGAGTTCTTCTCTGATGTCTTGCCTAACAAACCAAGTCTGCAGAGGCGTGCAAGGCTACTCTCAAAAGAAGCACACTTCTCGTATGTGAATCCAATGCCACTAGAGTTTCCCTATGAAATTACACCGCCCGATCCACCTGCTGTCATCGAGGACAAGGCTGGTTACATCGAGCAGTGGCTCAGCGAGCGCGAAGCTCGTCATTCATATTCAGTTAGCGGACAAATTCAGCCTTCGTTGAACAAGTATACCTCCAAGCTTAGAGATAGGAAGAGGGAGCTCATCGGGTTGTCTGCGACATGCCTCAGAGACTGCCTGCCACATCTAGATGTTGGCGATGCCTTTGAAGTGCTGGGGAAACCAGCCTTGGCCCCTCTAATAGAAGAAGTTACTTCAATCTCTTCTCCAGAGGCTGAGGCTATCCGGCAGGAATTGGTGGATGTCTTGAGCGGCCATACCGTTCTGATGGCACCTGAGTCCAGCTCGGGTCCTAGCTTTGCACCCTGGTCCGCCAGGTACAGCGGCCACCAGTTTGGCGTCTGGGCTGGTCAACTTGGTGATGGTCGCGCCATTTCAATCCGTCAGTCATCTATCCCACGTCTGCTCCAGGACATCCTAACAGGTTGTTAGATGTGACACCGCACCCCGAAGACCCTGAAACCACATACGAACTACAACTAAAGGGTGCTGGGCGGACCCCCTTCTCCCGTACTGCGGATGGTTTAGCTGTGCTTCGCTCATCCATCCGAGAATACCTTTGCTCGGAAGGTGCAGATGTTCTTGTTGGTAGTACCGGGCTTGCACTAACTAAATCATAGCCATGCATGCACTCTCGATCCCAACTACCAGGTCATTAAGTCTAATCTCTCTCCCTGACTTACCAGTCATACGAGAGCGCTCAGAAACCGCCTGTATCTTCACACGCGTTGCAGAAACATTCATACGTATCGGCAACTTCGAAGCCCTCAGCCCTCCATCCAATTCTTTCTTCCTCGGCGGCGGTCAGCAAGACGCAAACTACGAAGCTTTACGACAGTTGGGTGAGTGGACTGCGAGGAGAGTGTTAAAGCTGGAAAACATCGACTGGGAGGCTGGTGGTGCTTGGGGTAAAGAGCTCCTGTTTGATGTTGCAAGACGAAATGCACGGATGGTGGCTGCTTGGCAGGCCTATGGATTTATGCATGGTGTTATGAACACGGACAAGTGAATTTCTCTTCCCACTTCCAGTTTTAGGCGACTAATTATATGGTTTCAGTATATCAATCCTTGGGCTGACGATAGATTACGGCCCATATGCTTTCATGGACGTCTTCGACTCTTATCATATCTGCAATCATAGTGACGGAGAGGGTCGTTATGCATACAAGGTGGGTCAAACACTGTTCACGCCCGCTCGTAAGCTGACACTCAAACCCAGTATCAGCCAAACATGATGTTGGTCTTTTAAGTTACAACTGTCTTCCGATATTCTAACAACACACTTGCAGCGTCTATGCCTGTCGTGCTCTCCTCGACGCACTCTCCCCACTCATCGGCGCAGAAGCCGCACAAGGCAACAAAGCAGTCCAATCCGGCTGGGCATCTTCAGTCACACCTGAAACGCTCGACTCATGGCGCAAAGTAGGCAAAGACCTTTCTAAAGTAGAAATGGAACAGATCATCGAAGAAACCTGCGCCATAGAATACGGAAACTTGATGCGCAAGCGCCTGGGGCTTCGTCGTCAGGAGAAAACGGACCAGCGGGAGATCGTGCAACCACTTTTGGACATGATGGAGGTACAGCAGTTAGACTTCCATGGCACTTTTAGACGGCTTGCGTTTTTCCACACTGGGATGATGAAGGAAGACAATAGTGAGAGAATGGAGGCATTCATCAAGGGGATCTTGACCGGGACGCCTGACCGGGATCGCATGGATCATGGCAAGGTTACTGAAGAATGGATGGCTTGGTTGGACAAGTACAGTGCGCGCATTGAAAGCGAGCGCCCTGGAGAAGAGTGGGCTGGTGAAGCTGACTTTGACAGCGCCAGGCAAGATGCCGCCAAAAGTGCGAACCCGCGTTTTGTGCTTAGACAATGGGTGCTTGAGGAGCTCATCAAGAAAGTTGAGGGGGACCATGAAAGTGGGAAACGTATCATGGCTAAAGTGATGCAGGTGAGACACCCACCATGCATATGCGGCTGACAGCAGCTCACTGTGCCCTAGATGGCATGCAAGCCTTTCGAACCGTGGGGAGCGGAAGGTGACGACATACCGAGCGATAATCTCCCAGCAGAGATAAGAGAGGAGAGGCGTCTGTGTGAGCTAGGAGACAAAAGACTTTTAGGCTTCCAATGCAGTTGCTCAAGTTGAAGTTGGTCAGAGGATATCTATCATCAACTAACAACCACACAGGCTACCAACATGGGCCCAATAACTATGTGGCGATGTATTCAAGCAGTTATAAATCATAATATAGTCCAAGGCAACTCGAAGCGCTGGCAAAAGCTTGCTAGCACCCATGCAACCAAAGAATTCAAGTCCAATCATTTTTCATTAACTAAAGCTTCTCGCGAAGCTTGCTGAAGCGCTTGAGTCGATCACTCGAGCACCCACTTACTGTGATTCGACCATCTTCCATCTGACAAGTAGTACAACGTTTAAGTGCTCGACTATCGTTGCCCCGGTCACGGACTTTGACATTCTGAAGGCTTTGCACAAGTAACAGCGTCCACATTTTCAAGTCTACCTCGTTCACGACTGAAGGTTCCTGCGAGAAGACACAGACGGTAGAGCTAGTGACCATAAATATAACAGATTTACTCAGGGACAAGGGCAAGATGGATAGCGAGTAGTACTAGTAATGCACAAGATTTAACACAACACGGAAATCAAGCTAAGCGCAAAACAAGCTGTTCCAATGCGAAAGGGTCAAGGAGTGTGACAAGGTGGGAGGGGTGAACGTTGATACCGGACCGTAAAGCGCCATGAAAACAGTATGAATGTGGGATGCGCGAGGAACAAATACGAAATAATGTATACGTACTCAAGATGGCAGTATGTATTGGTGCGAAATGAAGTTTGCACATATTAATGGAAAGCAAAGCGTGTTGTTTTGAAAGTGGATCATCTAAGTGGAACTTGCGTTGGGGGGTATGGGAAGGCTGTCACGCTCACGGCGTCAACTTCATCACAGGACATGATTGTTGAGTTGTGAGAGTAATGTGATGATCGCATGGACGACACGCGTAGACCTGCTTCTGCTGGCATGTCTAGTGCAGCGATGAGACATTGCATAGCGCGGGAATTGCTGGAGCTGGCGTCACTATTTGAGCGAGCCTCAACTTCAAGGAAAGGTCTTTGTGTGGGAGTATTTGAATCAGCGAAGGGGTTGGATCCGGGTGTGGTGTTAGCAAGGAGTGTGCGCTTTTGGGATTTCTCCTGCGCGTTGAAGAACGGATTGGTGACACGTCGGCTAATGCCGCTCTTGACGGAAGCCGCATCCGCGAAAGGATTGCGCGAATCGCCTGCTTCTGACATCTTTGAACCATATACGTCAATATGGCCAACTTCCGCACTCTCCCAGCGATGTGACCCAGACACGGTTGCGGGTGGAGTGAACTTGGCCATAGTCATTGTAGGTGACATGGTACCAGATAGACACGAGCGCATGGAGAGGAACGAATCCCCTCCGACAGTATCGCCATCCCATGAAATGGTTGGCACACCATCAGCTTGGGTACGGCCCATAAACCGCTGTACAGGTGGAGGTTTGGTGACAACCACGTAACCCAAATCTGCAGATTTTGATGCCATTTCCTCAGCCAAGCCAGGGTGATATTTGGCAAAGTGCTGCATCGTGCCTATGGACTCGCGGTTTCCATGGTCATCAGAGGACTTTTCTCCAGAGTTCGTGCTGGGTGTACGATTGAACATCGCACCCAACTTCTCCATCGGCCCGGATGGAGGCCTTGGGTACATATCCTGTTGGCCCTCCTTGTCATCGTTTAGGCGATTCCAAGGCTGTAGATGAGAGCGCTGACGGGACAAGTTGTTCGCAGCATTGCGGGACTGCGAAGTGGGGGAAGCGTTCCCACGACGCTGCGGCTTTTGTCGTCTTGAACAGTAGATCGCCAAAGAGATTACCAGTACGAGTAGGATGAATGCGCCCACGCAGGCGCCGATAACAGCGCTCAGTGATATGTTATTTCCAGAAGAGGAACTAGGCGAGGTGGTCACAGCAGATGCAGCTGATGACGAAGTCGGTAATGTGGACGGTGTCGAGGAAGCGAGCTGAATGCCCATCGAGGAACCCGAACCAGGTGCCGGTGTGGTGTTTTGGACGAGAGCAGTTGCGGTCGGTGAAGTGTCAGTGACTATCACGGATCCGGAGAGACCACCCAGCGAGCGTTGCTGGTACATGGTTGAATGGTATGATGGTGATTACAACGGAAATGACTGGAACGACCGAAGTCAAGAAAAGATTGTACCGCAGAATACCCGTACTACGGAAGATAATGAGAGTAATGGCCGGAAGATACACTATCAATGAGAATGAAATATAATGTTGTGAACGAATAGGCTTGCTGCCGAATAGGTTAATGACACCTAGCACTCAATCGAACGATAATACTTACAGTCAGTCGAACGAGCAAATAATTTGCACGTCGCTGCTCGTTGAGGCGCCGCCTTGGTCGCTGTCGCCGGCAATGTTGAAGAACTGTAGACAGCACTATTAACTAGTAAGCGCTGAGATGTGGCAAGATTGATAAGTTTTGTTTAGTTAGTTACTACGAAACGTAATCCTGCAGCCGATCCGCGGCAACATTCGGCTTTATGTTGAGGCAATGTGAATGGGATCATGACAACAACTTTTGGACAGTTGAAGTGTGCATTAATGTCATGGCAATAATCGGTTACAAATGGGAGAAAGGTTTGACTACTCCAGCATGGCGACGAACCACATGAAATGCCCAGTTTCCGAAAATCGTTCCTCCATGTCCCCACCTAATTCAGAACGCCGGCTTCTTCAATGCGATGTAGAAGAACCCCGTATTCGGGGAAGAGCAAGGTTGTCATCCTTTTCATGAATGCCAGCAGGGTATGATTCCTGAGCACCATATCCGCCCAGTACGGGTTCCCACTCGTTGCGAGCGTATTGGCGAGGAAAGCATAGACGATAAGATCAATGGATGTTGGTTGTTCGCTGTCGTGGAAATACGAATGGCCCGACATCCTTGCTTCGAGGGCTTCAAAAGCCTCTTTTTGCAAAGACTGAGCTTCTTCCTGGGAATGACGTCCCATCCCAGCGTTCCAAATTGACTCGATCACCTTCCTCCTAAAATACCAAGATATGATCGGCCGCATGGGCCAGGCCATGCTCCCAAATATCTCCTCGGCAGTCACTGCATAGTTTTCGTCTATGTACCACCGATCTCGAACGATTGCAGAATATAGCACCTCTTCAATATACGCCTGCCATGCTCTCGACTCGCCCTTCTGAGCAGGAGTCAAGCCGGCGGCGGCGTCCGGATCTTTAATGAGCCCGTTCTCGATGAGATAGCGGATGATAAAATGAGAATCTGGGATAGTGACAGTTTTCCCGTCATGCTTGATATCGGCGAAGGGAACTTTACCCTTGGGAGCTTTCATTGGGACTGTCTCGCCCACTTCGTATGATATGCCGCTAAATCTGAGGAATGTTTCCAGCTTTTGGCAGAAGCCGGACGAGCTAGGTGCATTGGGTGGCTTGGCGACACCCCAGAGTACGACATGGGGGTGTGACTCGAGTTCGGTGGACATGATCTGCAGGGATATATTGATTTTGAGTCAGAGGCCCATCAGATTTCAGCAATGGCGAGACAAACCTATTGAAGGCGACGTTCAGACTTGTAAGTTGAGATGCTAAATCTGTTGATAGTTTTATAATAATTTAGCGTTACACACCGATATGCAGAAGCACCAGGTTCAACTGCGGATGTGTTCATAATGACACAAACGGTTTGGCATGTCTTTGTCATTACTCAGAGATCCTGCGGCCGCAGTCAGGACTCAGCAAAGTCGGTTGACAATGAGGTACTACTAACCGCCAGGCCCATGTGCATGATAGCCAACTCGAAGCCTGGAGATTGTGCCTTGGAGCGCGTTATGTTTCACTGGTCCACGGTGCGTCATCACCAGTCACCTGTGCACCTTTCGAGTTCAGCACATCATACTATACGTGCAGTCGAGTTTGCGTTGGTTTTTGCTGCTGCGCCAGTGTGACACTCGTCACGTGCACGTGTCGCCGCCTAAGATCATCACCTATCATCACGGCATCAGGGTCTTCAAGCTTTCTTCAAGGGCCAGCCTCAAGCTGCACCTCGCACTGGTAAATCATGGAAAGCGAAGCAGAACCTACAACCCAGTAACCAGATCAATGGTATGTCTTGTTGGAATCCGAGAGTTCCGAGACAAGGAAGACCGATGGATCCGAGCAAGGCACGCACAGTGAGTAATGAGAGGTAGAGGTACGAGCACAGCCGAAAAGGGACAAAGGGCGAGCGACGCAGTGACGTCGGTCCTACTTTATTTTTCTGTTTCGTTTTAATACATTATTGTCGTCAACGTACTTACCTTAAAAACGCCAGTAGCAGCGTCCTGGCATCTCAGTTCTTTTCCAAGACACTGAGATGTGAGTAGGAATTCGTCACCTATACAATACAAAGTCTAATGCGATGTAGTGTACTTGTTCAATAGGTAGACGAACCCTTAACAAGAGTTCTTTTCCAAGACACTGAGATTGTACTTGTTCAATAGACTCCTCGTTCCTCCCGCTCTTCTTATCACAGCATGTCTCACCTACAGCTACCTTAACAGTACTGATAATGAAGTACTGTCAGTCTTCAACTATAGACCATGAGAGAGCCGCGAGGCGCGCACATGGACTTATGTCCCTAGTTCTAGGAACTCACTATCTATAGTGACCGACATGGTCCTGAGAAACAGGCACCATGTAGCGGCTAACGTGCATGATGGAGCTTGTGTTTTCAAATGTTTTCAAGGTGACTATCACCAAGTTTTCATCAAAGTTCCAAGACTATTGCCTGATCAATGAGTGACATTTACTAAGTGGAGTCATGTCTCTAGTTCAAGGATTTCACTATCTACAGTGGCCGACATGATCCTGAGAAACAGGCATCATGTAGCGACTAACATGCATGATCGTGTGTTTTCAAATGTTTTCAAGGTGACTGTCACTAAGTTCTCATCAAAGTTCGAAGACTATTGCTTGATCAATGATATCATGATCATACTACACATCGAAGTCCGCACGATGAAAAGCTGTGAAGCATTGAGATTAAATTCTATAGGATCACAAGGTTGATCCACTCGTCAGGTATTACTCTGTATCACATCCTATCACATCGGAGCATTCACTCTGTGAGAGGTTGTCATTCCACAGCGGCGGGCATCAGCGGGCATCAAATAACAGGGGCTCCATAATGTTAGTGATTCATCCCGAATCGTTCGATCCTCTGATATGTTGCTGTTGGTTAAATGTTGGCCACCACTGGCGACCACGTTTTGCACCTTTTTCGGCTTCGCGGGTCCTCGTTTACCGCAATCCCGGAGATTCACCTACTGGTCCACCCGGATATTGACGTCGGAGAGGACGGCAAAGGCTGCGAATATTTCAATGCCTCCAACTTTTGTCATTTTCCCCTTGATAAGTAGCCTTTGACCAACTCGGCGGGAGTTCAGGGGCGTCTCCAAGAATGGCCGTGAATAATTTATGCGGCAATCAGCCCAGGATGAATCCAATTGACTTGGATCGCATGCCGAGAGTCAGCAGATCGTTTCCGGTCTGGTCCGGTCTTCTTCATCACACACGCGCTGTTGCAGACATGTCATCTTCATTCGAGATACGTGGATCGTGGACCTCGGCATTCCCAACCCGTCTGGTGAAAATCAACCGTACATGGTTACAAGGAATCTCACCCGCTCCCAGCGCTTACCGATATCGAAGGGGGAAATTGTTGTGGCTGGCGAGTCGTTGCATTGTTATGATACAGTCTCGCAACGCAATGCAAGTTTTGATGCTGTTTCGATGGTCAGCATCTGAGTCTGCAATTCGGTATAGAAGCTACAATTTCCAGCAGCTGAACCATACTGTGAATGAATGGATATTTTACCTGGCCATCTACGCTCATATAAGCTCAGATACCAAAGTACCACCTCGGTGGCTCAAGTACGAAGAGCAAGAACACTAAGTAATCAACTAGTAATGATCATCCGGCAATAGGCAGGAGTAGCCTGTGAGTGATATCAAAGGATGAAGGTCCGGCGTTGAGTGCACAAACGCGTCTCCCCAGATATGATCCGCAAGCCAAATGCCATAACCATGACGCGTGCACAAATAGTAATACAAAGATAGGTAGATACAGTTCCGAAAGTCCTACAACTTAGCTTTCAACGCTTTTCCGACATCTCTCACAGCATCTTTCACAGTCTCCACAACCGACGCTTTGTTTTCAAAGTTGCCCATTATTTGTTGCATACCTTCGGCTGTGGTAGTAGGGTGTATAGCACGACCATCATCTGCAAGGCGTACGTCAGCCTCCTGTTCTAGAACTGATCTCGCGTAACATACCAAAGTTGGTGAGAACGTCCCATTTGGAGATGATATCTTCCGGGGTGAGCACTTTGTTAGTAGGGAACCCGTAGCCACCAGCACGCTGCCACCGAGTCTGCGCTGCCCATCCACCAGAAATCTCAAACAATTGTCCTGTCGTCTCGGTGTTTGCTTCGCTTGTGAGGTAGCCGACGATTGGTGCAATGTAATCGGGCTGCAAGAAAGGTAAGGTGAATGGAATATCTGACAAGTGAAAAGTCAGACCTTGTATGCATCGACCATTTCTTGTGGCCAAATCGTCATCGTCATGGCAGTGCCCGCAGAGGGAGCGATGACATTGCTCAAGATGTTATATTTACGGCCTTCAAATCCAAGCGTTTTGGTGAAACCCATGATACCGGCCTTGGCTGACGAGTACTGTATTGATGACCATCAGCACTCGCATTAAGAAACTAGAAGAGATGCCTTGCATTCGTCTGGCCAAAGTTACCATCTGCGAATAAAGGACTTGTGAGAGACGTAGATATACTATAAACAAACAAACCGTACAGATGCCGACTTGCGAGCAGGTCGTAATAATACGACCGTATTTCTGCTTCTGGAATATAGGCCAAACAGCTTTTGCACACTTGACCGATATCAGACACTATCGATTGGTTACCTGAAGACGAAAGCGATACCTTGTATGTACCACGCAAATGCACCGCCATGACAAGATCCCACTCCTGCTCGGACATGGCAGTGAATGAGCGATCTCTCAGGACACCAGCATTCGCCACAAGGACATGTACGCCTCCAAATGCGTCCAAGGCTGTCTTGACAATGGACTCGCCATCTTCTGCCGAGCAAACTGCAGGAACTGCTTTACCCCCAGCTATGAAAGCTCGCATCAAGCTGGGGACATCAAATGAAAATGACAACCTACCCAACTTGATTTCGGAGCACACAGCATGTGCTCCTTTCTCGCTGACGTCGTTGACAACCACATTTGCGCCAAGGCGCGCATACATGAGTGCATATGCGCGTCCAAGACCAGCACCAGCACCCGTGATAATGACAGTCTTGTTGTCGAAGCGAACCGGTGGTGCTGATTGGGGATTTGGAGGCATCGTAGAAGCAAGTTCGAGCTAGGGAACAATACAATCAGAAGACATACGAGACAAATTGTTTCTGTCGCGTACAGTGCTATCAACATCGGACACGGACTCTGGGCTGTAAGAAGGAAGATCAATTGAACCAAGGTTTCCTACCATAACGAAACGTCCTTACTGGCTCACTTCCGAGAAATCGGTCACTCCTGACCACTTGAGTTTGACCTGTAACCGAAGTCAGTTACTGCAGGATGTATGTGTTCAGCCGACTGACAGCTGAGGGAGTAAACGTATCGTCCGTCTTCCAGACGGTGCCTTTGCTGCGTTCCCATCGAATCTCTGTGACAAATCCAGCGCCAACCTCAAACACTCTGCCAGAGGGGTTCGGTCCGTCAGGGTGGCACACAGCAGCGACGAAAGGCGCCACGAATTCCGGCTGTCAAATAAGATTAGTGCATGAAGGAATGACGTCCTCAAAATTCACAAACCTTTAGATTCGCGAGCATCTCCGGAGACATGATTGTCGCAGTCATAGCTGATGCAGCAACAGGCGCGATAGCGACGGCGCTGATATTATATTTTGCACCTTCTCGTGCCAATGACTTTGTGAATCCAATTAAGCTCATTTTAGCAGCACTGTAGTTCGCCTGGCCAAAGTTCCCTGTACAAAATTATAAGATGACACGCATACAGTCACCAAGAAACTCACCGTGAATACCAGCTGCACTAGCGGTGTTAATAATGCGCCCGAACTTCTGATTCCTGAAGTGGAGCCAAGCAGCTTTCGTACACGAGAATGCACCCTTGACATGCACAGAGATGACCTGATCAAACTCAACATCCGTCATGTTCTTAAACCTACCAATCCCATTAGCACTTCCAAACCACCTTATCAAAACATAACTAACCCTTTATCCCTCAGAATACCCGCATTATTAATGAGGATTGATACACCCCCAAAAGCACTTATGGCGCTCTGAATCACCGCAGCACCATCAGTCACAGAAGAGGTGTTTGCGATGGCGCTACCGCCAGCTACAATCCAACGCGACGTCACATCTCCGGGCCGGAACAAGCGAATGAACGAGCGCACCCTTCTTTATTTCATCCACGACCTTCTGTGCAGCCTCTGCATTGAAGTCATTTACAACAACGTTCGCACCGCGCGATGCGAACAGCAACGAGTACCTGCCCCATTCATTTCGGTCATAGCCCGAGGAGGAGACGTTGAACGGATTGCTTACGCTTTCCCGAGTCCACCGCCTGCACCAGTGATTACGACAGTTTGACCTTTGAACGATAGAGACATTATTGCAGTGTATGACAAGAGGAAAGTGTGAAGCGTAACAGACAGGCTACAATACTTGGCCAAGCTTCAAGTGATACGTACGTGTGTACACATGAACTAGCCTAGGAGCCGACGTAGCAATCACGTGAAATCTGAAACAGTCCTCGGACCGGCACATTCAAATCAACGTGATTGATGCGACGGCAACGTGGCAAGCCGCAACCTCATGCAATGGACCAGAGATGTATAAATAATGATGTATATTGAGGAATGAGATTGATGAGACGCGCCCCGCGCAGCATACACGAGCAAGTATATACTGTCCACACAGGCTAACCAAGACAAACTGAAAATTAAGAAGCCTGTTGACAAATCGAGATCGCAGGGAATATATAAATCGATAGATGAACAATGCCTGCAGAAGAGCGGCGTGGAATAAATGCCGACAAACGCCAGCGGGGATAATTTTGAAGATATAGAATGCAACTGTGCAAATAACTGGTGTGAAGTGAATTGGGAAATAAGGACAATAACAAATAAAGTGCAAAGCAAGAGGGAGAGAAAACAGAGAGGACAGTATGCAGCGGCATGGGATGAATGATGGCTGCTAGAGTGTGCGGGATGGTTCATAGGTAAAACGGACATGTAAACCTATTTATGAATACGATGCGTTTCGGCGATGGGCACAGTAATGGCGTGCGAAAGTGATAGAGAAATATGAGATGAAAAATAATGAAACGAGATAGATGGAGATGCTGCAAAAATGGGATGCATGGGAGAGCAGAGCAGAGCGAGAAAGACATAATAAGAGACATGGCTGGATGGAATGCGTAATCAGACAGTTGAGATTGCAATGATGCCAGAGTGAAACAGTATGTCAAGCACAGAATGAGATGAGATGCAGGCAGATCGGGAACCCATGAACTTTTGGACGAGAGGAATATTCAAGCCGTGACCTGGGAGTTATCTCTAGCCGCAGGGCATTAACTACGCCAGTCCTAGGCTTCGTCCACGTTCGACTTCGCCCACTCAATTGCAAACAATGACGCCTTCAGGAACTTCTTGTTGGCGTATTTCTGGCAGACGTACTGGCTCGCGAAGTTGTCTTCGAGTAGCTTCTCGCATATCCATTGGTGTCCGGGCTCGAGGTGCTCCGCGACGAAGCCTGAGTGGAACACAAACGACTCATTCTAAAAAAGGAAACCACAAACAAAAAAGTCAGTCACATGATTCACAGCATCATAAACACGCGTTTGCATCGTGCCCATGACACAAAAACCAACCGAAGAGGCGGTACTCACCCAATCACCTCCCAGCATCCTCCTAGCACTGTACATCCCCACTGCAGCAATGAGACTCGGCTTACACCGCAAGAATCTGTGATCTAGGAGTGTCACCTCCGTCAAGAATTTGCCGAGCGTCCTCGTTTGGATATCATAGTTATCGGCCTTGCTGATACGGCGCATCCAGCTGTAAGGTGAGCAGTATTGCGACACCTTGAAATCGAGTGTCTGTAGTACGATGCGCTCGCCCTTGAGGATCTCCTCCTTCGTATAGCCGTTCTCGGTAATGAAGACGAACTCGTCGACGCTGGGTGCGAGGATTTCTTCGTACTTGGCGGCGATGAACATAGCAGTAACGCCGACAAGCTGAAGCTTGACTAGGGATACGACGCGTCTCGTGAGGAAACGGTCGACGATATTTATCGCGATCCAAAGCGTCTCCGGTAACATGTGCCAGCGCAGGTGCACTTGAAGGAGCCAGTCGACCAATGTTTGGCGCATTGCCCAGGTGATTTCGTTCTGGCCATCCATATAATCAGGATTCGGCATCACATCATCCTGAGGGGTCATGGTCAGCGCATCCAAAAAATAAGGCAGGTAGATGAGACGCACTTCGAGGTCGTTCATGTATTTAAAAATTTCCTCCGAGTACTCTGAGACCATCGTTGTATCGAGATAGTCCACCTCATCTTCAAACGTCTCCTGGATCTCTGCGATCTCTCGATAATGTCTCACAGCACGCTCGGTATCCACGTCGGGCCATATACGGGGCGACTTTGCAACGGCAATGGCGGACTTCTCCTCTTGTTCTGGAGTAACCTGTTCCTGTACACCCACCATCTCATCTACCTCCTTCTCGTTTATGATGCTGAGCTCAGGGTCTCCCTCGATATCTTCCACATCCATATCATTCTCCTTCTCTTCTTCAGCTGGAATGACTACTGGTACAGCGGGTTCCTGCCGCGATGCGCGTTTGAAGACGGATGCACGTGATGTACGTGAAGTGGGGCGTTGTGCGACGCTGTCTGAGCGACCTGGCCCGAGAGGGACGCGTTGTGGTCCGGTGGCGGCTGCCAGCGACGACGACCGTGTACGCTTGAGCCCCGCGTCATCTTTCACAGCGTCCTTGCCTTTACCAACAACGTCCTGAAGTCGCGTAACCTTCAGAACGTTGGGAAAGGTGAAAAATGGAGAACACGACAAACCTTGCGGTTGACCGCGGTGGTGGTGACCTCACCAAGCGCTGGGCGTTGTGGGCCATTCTTTAGGCCATTTAGGACGACAGAGGCGCGAGTTGCGACTCCCTGGGCAGACGCCTGACGAGAGTGCTTGCTAGTGGCATTTTCATCTGCATTCTTGCGTGTGACACCGATGCGACGAGTCTGAAGCTGGGTGATGGATAGTCGTGATCAGCTATCAAAGTTGGAAAAAAAAATCTGAAACAATTGACTACGTACGCGAGTGTTGTTGGCCATGATTTGTATTGAAATACAAGGCGACTTTATTGTGAGCGGTTAGAGCAGTGGGGGGTGGAAAGATACAGAAGAGATTGTGAAGAGAAGAGAGAGAATTGCCCTACTGCAAGCTTAACCTAGGATTTAATTGTGTCGTCGCGTTGTGGTTGAAGAAGAAAGAAGTGGATTGAATGCAAATTGAAAGGACAAGTCAGCCACCAGCGAAGCGACTTGGTCGTGTTCAAAACAACCTCCCAAGTTCAAATTCAGTCCATCGCGTAGGACGCGAACCACACACGTGACTTCAAAAACAATTCAAAACAGTCGCGTCGCGCTCGTGTCGTGACGCGTGCTTTCACACCTTTGTACGTACTATACACAATAATAACACAAACGTACACATACATGATGCCTTTCCATCAGACAAAGAAGGCACAAGTTCGATCTAACCCATTACACGGCTTCCGTGACATGTCAACGTGAGCAATGCAGTGCCAGCGTGGCTGTTATCATGTGGGGAGTCACGCCGTACTTATGAACGTCTGATATAAAGGTAACCTTCCAAACGCGTATAATTCGTGTTTGGCATGTGGGATTAAAAAATCAGTCGAGTCTAAATCTATAACATAACTCTTACATCAGTATGAGCTCTGCAACAGAAGCGAGAACTTACCGAACTATACTGTGCTTCCAATCCACTGTTCACTTCTGATCTATCATGTCCGCCCACCGCTTTTGCTTCCCGCTTTCCTTCCAGTCACCGCTGGAAGACGTAGGCGCCTTCTCCGGCATGCCTAGGCCCGACCTGTATGAAGTGGCACTGACTTCTAATGGTTCGATCAACCCTGATTCAAATTTCCCTGAGCCTAAAGCCGTTCCTGGCTGCCAACCCTGCTTCATTAGCAGCTGACGGCCAATGTTCGATTCCGGCAGCAGCTGGGGCGGTGCAGGGGTTTCAGGTATGCGGGCGGGACCAGAAGAAGCAGCGGATGGTGAATCGCTTCTAGGATTGGGTGCACCTGGAGTATCAAGCGGCGAACTGGGGAATAGTGCTCGTCTCTTTGCAGAGCGGTCCACATAGCTGGAGGGCTGACTGGATGCCGATGGCCTAGCTATATCATGACGAGATAACAACGTCCGTTTCAGCATAGTCAGCGCTTTCTTGGCATCCCTCCCCTCCGAAGGTATTGGACCGACTTCCTCTCTTGCTCGTTTAACACATTTTGGAGCAGGGAAAAGTGGAATGGTATTATCGCCGCTCCCGCTTGACGCACATCCTTCACATGACATGCGGTCAGAATGGATATGCACCACAAACGTGGTGCTTCCAATTGTCAATGCGTCCTTGTGCTTTAATGTGCGTGGAAAGCTGGCTACTCGTGGGGGAGAAAGCCTGACCCCAAAATCTTCACCCACGTTCATGGTTGGACCGGAATATCCACCAGGACGCAAGAATGACCCATGTTTGGATCCCATATCCACAACTGCCCACTCCCGCCTTCCGGTATCCCAAAACACCGTCGCGTGTAACTTGGAAACTGCCATTTCCTTCAACCTCACACGAGGAATTCCGCTTCCAGCGGGAGCAACATCTCTCCCAAATTGCACTTCTTTGTGCTCATCAAGCACTGCGAGACGTTGGATCTTTGGAAGGACGGAGGTGGTTTGCACAAGCAAGCGAAGTAGGGACCATGGCTTGAAAGTTGATGAAAGAGATTCATTCAGGACCGTAGTAGACTGTGGGACTTCTGTATTGCCAGGCCATTCGTATGCAGGATCGTAGCCTGTTTCTGTATGAGTGTGATTTGTACCGCTCACCTCTCCATCCTCCATCTCCACGGGTCCTTGGCGTCTAGCAGTGCACTGTCACTATCTTCAGTCAGTTGGTTGGCATTCGTGAACGTAAATTTGGTGCTTGGGAGTTGGAAGTGAAATGCGATGAATTCGAACTCCGATGTTGATGTCTGCCATGTTCTACTAGGGCTCATTACGCTTGTGAACTTTAGGAGACCTCCACCTGGGTGCACCACATCTTTTGTATTTGTCCTGGACCGGCACCGTGCATTAGCCTACCTCGCTTATTTCTTATAACATTGCGAAAGCATGGAATCATTCACAGAGGTACGTGTGATAGCTTCCGCAGTCAACCTCATGTCTTAATCGCATGTAGGACCACTCCAAGGCGCTCCTCGCCAAAGAATGGTTGGTCAAAGTTGACTCGCAGACTTCTACGCCTTATCTTTTTGTGTGTGCCTGCTCAAAATTTTGAGTTCCGTGTGAAATAACTGCCCCGACGCGTACGGTGGTCTCACAGAAATTTTCCTCCTCTTCAGTCGATCTAACGGCTTGCATACTCGTCACTGACACCAAGACCGCGTGGGCCGAGGGTGAATCTCTTTCTAGTCGCCGAGATGAATGAATAACTCACAAACCACATCCACCAAATCCACGATCATGCTAAAATGCATCCATGATACTGATCGATTCAATCTACGCCACTCATCAATCCGAATATTGATAGTCTTAACGAGCAATCAATTTGCCCGGCGGTGGCGCATGTGTAACAAGCTCTCCATTTCTCCTCTCCCGGATACGGATGAAGAATCTTGGCGAGACCGTCACCTAACGCTCTTAGGCTGCGCGCACTCACTTGGTGGCTTTCTGGAGCTCACGTTGGAGCTAGAAAAACCTACCTTGGGGGTAACCTTATCAGCCGGTTGTCGAGATGTGATTTGCCCTGACACGTTCCTATAGGATTTGGCGCTCGAGCTGAATTGCAACAACTGGAAGTGGCGGTGGGAGCCCACCTTTCTCGGACCAAAAGTATCCGCCGAGATCATATCAAAACACCTCATCATGCCCCTGATAAGTGTTAATCACCTCGCGTTCTCGTCCTCCGATGTTTTGGGTGATCTCGTGCCGGGAGATCTCGAGAAGGTCTGTCTATGCTTTCGTCACTCACCTTTCCATGTGCAATAGTTTACGTTGTGCCTAGGCAACAGATAAAGTTGGACGTACCGCGAGGAGGACGGTCGACACACATCTCAGGAACGCGCTATCAAAGCCACGCGTGGCGACGACCATTCGGCGTATGACAGCCATGTTCAACTTCTTACCTGAACTTCGTAAGTGTTAATAAACGCTCAACGGTACCCTGACATGACACGGACTTTTCTCGATAGCTGTGATAATTACTGACGCGGGCACTCCGGACCTTCGCGCACCCACGGCAGATAAAATTTCGTCGCCCAAAATAACAGCCCGATATTCAGAACATAAACCACATGTAGGTTTCTTGGATCGAAGATCTACTCACCCTGAGCTAAGCAAAGTCTGATTCAGAATTACGATATGGACCCTCTGAAAGAGCCCACGCCACCTAAAATGCCACAGCAGGAAGATTCTGCCACCGAGTCTGAGTCTGAAGGGGCTGCGCCAAAGCAGCGGACCGTACTCGCCTCTCCCACCCCCAGCCAGCTCCGCGTCTCAGGGCGGCCTCCTTCGGCTAGCCTGTCTAAGGACGCCTCCCCGGCCCTCCCCGGCCGCAGCCGCAGTCGGACAGAAGCCCCCGTATCAGAGTCCGACTCCTCGCTCGTGCGTCCAAATAAGAAGCTCAAGTATCCTGAGGGTTCAGATAACGACGATAGCGAGGAAGAGCGCAAACGACGCGCAGCAGCAATCAAGAGCGGAGCTGCCGCTAAGCGAGGGACAAGGCAACCGCTGAAACGAGGAGGCAAGCGTTTCTAGTCCCCGTCCTCGTTTTTATTTCAGGTCACCGAGAAGCCGGACATGCCAATGGGTAGATGGTCTCCCTCGTCGGTGGCGGACTGACCGTAGGACTGATTATTGGTATTTCGGATACCCTGAACACTTCTTCGCTCTTATTTCGTAGTGAGTACGGTTCTAATGACAAATTCTTAATATGTTTCTCCAGGCCCCTAAGGCGTGTCACTTTCTTGGGGTATATTCAATATCATGACTTCCTTTGATGGATCGACATCATTAACCCCTTTTCTGTACAAAAGATGTGGAGCTATCTCTACAAATGAAAGGACTCCCAAGGGGTGCTAGCTGTCCCGTAAGAATACAACGGTTTCTGTAAGTGAGTAGCACCTTTCGACAGATGCGATGAACACAGCTAATAGCACAGCAACTAGCAGTCAAGTGTCCGAGTGGGGATATCATAATTAGTGGCGAAAGCAGTACGATGGCGGATAGCAAAATAAGTGGAGGCGATGACAACCACCTCAAGAGTATGGTAGTTGTATGCTGATGTCACCAATGGCGTCCCGTTCGATGGCCGTATTCATCCGAACCTCCACCCTCGTACTCCAGGCAGGCGTCGCATTTTGTTTGGAATAGGTTGCGAACTCTGCGGTGATCAGAAAATTCCTGGAAGCGAGTAATATCCATAAGAAGACTGGCCAAAATCAGGAGGCGCGTGTTTTCGCACCATGTTGCACCCGCAGTTCTTGGCGGTTTTGTGCATATGTGCTGCACTTAGTTTGCAATTCGGCCGGGCACAATCGTATGTAATTCCAGTCTGATAGATTCGGACGTAATGCTAAATGGCGCCATCATGGTTGTCAAGAGGTCAAAGCTCGCAGAAAGCTCGGAGTAACGCACCCCACATCCTCTGTACTGATCACCGAAACTGCAACGAAGGGACATCGGTCATTGACAAGCATGATTTCTGTGGGATTGGAACACACCATTCCATGCTGCACATTTTGTAAGTATATGGTGGGTGACTATGGATCCTTATGGATAGAAGACGAACGCGAAATGGTAGTGAGGGATGGGTTTGACTTGGATTGACGTGGTATGCTTTTATACGCACACCGATTGACCAATACGATTGGATGCATATGGTAAGACATCTTCGGTGTAGCGAAAACCCATTTACGAAGTAATCGTGGGAGCGCATATCAAACCATGGTATGGTGCAAGAGAGTAGCCGGAACTTTGTGACGGGCGCACCTGTATTGAGAGTAACTGCGTGATCTCATCTATGGGATGTCACTACCGTTTAGACTCGCAGTTCTTGATAAGGGTAGTACGGAAATGGTATGAAGGACCAGCCAGCATGAGGCCAAGCTGATCGCAGATTTGGCACGACCCTCGTGGTCAGCGTTTAGTTACAAGTTGCCAAGGGTCCTCAGAACACGACGCAGCCACCATCCAGCCGTTTCACCGCTTCCGCACTTCGGAAAGCGCTCCTTCTTGGCCGGCTCTATTCCGCTCTGACACCAATCAGGCCAACATCATGACATTCGTACAAGTTGGCTAGCCACTGCCGTAACCGCAGATCCAGAGAAGAAAATAATACCCATGATCGATCGAATCTGTGTAACATGCTCTCAACATGCATAACGTGCAGAATGTCGTCTTTAGAGCTGCTGTAGTACCCTTTTCAGATGATCACCAACTAGAAGCTGAATTGGCAGTACGGCAGTCTCTAGGGACTGTACCATTCAGAGTCCGGTCACTTGAGTCCACTGGACTCGAGCGATAAGGTTAGCAGATTATTTCAACTTAAGCGCGTGCTGATAACGGTATTGGTCGCAATTCTTATAGTAGTCTTGTCTGTTACAGTGCACATCTCCCCAGGGGAAAATATAGCAATGCGTTCTGTGGCGGGGACGCTCGTCAGGAATTAATAAGATTCGCTGGGTAAATTTGAAGTATCTTGATGTGTCGGCTCGGGAGAGCATTTTGAATAGATTCACACTCAGACGGTCAGGCCCAGGGACCAGATCAAAATCAAAACGCTTTCCTTTCAGAGTTCAATCATGTTACTTGGAGGTCATCGTCGTAAGCTGTACCCGACACGTAGTATGGTCCAAATCGAACAAAATGTGGCGTAGTGCTACCGTTCATTGAATGGGGCAACATGTAGATAGTCAAGAGGAACAGGAACGAAGTCTTCACGTAAAGATACAAACTCCTGATATAATACATTCAATTTCTTCGAAACGTCTATAAATGCATGTAGTCATCAATCGAGGCACAGCTCAAGGCAAATTCTGACGCCAGACGGAAATGGTGTACAAAGTTATCCTCGGATTAAAGGCCTTCAAAACCCTGCTTTAGTTGTAAACCGGAGGAAACGAATGGGGTATGTCACACACAGGAGTAGTTATTGGGCTCCAAGCAGTATCCCGGAAGCATACGGGGAGCCGCGATGCGAGGCGGGGATAAACCCACTCTATAAGGTGAAGCTGGGGTGATAAAAGACCAGCGCGACGAATGCATACTACACACCTTGCACCTTCTCACGGGTGTCAATGGACACCGGGGTGTTCTGCACATCAGGGGGTGATACTCACTCGCCTGTATGATCGGACACATCGCAGTCTCGTGCCAGTGGCAGCGTCAGAACTTTGGACAGACTCAAACTGTCATAAACATCCCAAAATATCAAGTACTTCGAGAACAGTGAATCTTCCATATCTGTGAAGAAGGTTCTGACCCAATAAAACCTTCTGTATCTGCGGAAGTAAGGTTCTACTCCAAATTTCAGAAACATAATGGGCGAGCGCACCAGATCTAAAGCTCCTATGTAGCAGACGAGCCAGAATATTAATTCGGATATCGTAAGATACGAAAGCGCAATGGTGCGATACAACGGTCATCATATGAAAAGAAGTTCTTAATACATATTGGAGAAGCCCAGTCGCGTAGGAACGAGCGTAATCATGACCCATACAAACTCACCATGAGGCGAGAGAAGACGGCCGAGGGTGTGGATGAGGTATGGTGACTTCTCTTCGCTGAAGAGAGAAAGGCAAACCTTTCGCGGGAACATGCTCTCGTAATATAATACAAGGAACCCTGCAAAAAAGGGCATGGGAGAGTCGCGATTATGGAGCACCGTCTGTTGGACGTGACTGCCAAAGTGGCATCATCTAGAATAAAGGAATGCTAGATCTGACGTCTGGGGCAAGGGCGACCCTGCAGACTCGGATCAACTATAGAAATATTCGTCATCTCTATCAATGAAGCACGGTGAAACAGACTCGCAGATACTGAGAATCCGTTTACTTACAATCGCAAAGGAAGATAAGTGCTACGCATCTGCAGAACGGTATATCACACGTGTTGATGCCATCTGACACCTCAACGCCGAAAACGAATCTGAAGATGGCGACCTTAACGAGGGTCTTGCCGGCTCCAGCGGGGTATTGACAAGTGAATACCACGCGACAATGGTCTTCTGCACAATCCAGGTAGGCTGAAAGCATACAGACAGGGCCCGAGAATGTGGAGCCGTTACTGGGGTGAATGAATTAAGAAGTGATGGTCATGAACATAATTGAAAATCCTCATACAAACACTTTGTCGTTGTCGAAGAGCAAAGCTTCCACCCGTGATAAGCAAACTTTGCAATGCTTCGGCTACCGGGTAGCCAGTGCCCGAGGTTCGAGATTCTTTGAGGACACAAAGAAGATGACGCTCATGATACCAAACTACACCTTAGTCATGTATGCAGGAGTTGTTAGACTCCCAGATCTGTTTTCGGACAGCTCTAGACTAGCTCTAGACGGATGTCATGGCGCCGGTCGTAATAAACAAATACTGGAGCCAAAAATACAAGGGGAATCCCCGCTACCCCTTTCAGTCTTATTACATCCTCGAGGAGAATAGAACTCACGCACTATTATGAACGAAATTTTCAATGCTTGGCAGTAGCCTTTGGTTCCTTCGATCCGAAGTACTGACGCTTGTCGCGAAGTTCATCTTGCACCTAATCATCAGAAGAGAAGGATAGCAGAGAGATAGTCCTGACTTCTGGTGACGCCGACGAATGGATCATCAGGAAGCATGGATACTCCTTGGGTCGAAATCGGGAGACACGGCAATGGGCGGCCCCCGTCACACTCGTTGACTTCAACTGTGTGCTAATTTGACTAATGCATGACTAGCCATGTACTTAAGTATTAGGTCAAGCTACATCGCGCATGCAGCAAAAATTACCGTTGGATGATAGCCTACGCCGGTAATGCTGGTGGGTCAGTCACCGGCAAGCAGTTAAAGCACGAAGCCTGAAGGCCACTGCATGCAGACCGTGTCCCCGGCTGGTTCCATCCTGATGAAGGGTGATATCGATCGTAGGGCAGGAGTGAAGACCCTCTTCGAACTCATGCAAGAATTGACCCTGCGAGTTTGATTAAGATGGCTGATATTTGTGCTCTGGAAAGTGTGTTTAACATACTGGTTGCAATATAATGGGCGCGGTTGACGAGTACATCGATCCCTGCCACTTCCGAGTCGGTCCTTCGCTTTGGACCGCTGGCATGACTGCAACGATCGTCACGCTGTGCCAGTGGTGGTGCAAAAGGAGTATTGCAATGCGGCTTGATTCACCTGCCGGTGAATGTTTCGACAGCCAACGCTGACCGGGGCTTCAATCCATCGCGAGCATACTGGAATCTGAATACGGTTAGTACATCTGCATCGACACAACGGACTTAGATTAGGCAAGCCTAAGTACTCTGGAATCAACACCTATCATAGCGTAGAATGTGTGAGATTCGAAAATACTGGCGAATGTCAGGGAAGAGCAGCGAATAGTGCCACTGCCAGTGTGCGAACCTTGTGATAACCAGGATATATTAATTTCAAATAATAGAATTTCGAGTTTCGCTAGAGATCTCTGCATTGATGAATTGAAAACCATCGAATGACCGTCAGCGACAGTGATCAATTCACCAACCTTTGACAACGTTTGCTTGTTCTCTCATGATGCTTTCGTTGACCGGCAGTGTCCCGGTTCTCACTGGGTCCGAGTGAATCGGGCCACAACTTACAAACATGTGATTTCATTGGAGTTCGAATCGTGTACAAGCATCGACACCTGAACACAGACAGTCGTCTTTGGAACTCGAAGCCTGAACCATAACATGGCATTAAAGGACTTGAAGGTGTTCACCAGTGAGGAGGTGGCAAAGGTCCGTCATAGAACACGCTATGTGCGTGGAGTCTAATCTAGATACTACACAGCACAATAAGCCTGATGACTTGGTAAGAGTTCCACTCTGCTTTATGATGTTTCTAGCTGAGCCTGATACCTGTCAAGTGGATTGTTATCGATAGCAAGGTGTACAATATCACTCGTTTCAAGGATTTACACCCAGGGGGTGCTTCAGTATTCGCAGAAGAAGACACAGGTACATTTCTTTTCGTGATTCGATGTCCGACAAGCTGAACAAGGGATCCCTCAGCTGGTCAGGATGCCACCGAGGCGTTTTATGGCCTCCACCGTCACGAAGTTCTTTTGCGACCACAATATGCTCGTTTACAAATAGGTTGTATTGAAGGAGAGGGAAGCGTTATATATTCTCGAGAGCTTGGGAAGCTCAGTGATGTGCCATATGCAGAGCCTACCTGGCTCAGTGCTGGGTACTATAGCCCTTACTTCAAGGAGGTGAAATCCACGGCAAACCTGTTTGGATTTCAATGCTCATCCTCATCGAAACAGAGTCATCGATGCCTACAAGCAGCGATGCGAGAATTTGTGGATGAGGTTATCACTCCGGATGCACTGGCGAGTTCTACCAATTGCTGCCAAGGTAAATTCTCATGTATATTCCCCAGCTGCATGAAGAAGACGGTAAACGACCAAGTGCCCATGTAATCACAGCTATGGCGTTTGTCCATTTCATTGATACATAGCACTTCATTCTTACGTAGATGTTCATAGAGAGCTAAACATACATGCCATGCGCATTGGCCCTGGAAAACACTTGAAAGGCCTCACCCTTATGGGTGGTGTCGTGTCTCCTGAGGAGGTAAGAGGCTCCAGTTGAATGTGTGTTCAATTTTGACACCTGTAACCTCTTAGTTTGATTACTTTCATGAGGCGAGAGTGGTAGTCGACTGTATTGTCAAGATTCTAACTTTAAGTTTAGCTCGTCTGTATACAGGAGATATCTCGCTGCGGTCAGCGTGGATATGGCGATGGTAACATATCTTCAATTTCAGATTCCGGTCATTCGGATACTGATTAGGAGATGTGCAGGTCTACAAAGCGGAGCTGTCATAGGGTTACCACCAATCATGAACTTTGGATCGCCAGAACTCAGATCGAAGATCATTCCTGAAGTGCTTTCTGGCAAGAAGTTCATTTGCCTGGCGATATCTGAGGCGTTTTCTGGAAGCGATGTCGCCGGCCTGCAGACTCGTGCAACGAAGAGTTCAGACGGGAAGTATTGGATCATCAATGGCACAAAGAAGTGGATAACCAATGGGACGTGAGTGAAGTGGTTGTAGAATATTCGTGTTCATATCACTGACGTGACTTGGGTCGCAGTTTTGCCGACTAGTAAGTGCAAAAGTTGAAGCCGTGCTGCGTGAACTTACATTTGCGACTAGCTTCACTGTGGGGTGCAAAACAGATGTAAGTCGTGATTGACGCTATTAAAATGGAATGATTGAGTAACCATCCTCACAGACGGGATTTACCGTCATCCTGGTGGAACGCTCAGAAGGTGTTGAGACAAAACCCATCAAAACGAGCTATTCATCATCAGCTGGTACTGCCTATGTTACATTTGAAAACGTCAAGGTCCCTATGGAAAATACCCTCGGCCCCGAGGGTGGAGGAATCTTCGTCATTCTCTCGTGTGTATCATTTTCAACGAAATGAATTGAAAGACTTATATAGCTATACAGCAATTTCAATCACGAGCGGTGGGTGATGTGCGCTTCTTCCGCTAGAGGTCAGCGGCTGATCGTTGAGGAATGCCTCAAGTGTGTTCATTGATTCCTTTTTAAACATTAGCTAACTATGGTCACCTGCTAGATGGATCAATCAGCGCAAGGCATTTGGCAAACCCTTGTCTTCACTGGCGGTAATCAGATCGAAGATTGCGGCCATGATCTCACGTACGGAAAGTGTTCAGAGTTGGCTTGAAAATTTAACTATGCAAATGTGCAATATGGTAGTTTCATTCCATCCTCTTGAAGTATTAGGAACTTATCGGGTGACGTGTGTCGCAGACCTACAAGGAACAGGCACAGAAGCTTGCGGGGTATGGTCTTAGCTATGCACCGTGGTGGCGTTTCGCTCACACGTTATTTTCCGTAGACCGATCGGTTTGCTCAAGATGTATGCAACGAGGTGTGCCCAAGAAACGGCTACCGATGCCGTTCAGATATTCGGCGGACGGGGTATCACGAAGACCGGGATGGGGCAGTATATCGAGCACGTGAGAATTCCACTTCGTCTTATCATGCAAAGAGATCAACTGATCATGATGTCCACGATAGTATCATCGCACGATTCCCTTCGATGCGGTTCTCGGCGGAGGTTAGTGTCACAGTGTTGTCATGGCCGAAGGTGGTATTTCAACTGAATCATCATAGCGGAAGATGTACTCGGTGACCTCGGAGTGAGACAGGCAATTCGACAGATGCCCAAGAATGTTCGCTTGTAATCATGATCATGTACGCAGCTTAGCTGTGCCTCGGAGGTCCTTGACCTTCTCGATTATATTTTTATTATACTGATAGGCTCGACCATCTTGCATCATCGTTGTTGACAAATAGACCTGTCTATCCGTCTATCCGTGTCCAAAGGTCTGATGGTTCTGCTTAATCTCCGTTGTGTTTCATCTCCGTGTCAATCTCGGCCTTTCACCTTGGCGTCGATTGCGACTTCGAATCTTGCGAGTTCCTCCACGTCAGGTGGTATATCACGCTGAGATAGTAAGGGTTTGAGGTCGGCCATCAAGCAATATTGGCATGAATAACAGGCGTATACAAGGACGCGGAGCTGTCGTCTTTTAGCGAGATGGTGATCGTTCATGCTTCCCCAAATATCGCCCTATCAGTGTTCTCCTGCGCCAAACATCGTCCTGAGTCGCAAGGTAGAGGAGACTCGGTGGGAAGCACGAGCCTCATCCTCATGCTTACCTCGTGAGGTGGGCACGGATGCGCGTCACTTGATCAGCCTAATAGACTATAGAGGGAGAAGAGCGACAACCACTGCTCGCAGGGATGCTCATCAAACTTGAAGGGGCCCGCGATGTCGGCCAGAAAGGGTCTGAGGGCTCCTGCGGATTATGAGAAGAAATTCATTCATTACTGGTGTCAGTGGCGATTTCCTCCGAGATACATCGACCGTTCTTGAGAAGTGCGAACACTCTAGCGCTTATGAGTTGGCTATGCATAGTACCACGTGTCATTACTACAAGGGCGAGTGAGTCGTTTCTAGCAATTGTTAGGTAGCTACTACTTAGTAGTGAGTAGAAGGTAACCTGAACTGATCCGAGTCGGTACTTATGTAAATGGTTATGCTCTTCTGTGAATGGACAAAATCTGCCCTCACAGTCTCGTAACAGACCAATGTAAAAGACAAAAAGGAATGCCGCCCACGTCAACCGTCGATGTTGTCGTCTCAACCTTTACCCGACCCTTCTCAAACACGACACCATCCCACAAACTAGTCCAAGTTTCCTGAGAATGGCAAAAGTAGGAGATATCGATGCCTAGCACTGTGTGACGAACGACGCTTTTCTCCGATGCAATTACGTGAATGCCGCAGATTGTGGAGCCAGATTCGCAGGATAGCAAGCCTCCCAAGGCGCGAGCAAGTTCAAGTTGCTTCTCCTCGTCGAATAGATGAAATAGCTTGGAAGCGTAGATAACACCGACGCGACCATGAAGGTCGTTTAATGACCGCAGCGTTTGAATGTCCGGCATCGCACCCTCTGGGACAGAGCTAGCTGGCCGCGAAATTGATAGAAATGCGGGGTCAAATATGTCGCCAGGTATAAATAAAATTGACTCCGAGCTCGATTTAAAGAGTTTGTATCCTAGCTCAGAAAATGCTATCATGCGAAATGATTTGTTAGTGACATGGAAGAGATTTTGAAGGGACTAACCGACTTTAATGTCAGAAGTGATGATGTTATGGGCCGGAAATCCATCTTCAACTGCCTTCCTGACGTCGGTACCAACTGCGAAAACAAATTAGGAGGGACATGCAAAACTGTCGTCTACTTACGACAAGAACCGACATCGAGTAATATTGCTCCCTCAGAACCACGCTTCAAAACGTGGTCGTAATTATGTAGTTTAGACATGTTTGTGCTACGACGTCACGAATGTGAGTGACTATGTTTGAGTCCAGGCTACCACTCACCGCAGGAAATCAAATCCTCGGATACAACCATAGGGAGCTACCTACAAGTCGTGATAAGTATACCCAATCAGTCTTCGGATGAACCGCAGAGCACCTTGTATGCCTCCTTTTGCACATCAATTATATGTGTCTTCAGGGCCACTTCATCTTGAATGCCAGTCTGTCTCCTGAAGAAGGCAATCTCCTCAGGGTTTAGACAATATAATGAATCATCCAAGGGGAATGGTGGAATTATTGGTTTCACGAGAGGTTCAATGTCACGAGACATGAGCGGGAGAGAAAGTAGAAGATGCAAGTGCATTTACCTGCCGGCCTTCTTTTATCTCTTTGCTTCGTCTCGAAGCACAGAATTGGATCCCATGAAGCTTAAATCCGTCCCTTTCATTAGTTTCTGGTACTTAAGGCCATTTCAAGCAAATTGTCGGGGGCTACCTATTTGGATAAAGCAACCTGTCCTAGAATTTACTATCAGTGGGATCAATATCGACCATTTTGTGGATGAGGAAAACGGTATAACACCTGCCAACCATGCCGTTTAAATTGGAGTGTATTATTGTTCCAGGCGTGAAATGTGATTGCCCTATGTACGCTTGTGTTAGTGAAACATCATGATTCAGCTCATCGAGATTGATCAATAAGTACGTACAATTGGTGGGTACCTATGCACACTAAAATTAATTTGTTTCCGAGCATAGCTATTCGTATCCGCGGCGCGAGATCGAATGTGCTGTCAAGGTTCTGGGGTTCAATGACCGCGACCTGTCATTTGTGGAAGTGCAGCATGTGGTAGAGACGGTGAGCAGGGAGTCGGAAGCTCCAGAACGATAGATGGGTACAAATAAGTGGGATATGAATTCGTATTCCTGTGTCAAAGGAGCCTGAGGCATCCGCCAGGGCTATACCAGGCTGTAGCCTAATCATGATTATGATGGCCTACAATTCTTGACTAAAATTGACCAGATGAGTCTAAATCCGGGCCGGAGGGAAAGACGGGTCAAATTTGAGGCAGGAAGAGATTGTATCGGCTTACTTGGAGCAGCGAATGACCCCGACGTACTTGAATGCATGTACATAATACATATACCAGCCTTCAAAGCTTCAGACTCACTGTGGTCGGTAGATCTCCGGCTGTATCTGAGGGCGCTGTCGAGAATGATGGGCTCGAAGCTTCAAGTAGCTGTACAAGGTTTAACTAGAATAAAGTCGAGTCCGGGATTTGCCTTTTGCCCACTTCTCCCAAATTACCAACCCTTTCCCTATTTCGCTCAATATTGCCGTCCGCGCTTGGTACCAGTGGCTCTTGGCATAAGCACATACGTACATATGGGCTTTGGTGGACTGAGTACGCAAAAATTTCACTGTACGAGCTTCCTAGAATTCTGCCCCCCAATACGTCTTGAAAATTTTGACAGCTCCTGATAGGCTCCTGATGGCATTAAAATTTTAGGGTGAGTGACCGGAGCGGCAACAGGATGGACCAATGCCTGGGTCCGTCACGGTCACAGTGGGTGTCAATATTTCACGGCACACTGTTAATCTGAAGTTGTTATTAGTTTCGCGTATCCCACCTATAGCCACATCATGATGTAGTTCCCTGAAATTCTGATAGCTGAGGAATTACAATATGCGAATGCGCTGCACATGTTAAGCTGATAGCCCCTATCTAGACGATTGACACTTGATTATCCCCGCTTTCCCGGCGCTGTCGGGTGGGTTCAGGATGCCAACCAGGTAGCACCATAGGAATTGGCACGAACACGAACTGGATTTTTCTGAACGCTGAGTACCTTCTGCAAACTCGATGAATGCTGGCTCAATTCAAGCACTCTGAAAAAGGAGGCTGTGTTTCTTTGACGTTCAATTGCGCCTGCTCGAGTCCGTTTATACCGAGGGCAAGGTTCAGGATAAACAGTGATGTCTGTTCCGCTTGCGTTCTGTCTTCTTGTTTAGGGGCGCTTGGAAACCTGCAGTAAAAGTCTCAATATATATATATATATGATGTACGACATGGAATAAGTATAATTTGAATACATCACCTTGCCCACGAAAATTTACTAGCGCCTTGAGTAGTCGACAACGGATAGATAATTTTGCGCGTAATGGCTGGATGAATCTGTAAGAACAATGATATTACTAGCAACGTGTGCAAATCGCCATGAACGATAGTGACGGTCTCATGTCTATGCAATAACTTTGCCTCGAAGCAATGTTGGCGATTTTAACGAGATGTGTTTGCCGGCTGTTCTTTGTTCCTCTTCCCATTCCTGGTCTTCTAGGTACTGATCAGCCGCACGTGCTTCCAAGGTGCTGGCACCAGTGCCGCCAGTTTCTTTGTACTTGAAGCTATACACGGCTTCTTCGTCAGGATCATCGGCCAGAGCCACGTATGCCTTCGCCACGCGCCAATCTACCTCTTTCGTCAGCATTTGCAAACGCATCTCGGCTTTCTCGCGGACGCGCCTTGCTCCTGCGTCCGGATCCGCTTCCCGCGTAACGGAGAGCGACTTGGCGGAGGGCGGTAGGACGATAAAAGTGCGGGTATGGAGTAGATGAGGGGTAGTAGAAAGGGTACTTGGGGGTAGGTTATTCAAACGGCATAATTCCCGACCCTTTACGATGACATGTCGTAGGTTAGTGATGGCCATTAATGCGCGCAGTGTGTCTTACATTGGCTCCATAGCGGAGAGCAATCCCTTGTAGTGTGTCCCTAGAATTAATGTAATGTCTAGAGGGGATACATTGCTCATCCGTGACTACAACCTTCGCATGTCCTGCAGATGCATCGCCAGTCTGCGTAATGAGTATTGATTCACTGGTTAGACTGGATGGTGACGAAAACGTTAAAGGATATGCAGGCAGAGCGGGTTTAGAGGTCGGGGGCACTGAAGCAAGCTCGTGAGCTTCGTCTTCATCATCTTCATCATCCCCCAAAATAAATATATCTTCATCCCGGGCCCGCACTGTGTCATTATTCGAGGCGCGGATGTTCCGCGGGAAAGCCGAGCTAACCACGCCCACGCCGCCTAAACAAGACAAGCAGGGGTTATAGCTCCTCAGGCGAGGGTTTGAGCCGATACAAGTTGGACAGATAGGGCGAACGCAGCATTTGGTCATAAATAAGTCTGCGTCAGGTTTTGGTGGAAGACACGATGAGCAAGTCAAGCAGAGCGCGGTTGAACGCATTATTTAGTCCCAGAAAGAAAGATATTAGAGTGAGATTGAGCTTCTAGGTGGCGGTCAACAGTACTAGCAGTGATCCTGAGACTCGGAGCTGTGTGCTGACTCGGAGCGAATACTGGCACAGCCACCCCGCTATTCTTTGGTAGTGACGACGGCAACAGCCTGTACTGACATGGCCTCCCCACCACCGGGACAGCAAACAGAGCAGCCTCACCTCGTTTCTCTAGTTCTGCAATCAAAGAAAGCACTTAAACACGGTCAACAACTTTGTTCCAAGGCTAATAGTCTTTCAAACGCGTCCGCGCAATGTTCGTTAGACGTGCTTACACTGGACGCGAAAGTTAAGTGGATCACAGAGGCCGTCCTTGAGCAGCTTAAGGTGCGTTATTATTGCCACCAATTTAACTTGACACTAGAAATTTTACAATTCTAGCTTGCGGCGAATGTTGCTAGGAGTATCGAGCATAAACGTGCCCAGCTGGGTAAACAAGTTAAGGTGTGTGGTGCTCTCCCGTGTATCGAACTCGTGACATTTCTACACAGTTATATATGTAGGCATGGGATGTTGTACGCTCGCAACGTACTGAAGCCCTCGACAATATCCTCGAATCCCTAGGGGCACAGCTAGTACCACCTGGTTTCCACCAGTCGTCTTCTGGTTCTTCTCTGTTCGGAAGCCAACACTCCATTGATGGCAAGAATGACAATGCAATTTTCAATGCACAACAGAGCCCTTCCGCCACTGTACGGGATAACCCATTCGACCGTCACGGCAAGAACGCAGACCGGACCAAATGGAAGACGCTGCGTGACTTCGTGGACGACAGTGCTATTGAAAATGTGCTGGACGCACTAGAGAGTGATAGAACAAGGCTAGACGTGAGTTTTGTGTGGATGCTCAGGAGAACACCCCACTCAATCTACAGAAAGGATATTATGGCTTCAACGTATGATTACCCAGAAACTCTCTCGGCTGCTATATCGTCCATTCGCGACTCTCTTCCATCGTCTAGTAATGTGCCTTCGATAGAGGATATATTGAATGCACAGCAGCAGCCTTCGGAACTTATGGCACGCCACCTCAGTAGTCTTACTTCCCACTATGAGCAAATGGCAGACGCGTTGAAAGAAAGTGAAGCTGGAGAAATATTTGGCGAGGAAGACTTGCAAGGTATTGTAATCAACTTTTTGCGCAGTGTCTGGTCTTCAGCCTTTGACTAACGCGTTGAAGACATGAACCGTGATACTGAAGAGCTACCTTCTATCATGGCTGAGCTAGAAGAACAAGCACTCTCGATCGAAGATACTCAGTAAGCTAGCATTTTGCATTATGCATGATGTGGCATTCTTATGTTTCACCAAGCCAACAACTCGTGGCAGCAAAGACAGCTGCCCAAGAACGACTGACCGCACAATCTATAACTCTCGATAACCTCGACGAGCTAGGTGAGATCATGTCTGACATGCTACAAAAGCAGCAAGATGTCGAGGTAATATTTCATGCCAAATGCTGCGATCAGTATTTGATCCTTTGCAACAGAATGAGTGCCAAGAGCTTCTCGATGGGCTCCAGGAGCGGCTTCTCATCGTTGAAGACCTTCATCACCGTTTTATCCAGTACCAAACTTCGTTCAAGAAACTCCTTGTTGAGATCGGAAGGAGAAGACAGTACAAAGAAGCAGTAGAAAAGTTTATAGAAGGGATTGTCTTGGAATTAAGGTCAATGACTGAAGGTCAGCTTTATTCGTCTTTTTCTGGTTGCTTATTGGGGTAGTTGCTAAAGGAGTGATCATATTATTCAGAAGAACGTCAGGCAAGAGAAATTTTCAATGCAGAGCATGGGCGACATATTCCAGAGGATATCTGCTTGTGTATCGAGAATCCACCAACGAGATGGGAGGTTGTACCTCGGGAAGGGGATGTTCGGGAGAACCTGCCTGAGGTAGAAAGTGATCTCCTAGAGCAGGTCAGTGATGGCGATACCTATGCTTACGATCATCACTGAACCCTCTAGAGGCAAAGGAGAAGCTGGCCGTGGTAGATGTGTCATCAGCCGGCACTGAGAGTGTATAGAACGTTTCACATATTGCACACTTACGGGACGGATGGATCAGGTTGCCCTCACCTGTCCCAATTACAGTTTACTTACATAACAAATTGAACCTTCCTCCTAGCTCACACCCATATGGTACTTAGTATCGGCATGATCCAGACCGTGTGTACATCTTAAAAGGACGGGTAACAGCTAATTCATACCAGATTCGCTGTAGCGTCAAAAGTGAGTCTTCCAGAACTCACTACGGCATCTCTGACACCGCGACCGGATAACAGAGACCCGACTTGCGCATGACATCCTACCGGAGCTGCTTACTATCTATTGGTAGTGGGACTGGCGAGAACTCAACGTGTTGATGGTACGCTTTTTGCTGGAACGTGCCATGTCAGGGGCACGCACAGCGTTTAAGATTTATGCTCTTCAAACAGTAATGGTTGTTGAGTGCCTAAATGTTTAGCACCCCGGAAACCTACTGCAGTCCGGTCCGGTGTTTGCTCAGTTAAGTGAACAACTTGGCTCATTCATGCATCTACCTCGTACATTTGGATCCTTTTCTTATACGACATCTCATGAACAATGCGATCATGGAAACATTGAAGTCAATGGACAATGATATGAGTATCTCATAAAGTATAATTGAAACGCGCATATGCAGACTTGTAACCATAGTACATTAGAATAGCCTAGTAGAAAATGATTCAGATCCGATCACTCCAAGTACACAGTCTACAGTCCATCTATGGTATAATCACTCATTTTTTGGTGCTCGCATCCTGTCTGAACGTCCGTACGATTGTCGCGCAAGTTCACGGTCGGTAAATTCCAAGCAGCTCTGTCTCTTCGTGTCAGTTGCACGATAGTCTACCGCACACAAGATCTCATGGGGTATCTGCACGAGTAAGCTCCCGGGTACCAGGGGCCACACCCGGCAAAAACCCATACCCGCACCAACGGTACGGTTCTTTGTTGGGTATGGCGAGCTCATACCCTCACTCGTACCTGCGCAGCATTTACCCGCGGGTAATGGATACAAATAGTATTAAATTAGCTATTTATAAACGTGAAATATAATAGATACTGAAAAAACACCCACCGGTCCAAGATGTTCAGGCAAGTGCAGACGCGAGCGCGAACAGATGTGAACATGTGCGCACGAGTGTCAGAAGCCGTCTCAATAGTCACGAGCTTCCGTGGAGGCGTCGAAGCTACCGACATTGCGAAGCTGTTGACGTTAAACGGCGTGCTCCAGCGTACGAGTTCGTGCACCGCCATGATATTCTGTAGAAATAAATATAAAGGAAGCCCATGCTGGCAGTATGACATGAATGAAATGAGCGTGGTATCCAATATTCGAAAAAAAAAAAACGAGTCGCACAAACACAACAGAAAGCAAACACTTACTACACCCACCAATTCGGCACAATATTCAGTGCCAAGTGGCAGCACCGCCGTATTTAGGGCAGATCAGTTGGGTGGTGATGGGGAAGTGGTGGAAGTGGATGAGGGAGGGGTCGGGTAATTAGTGGTGAGCTTGTGCAAGTACGCGGGCTGTTGTTCCGGGAGTAGATGGAAGGAGAGAGCCAGGAATATTAAGTGGAAAAGTGAGTCAGTGAACCCGGCATTGGGCAGGCCAGGTATGCTTGCTCTATATGGTGCTGGGCTAGGTAAGACGCAGGCTGACGAAAATGTTGGCGCCAGCGGACATCATGATGGTCAGTCATCTGGTAGCGTTAGCGTTTGCAGTTGAGTGTACTTTGCACAATGCAAACACAAAATCTTGGGAAGGCACGAGTATGCCACGCGGGTTATGCAGATCCCTAAATTATTAGCCACCGTGACAGGAAGTGTAGATTAGGGACTCAATTCTGACGAGCGTATTCAATCCTCCAAGCTCAAGGCACCAACTAGAGTGATACATATCCTGTTACGGTCCATGAGCAGATTCTTTTAAAAGGTCAAGTATACCAAAACCGACCAGAGACGATGTTTATGGTCGATCGTAATCAGGCGTGGTAATTACATGCATGTGATTCTGGTGGCGTCTTGAGTACTCCTCCCACCATGTCCACACTACCAGACGTCTTCACTGACCCAGAGGATTCTCAGCTTGTTGCCGACGCTAAGAAAGACAAGCCCGAAGACCACGAGTTCAGCTACACCGAGCGCGACGTTATTCTCTACAACCTTGGCATCGGCGCGACAGCTAAAGACCTTCAATGGACCTACGAAAGCCACGAGGAGTTTGCAGCACTCCCAACATTTGGAGTGATTCCGCAATTCGCAGCTAGTTCTGGTATTTCACTAGGCTGGCTGCCGAACTTCAATCCTGTGAGTTGCGCCCCGTCAGGATTCAATGTACTCCCGGGAGCTTAATTATGCGCTTCAGGCTAAGCTTCTACATGGCGAACAGTATTTGGCTATCAGGAGCCCTATACCCACAGAGGGAAACTTTGTAAATGAAACCAGGTTTGTCTATATTGCGCTATCTTCACGTCAATCCCCAACTTCGCTGCACAGGCTCTTGGAAGTCCTGGACAAGGGCAAGGCCGCTTCGGTCACCACCATAGTGTACACAAAGGATATAGCCACAGGCAATGTCATCTTCGAAAACCAAATAACGGTCTTCATTCGAGGAGCCGGCGGCTTCGGTGGAAAGCGTTCTGGCAGAGGTATTAAAGTTTCTATCAACCGATCACTGGCGTGTTCAGGCTTATCTGAGTTTGCTGCAGATAGAGGCGCTGCAACAGCCGTAAACATACCCCCGAAGCGTCAACCTGATGCTGTGATCGAAGAGAAGACGAGTGCCTCGCAAGCTGCACTATACAGGTTAGAATTCAATATATTGCTGTACCTTCTCGTTTTTCTGACCCCAGTACATAGACTAAGTGGCGACTATAATCCTTTACATGTAAGTCGCACTGATCCTGCCATATACTCGAGGTTCGAGTAGCCCTCATCTCCAACATAGATCGATCCTAGCTTCGCGGCAATTGGCGGGTTCGATCAGCCCATTCTTCATGGTAATATCCGAACTTTATGCCTAGGCTAGGTTATTTCAGTACATCCTAAACTCAACTTAGGTCTATGCTTCATGGGGATCGCAGGAAAGCATGTTCTGCAATCTTTTGGCGCTTACAAGGATATCAAAGTTCGGTGAGTGCCATCCCTATTAGGCTCGATACGCTGTGTTCTTATATCCGTAGTTTCTCCGGTGTAGTGTTCCCTGGTGAGACGCTCGTAACAGAGATGTGGAAGACAGGTAGCAAAGTGATCTTTTGTACGTCCGATAGACATTTTCTCTTTCAGCTGCTGACATCAAACCTTCTCTCGTATAGCCACTAAGACGAAGGAGCGGGGAACCACAGTGCTGGCCGCAGCAGCAGTGACGCTCATTGATACCGATATGATGGCGAAACTCTAATACTAATGTGGTACGTAACGACGAGTATGGTGATCGACGACACTTGAGAAAGAATAAATTGATATCGCATGTACATACATATATACTAGCCAAAAGCTATGAAGTCCACGATAATATACATGCACCGGCAAAGTAGATGTAGTATGCTCGACCGAACTCCTGTTTAGACTAGACTGGAACAAGTCCTTGCAGCAGGGCACCACAAATTACATACCTAGCACGGTGGCGAATGACATATGGAAACAGTGGCATAATGTCCGTATCAATCAAATAGTCAGGAAATAAATATCAAAATCGTGTACGGGAATAAAGAGGGATCCATTAACGCTTGTTGGTTTCAGACTGTCGTTATTTGTGAGTCTGGTAGGCCCAAGGAATGTACTGAAAGGAGTGGTACGGTTGTGCTGGTCATTAGTCTAGGATTGGCTTCTAAAGGCGATTATGTATTCATGGTCGTAATTCATATCCGGGAGAATAGCTGGCCCAGTGTCCGGCCCGTTGTCCTTCTAACACGCGAAGATGCCTGGGGTGCCTGAGGTAGACCTACTCAGCACCTCGGCAATTTACAAACATCTCAGTCAGCGACGTACCGGGGTAAAACCAGAATGTAACAGCCAGGATCAAGTATAGACCTGCACAATGGTGAGCATGAACGCAGGGTGAAGTACAGCTCGGACTTACACATGAGAACCATGCCCTCTAACCAATTTGACTTGCCGTCCTGTACAACGTAGTTCACGGTGAGGACTGAGTATTCGTTTAATCATTGTGCCACCCTGTTGAACTTTGTACACACCAGATAGGAAGAGTACGATTGACTCCAACGGGTCAAAGAGGAGCGTCAATCTTTTACCCATAATCCAAGCGAGCGTCACCATGAACCTGTAAAAATACGAACAGTGAAAACTAGTGACAGGAGGTACGACGAAGAAACTCACGGTATAACGAAGAGTGCAATTTGCTAGAGATCGGTGAGCAATCTCAGAAAGACATCCAGGTAAACAAACGCACGATACTGGATCCGACAGCAACACCCAAGCTCAGGGTTAGCTTGTCCTTGACGGACACTGTGACAGCAGTAACATGTTCCGCTGCATTACCGACTATGGGAAGCAAGATCACGGCAACAAATTCTTTATTGATGGCGCCAGATTCAGTCAAACCGTTAATCGAATCAACAAGGAACTCCGCGGTAACAGCCACCAACTAGAGCGAGAACAACTTTCAAATGATTGTTGTCAGCACAGGCAATGGTACGCACCACAGTTACAACGACCAGAAGCCCGAGGGACACAGGGACACTCATATATGTTTCTACCTCAGGATCTGTGTCCTCCGTGGACGCAGACCGACGTTCTGGGTCGGTACCTTCAGCGGGCACAATAGGATTGGATGCAGCTTCTTCATCACCCGTCGGCCGAGGGGATTGTACAAGTTTAGCATTCTTACGACGGTAGAGTCTCAATTGTAGCCATGGATTTTGGCCCTCATAGACTTTTGTCTCTTGTATGTCCGCGCCACTGTCATCATAGAGGGCTTTGTGTGAAAACAGTTGGAACACCAGATATGAACCATAAACTAGACAAAGGTAATTAGGTGGTTACCAGCTGTGCTTTAGTTGACCTACTGAAAAGGAGAATGATGGCAACCTGGATGACGGTGAGAGTGTGAGAACAATTTTACACGTGTTGTGACATCGGACACGTACACCATGGCTGGTCTTTAGTATGTTGTCATATGTCGACGCCGCATTATATGTAGACTGGCCTTGCAATGCCATGTTGAAAGCGCCAGGCAGTAAAACGGCAATGACGCTAATGGTAAGCAGTGACGAATTCAGTTGCACAGCACCTGTCCATAAAAGTAAGAATGAAGGTTCCCATTGTAAAACCATTTCACGCATACTTTGTCCGAAACCCTGTTCTGAAAACCGCATACCCCCGGCAAAGAAGCACATTCCCAGCACCAGCACTGGTGTGTGGTCAATTAATTTCAAAATGGACAGCAAGAAGACATACGAAGATTGCTCAAAATAGATCCCACCACTGAGAGGAGCTGTGAGTTTAGGGTCGCACGGGAGATAAGAAGACATACAGGAGGACTGGACAATTGTGAGTTCACATTTTGTGAGTGCGATGATCTAGAGTGTAAATCTCAGCATCTTGCTGTGCAAGTTTGCGAACCTTAGAACGCACTGAAACGATGAGTTCAACGCTATGAAAAAAAACATGAATAGTTAGATAATGATCGACAGAAACATATTTTAACTGACGCATTTCCCTAGAATTTTGCAGTCGTTAGATTGAGATCATGAAATAGGCAGATGGGGACGAACCAATGTAGCATTTAGAAGACCTGCCAGAGTTTGGCCGACCCTTATGGAGAGTTCGTCCGTAGCGAACGCCAGGAGCTGGTAGTGGCTCAGTATGATACAACTACCAAAAAGCGAGCTTGTAATCACCTTGGCCAATGGAATGATGGCAAAAAATGTCACTGGAGTAGCACGCTGTAGCATCCGGAAATTAAAAGGTAACTTGTCGACTTACAGACAAAGATTAGACTGTGTTGATTAGGGAGAGCAAAGTTGATTGCCCACTTCAAACGACGATTGGTCAGGGATGATACAAACTGATACGAGAATGACATACGGATATGGGAATAAACACGAGCAGAACGTTGAACCCTGCGCAAGCAAATATTAACACAATCCATAAGCCGCAAAGGAGTGCCACCCGTACATGATGAAAGGATGATGGCGCGAATGCTTCTCCAGGTATTGGGGGCTCTGGATATCGCTGTCTCCGGGGTAAACATCAACGTTGCAGCCTTTCGTAAAGTGGGAAGGAAGGCCATTTTTTGACGACCGATATCACTCGTGCTTTTTCTACGCGTCACATTGGCATGAAACGGCTGATGCGATAACCGATTGTGCGCCTCTGTGGCAGTGTGCCTGCGGATGATTCTTTCTGTTGAGAACATGCTGTGATCTGATGACCCGTCAGTTTGGATAGGAAGGTCGGGAATAGACGCTGAGCAGTGTAGCAGATTGGGTGAGCTGTATTTGATCCGACAGTAACACGAAGGACGCTCACCTATCATAGAGCAATTGAGTTGGATTGGGGTCGAATGCTGTAGACTTGTCAAATGGGGGGTGGTACTGGTTGGTTGCTGTTGGTTTCGTTGCTTTAAATAAGTCAACGGAGGCGTGGCTTCTCAGAGTACTTAAGGCTTCTAGAATGTTTAAAGATTTCTAGATGGTGGACAGTTCCACCAGTACGTAATCAGTGGGAGTCTAACGGGTGACGGGCCACAATAACTTGAAATCCCCGTCCTTCAAGCGCAAGTACTTGGTAGGATTGCATAGTGTACTTAGTATTAGTTGTAATGTTCGCAGTGGATAGTTGGAGTGTACAGAACAATACCAGTATATACTGCAAGGGATTCGGATATACCGTAAATGCAAAACTTGTAACCGTGCGGCAGTAGCCGTGTCACGGAATGAGAGTATCATCGCTCTACGATCGGACACGGTGATTGTTGAATTAAGCGGGAGCAGGAACAAAAGCAACGAGGACATGTTAGTGCAGGTGAGTACATACAGTGGTGCAACTTAGTCCAAGCAAGATTTTTTTAGGTGTTGGGACCGCTGGCTTTGAATTCAACGCTAAGCGCTTAACCTCCAAGTATAACTTGTACAGCGTCGGCATGTTCAAGTGGGCGACCCCTGGTCCACAGCATATTCGCCAACCAAGTGGCAGCCTGCCAACCTACCACTTCCTTCAGTGGTCGTGGCAGCACTAGGGTGCAGCCAATTGGCAATGGGCGACAGAGGGCCCACGCTCCGCAGTGCATTAACTCCATGCGCCATGACACAAGGATGACATGGAGGCTTGACGTCATTGATCTTCGCGACTTCACGCACTCACTATGTGCATGATCGATTCAACGATCGTGACCTCGAGCTCCACTTGGAGTATGTTGCCATCACCTGCGTCACAAGGCTTGATGAACAACCATATTAACATTCAGCCCACCCAAGGGCACTAATTAATCCAGTACATGAAATCACTAGTGGGTAAATTCGCTAGTACTTATAAAGAAAAATGATGCAGACATTGCTCCTAGAGTCCTTTAAAATACATACAAAGTAATCCTTATGAGGCCGTCAACGGCACGTAACAGAACGGGATATCCAAGGGACATCCCACTATCCCTGATAAGCAAACGAAACGGCACCGTACAGGCCATCCTCACGTCCCAACATACCACAGCCATGTAAAACCTATAAAGTGACAATAGTCAGCGACCCGTTGCCGTCGGATATGACAAGTAAATGACTTACTTCCATCTTTCTCGCATGCCATCCGACACCGCTATTTACGTTCCCGTTGGCATCTGCAAGGCGACACATTTGAACACGAAATGGATGCGCTTTCGGAAGGTTTCGCTCGAGCCCCGTGCCAACCCAGCCACTGGCCGTATCGACATACCAGCCTCGACCACCTTTACTTCTGATTATTCTCCAGGATCCGGCGCCAGCACCGAGGGCAGCAAGGGCGGGCGCGGAAAGCTCAATCACCCGAAGCCGCGTGGGAGCAGGAGGTATAACAACCGTCTGCGAACGCAGAGTGGACATGTAGGGGGGCGTGCACAGCGGCCCGATAATCTGAGAGTGCAAAGCCATCATCGCCTGTTGTGCCGAGCCTCGAGGTGCGCCAAGTCCAACCCCGCCCCAATCTAGATCAGGGCTAGTCTGAACAAGCGTGAGTACCTCGACATTCATAGCCTTGCTCTTTAAAAATTGAGCGATGACGTCTAAGTTGAGATCGGAAATATATGATAGACCAAGCGACCGCAGCTTTGGCTGCGGTTTGCAGATATTAATGAGAAGCTCTCTAGTCACAGGTGCGCTTGAGAGGTCGAGGTATGTAAGTTCACCAGAGGTGAAACACGGCGCGGAAGATATTATTTCAGCAAGATCATCCGTGGTGAGCGGAGATCGGAATGTTTGGTCACCATATAGCGTGAGTTCTCGGATTTGTGCTGCCGCCGGTGTACGAACGAGGAATTCTCTGATACAGGACCCAGTTAGGTGAACACACCGGGCCAGCGCAAGCGAATGCAGGCGAATGGTTGAGCCCCCAAGAGCAATAAGTAATTCTGGTGTGACTCGGGTAGCAGAAAGGTCAAGGTGAGTAAGGGATGGGAATGCGAGGACGAAAGGCATCAGGATCTGAGGTTGAATCGATTTCACACCACGAAGTCCAAGGCGCTGAAGCCTTGGGAACGTGAGTGGCTCCTCTTGCATAAATCGAGCACGAGTACGTCTAATCTGACGTCGACCTTCATCGTCACTCCCACTAGACTGTTCATCCTCGTGAAGAAGATGCGTATTGACGAAATCTGTCAGGGCGCTCACGAAAACTGCGCTGACACAGCCAGTAAGGTCCATGGCCTGAAGGTCCTTGCAGTCTCTCCTTCTTTCGCGATCCTCTTCTTCGGGATCCTCCGTCACAATTCCTCGCCCACGGGTGGGGCGACCCCCTCCTCTCGAAGCAGAACCACGAAGTAAAAGTTCGTTCAGAACAGGCAACGACAGAGCACCATCCATGTACTCTGTGGCACCGAAAGCAGTTAGGTTTGGAAGTTCCTGCATTAAATGGTTAGTCAATGGAAGTGAATGATGTCGCCATGTCAAACCTTGAGAAGCGCTTCGACGCGTTCGCCGGTCACGAAACGACTAGTCGCAGAATCTTCTACGGAACGACGCATTCCGATGGTACGAAAGTGGTTGAAGTCTAGATGACGGACAAACCGGCCAGGACGAGGATCATGAAGCCTCGGGACTAGACGTAACGTACGTCAATTATGGCAGAATGAAGAGTAAGACAATGAGCAACTCACCATAAACTCCAGGTTCAGTAAGATCCATAACATTTTGAACGGCGTCACTGATTGTCCTCATAATCTTCCACCGAGCAGGACTTTTACTCTTCGGTCTAAGACGTCTTGGACTCGGGTCGCGAGATACTGGAGGCGTCAACAGCTCAGGAGGAATGGAACCATCTGGGCCAGTCAAGGACTCCATAATGCTTTCCTTCCATTTCCTAGCTGCATCTTCGTCAGAAGATGCACCAGTGCGCACAGCACTAGCTAGAGCAGCGCGAGTGGCTGCTTGAATAGATTCTTTGACGGCCAAAGCAGCCTTTTCATCGTCTTCGGTATCGGTCGTGATCTCGTCTAAGAGAGCAAGCCAGCTCCTGGGCAAACGAACCTCGATCTTGTGCCACAGCCATGGCTTGGCAGCTTCATACCAGGCATGGTTTACTAAACAGAGACGTGAAAGGGTTTTTCGTGCCTCTGGCTCGCTCCAATTTGGCGGTGGCATGGAAGATGGTAACGCCGCTGGCGTTCCAAACTCGCCAATTGCGAGTGGATCGAGAGAACTGGCATACTCGGAAGGTGGTAGACCGGCGGCATAAATATATTCGCATATAGTAAATAGCAGTTCAGGGGGGTATTGCAACACAGCAGACATGGAAATTATAAAGAGCAAGCAATGAGTAACGCGAAAGCCGGGATGAGCGAACTGGTCGACGGATCGTTGGATGGAGTCACAATTGAAGAATGTAAAACACGACTTATATACTGCTCGGCAATCCTTGACCCCAATTATGTAATGCGGGGACCATCATTTTACGTTCGCGGCACCTTTATAGAATGCCAGCACAGATTCATGAGCTTCCAACGTACGAAGGTTGAGTAGAGTTCAACCATTCCACAACTCACGGATGTCCTAGTTTTCAAATACTAACGACGCTTGGCAGACTCTAGTGCAGTCTTATTACCCCGCCCAGCTTTTTTGCAGTGCCTCCTTGTACCAACGGATCTTCTGGTATGGAACTTCGGCTCATATCATCGGCTCAAATCGGGGGAACTGGCGCGACGTCACACCATCTCGTTGCAATAGGCCCCCTTCCTCAGCGCACTGGACCACGCAATGATTACGAAATCCAATATAAAACGACTTAACTACTGCCACGGATAATTTGATACGATCACCATTTTGTTTGCTGGTGCGGGGTTTCTATTCGAGCCATCACTCGTCATTGACCGCATAGAACGATCGCTGGCGCCATACATCGACATGTCTAGCTGTCACCATCGACATCATCATGATGTTCGGCTGTCATTTCACAGTACACGTATCAACGTTACCTCTAACGTGACTCTCATGCAATTGGACCACTCGGGAATCTAGGATGACGTGCGATCTGAAATGTTTCCCGCAAACGAGTGTGAGGATGACGCTCGATTGGCTGGTTGCTGCGCTGGCATCAGAGCGTGTCCTCTACTGTCCTAGAACATACGCGCTTGGTTACGGGGTCGGTATCACCATCGGTTCCCCTTCAAGCTGGGTGAGCAGGTAGAGGCTGGTAGAGGTCAATTAAATGCCACGTCTCAGAGATATTCATAGATTAATGGAGTTATAGGAAGGCTGCGAGCTCCGAGAGGACCCCTGATAATCCCTACTAGGGACCACCCTTGGTCCACCTCCGGAGGGGGTGGAATAGGGTGAAATTCGTTGCTAGGCCCTTGTAAAAATCTCAAGGGCCATTATAATGCCGCCGGATTACAAGTTTAGTCAGCGCCTTCAAAGTGCCTTACAAGACCTCGAAAGACTACAGATTTAGTGCCGCGGCGGGCTACGTTCAACGTAAGGCCGTCAAGGGCCTTTATAACGACATGCGTCAGGTTGGCCCTTAAAATAATGGTATCGTAATGCCGACATTTAATTTCCCCCTGGCCGCTTCAAACCCGTGGGTCCTATTAGGAGGCCCACCGCTCCGACATACAACACTTGTTTATGTCAGAATCTATATCGGCCGAGTATCAGTTAGTACCGGAAGGTACTAGATCATAGAAACAATTACTGCATATCTGTCACAATATGTCAGAATTAGCCAAGTCTAAGAATATTTATCGTTTAACTTTGTATCTAAAGATAGGAAATTGACATCGCCATTGAATTCGAGTAGTGCTGACTCGTTTACCATCAGCACCTCGACGATTCACCGCACATCAAGCTCAAACTTTTCGAATGCTCAATGACATACACCCCCAGTAACCCGGCGTCTAGCGACAGCTTCCTCGCAGCACTGCAAGTGAAGTGCTTCGCGCTCATCCCCTCTACAATATATCTATGCTCACTTCACTCAACATCGAGTTCTCTTGACACGGGACCATGAGGACCTTAATTTGAAGAAGCTTGTTCTGGAACCCCCGAAGACATTGGGTGCACTCAAAGCCATGAATGCTCCCCCACGACAAAGTAGAGCAACGGAGATCATGGAAGCTGACGAAGATGAGTAGTTAAAGTACCATCAGCTGCTAGCGTGCATTATCAGCATCGCAGAGTGAGGACAGGTGAAAACCTCAATTTTACGCGGCCTCCCCCTCGTCCACCTCCAGATGGGGGGGGGGGGGGGGGTTGCGGCTATGTCTCCCCAGCATCCACCTCCGGATCACCCCCAAACTGTCCACTCCTGAATTAGGTCTGCTGCCAGGGCAGTCCTCGGTAGGGATTATCAGGGTCCTGCTCGGAACGATGGCGAATTATTGTACTTCAAGCTTCATTGACTGATTGTCACGGGATTTATTGGTCTGCGCAACAATGGAATTTGCAACGTGCGCTTCCTCAAGGGAACAAACGTGGCAATCGACATGAACTTCGGCGTTTGTCATATATAGTTAGATCAAGGTGTGACATAGAAATCATACTGTCTCAACATCCAAATCAGTGATGCAGCTGTGAGGCGTAGTGAGTATGCATGGAAAAATATTGACAAAAGACACATACTGGAGACAATCACAGGGCTCAGGACAGGTAGATTGATTTTAGCTGTGCGGAAGAAGCAAATCTCAGAGGTGAAGTGCCCAAATGCGATGAGGTACGTGAGGAGAGCCATATCATAAATCCTAAAGTTGGGCCCGAGGTTCATCATTGTGGCTTCGCACGAGGAGAACAACCCACGTTTTGTTATTGATATTGTACGCAGCATATCCCCGTATGACCGCTGATGTTAATGTCCAAACTGCAAACGTTCGTGCCTGAAGTGTTGTTACTGGAAAGACAAAGTTAGCGTGAATCACATTCTGGCATCAATGAAAGGTCATATACTTGAGGCAGACGGAACGCCAGCATAGAGCCTGCGGGTCAACTTTAGTGTCGTAAAGTTCTGAATAGTGTTGAACACAGCCATTGTGGCGACTATGAGTTGCCATTTAGGCAAAAGGCCTTCAGACTTGGGCAGGTCTAAGGCACGAGTTTTTAAGATTGCCATAGAGCAAGAGCATGTTTTCACTCACAGTCCAACAGTATCTGACTCTGAGTAGCCATCTTAGCTAGTAGTGCTAGTATGGTTGAAACTTGTTGAACGGGGTGATGCCATATATGGGCTTATGTAAGTTTCCTTTTACTGCTTTTTGTTGGAAGGTGGATGTTTTGCAGATCCTGGTTTGTGTTGTCCCCATAACGGCTCTGGTACTTTGTACTGGACGAATGAGCCAGCGACGAAACCCATGCAGGAACCCTCCTCCTCTAAATTTCCTGGGACGTCACGCTCGAATTCACTTGCAAGCACTATTAGCAGTAGTGGTGCTAGTCTAAGTCGCCGCTCGCGGACGACAAGGAAACGAACACGGGCGATAACTACAGAGTCTAGGCCAGATGACACGCGTGCAGAAGAAGACCAGGTGCTGGACATCTCAGCTGCGAATAGCGCAGAGCCATTTCCTAGTCCGGTTAGGATTGATTCTTCCGAACGTTTACTGTCTCCGGTTACTACGCGATTCGAAACAACCAGAAGTCCGGTTTCGAGTCCCGTGAACTTGCAACTACATGGTGATCTAGAACGGAGTGGAGGAACGTTCGGCGCTGTAGGAGGTGATTTGCGCGTGTCTGTGAAGCAGAACGGGTCTTCAGCCCCTGCCGAAAGTCAACCGGGTTCCCAATCGCTAGCAGGATTCACTCCAACTATTCCTGTGAGTTTAGAGTCTATTTTCTTAGACGGGTGGAGCTCACGAAGTTCTAGATAAAGGGAAAAGGTCGCGGCAATAGAGCAATGCTGACGTCTCCTCCATCTGCCTTCCGTCCAAATCCCACTGACAGCGACCATGCACGAAGCAGTGTCCGTGACTCCTTGCTGACGCAACAATCATCTACATCTTCCTCACTTTATCCTCTTACTACCTCCATTGGGACAGAGTCACCTCCTTCTCCCCTCTCACCGACGACACATGACCATGGCGTTATTATTCCAGCTCTCGAAATCGATGAACCAATGAGGGTGCAGGAATTCAATGCAGACGACGTCTCATATCGTCTTCAGTTGCTTGTGAAGAACAATTATTTCCTTCCTCCCGCACACTCAAAACCATGTCCGGCCGATTTTGCACCGGGCATAAACGCATCCAAAAAAGCAACCACTCCTGCATTTCTGGACTATTTCCGAGTTGGAAAATCCAAATCTAAACCCGTTAGCCCAGATTACTTCGATGGATCTCCGATGTTGAGAGTTACATCAGATTCTACGACCGTGTCTGGTTACATACCACGTGGAGTACCTCAAACATTCCGATCCCCGAAGAATGTCCAGCACCTTGCACGTGTGGTCGTTGTCCGTGAGCAAATGGACGATCTTGTTGCTGCTGCAAAGCAAGCGGAGATAGATTTGAAAGGTCGAGACGTTCATCCAGACCGCGATAGGGGTGTGCGAAGACCAAAGGTTGATGTGTTTGATGGGATCATTGATCCCACAGGAAGCAGTCGACGTGCCTCCCCCATCAGCCAACTACAATCTAGCCTTGCAAGCCTCGGCACTTCATGGACTGGGAATTGAGGACTCTGTGGGAGCAGCCGTGTTAGCCGAGCGCTTGCCTCCCGCAGGTAGTCCTGGACATTCCATTAGTCTCGATCCACAAGAGAATGCGTGGAGAAAGGCTTTGCTGCATCAGGCTGTTGGGCACTCGCTCAACAATTCAGCAGTAACGTCTGTTGTGTCGTTGTCCACGGCTCCGTCCACCCCGACAAGGTTACCGCACCATCCGCGCTCGTCAGAGTCACTATATCAGCGCGCTCTTATGAACCCACGGAAAATGCTAGACAAGAAGATTATTGAGAACCCGATAGTTGATCACCTTGAGGAACCTGAGCCACCAACAACCACTGCAGGCGCACCTTCTGGAAAAGATCTTGTTGCGCGTCTTCCGGCTCGGGAAAATGTGCGGTTATCCAGCTATACTCCCCTCCGAGCAGAAACCCCGGTCCCTCAAACCCCTCTTGCGCCTCCTCCTCGCCGACGACTTGGAGACACCCAGTACTCTCATTCACAATCTTATCTTCCCGCGGGTTCTACAGAGCCTTGTCGGACACTTCGCAAATCCTGTTCTTCGCCTATGCTCTCCGATTTCTATGAATTAAGGAGAACACCCATGATGACTCCACCATCACTGCCATCATTAAGTATATCTCCTCCGTCCTCGCATCGCATGAGCAGGATGACCGCGCTGACTGGTTTCTCTCGGTTTACGGATGATTCGACCGCTTTTGATGATATTCGGTCTCGTCCTTCCTTGGCAATCTCAGTGCCAGCAACCGACGGTGGACGTCGGCCATCATCTTCAGAGTATTCTCAACCGTCTCCGACTGCGTCCGCCTTTAGGGATAGATGGTCAAATGGCTATTATTCCCCTAACTCCCAGCCACTTCCCGTTGATCCTTTGTCACACTCGCGAGATTCCTCGATGTCGCCGCCTACCCCAATTCCTCGTCTTTCTACTATGTCCCCACCACCTAGACCTTCCTCATCGATAGCAGGCATCGCTCTGTCACCTCCGCCGCATCGTTCGGGGAACAATACCAACCAGCCCAGACCTTCACGACTCCATGAAGCATTATCGCTTAATAATTCGTCCTCAGACTTTAGCCAAGGCACCTTCCGCTCCTTTAAATCATTTTCTCCTATGCTCAACAACAACGGTACCCAAAGTCATTTACCTCTGCCACTTCACGTCAAAATCTCCGTTGACAGCTTTGCGTCTGGCATTCACTCTGCGCCACCTCCCTCATCACCAGCCACCTTCTTTGACCACATCCAGAACCATCCGAATGCTATGGATGACTTGGACGATTCTGAGGATAGTAGAAGTGACATAGACCAGGATACGACTGTATACCGAGACTCTGAACCCTCTCCCCATCCATCACTTATGCATCTAGGCAATCGCTCTACTCCCAACCTTGCCAGAACTGCGAATGAGCTGCATTCTCAAGGAAGTCCAACCGAGCGACACAAGCCTGTCAGCAACGTCCCGCAAAAAACTCCATACTTCACAAATGTCAAGGCATCGCCAAACTCTCTCACTCATCTTACGCTTGCGCAGCACTCACAGGAACATCTCACAGTCGATGCCTCCGCACCGCAGCGGCCGGACACGCCTGGTTCGGAGAATGTGCGTCGCTGGCAGAAGGAGCAGCAAGCACTGGCCGAGTCATCGAAGAGATTGGATGGGATGCTGATACAGCATATGGAGGCTGAAAAGGACACGTTGAGGAGAATTGCGCTGACTGCTAAAGTATCGAAACCTTGAATTATCTTAGGACTCTTTTTGCTATCCTATTTACCTACATCCCTTGTTTTCTTGCTGCTCTTTCATTGCTTGTATTGTACATGAGTACTTCTGATACCTGTCATCTATTTTCCTACCCAGAAGTATATGATAGAATGCACACGAGCCTAACGGCTCAATTTAGTCATTGTCACAAAGTTAAGCTCGGTGTCAATAGTTCACGCAGTACATGCGCAGAGTCAGCATTCTGACTCCGCTCCTTTCAACAGAGCTCGTTTACGTCTGCAACGTTGTTCACGACTGGCAGCATTAACGAAATGGAGAAGACGAGCGAGCATCAGAAACACTCATACTCGTGGCACCAGGTGAGCCACGGAACTCTGATAATTAACGCTTCATTTGGCTTACGCTCTCATGACTTATGTAGTCGCATGATCAGGTGAAGCCAATGGGGTAAGGGTTTGTTTCATAGTCCTGACACTTGGGCGAATTGCAGGCTACAGTTTTGTTACTTGTCCCATATGAAACCTCGAGAGAAGACGTTGTTGTCAGTACCCTTACTTTGTTTGCCACGTATAATCTCATGTTCGTCACGGTAGGTTGTTATTGAACGCAACTATCTACTCGCTGGGGTTAAAGGGCAACAGCCCATCGTGAAAGTCAGTCTCTCATCGAAAAGACAGATCTGCAATCCTTGATCTTCAATTTTAGGGTCGTCTTTACAGCCACGTCGACGTGGCGAACTCGGCGTGGCAACTCGAACCACGCAACAGGCGTCTTTCCGCTCGGGAGCGTACCACCTCGACCATATCGACAACGTCCACCCAATCTTCTTTCGCTTTGTATCCGACCCCGAAATTTCAAGCAGCTTCGCAGCTTCTCTGGAAAGTGGCCAAGTGTCCGACGCAGAGGAGATTGTGTCTCCTTCACCCGCATTATCATCGCCTATCTCCTCGGCTGATGAGCACACAAGCAGTTCGAGTCAACGTCACTCTATTCCTGTAACTTCTAGTCCTGGATCGCCTTCATTGCCTGTACATGCTTTATCATCATTCTCCTCCTTGGAGTCACTACACTCCAATTCAGGAAGACTCGTAACGCTTCATCTCGAGAAGGAACAGTCGATTATTTGGCCATCATTAATCGTGAGCTTCCGCTGTCAGGGTCTTACCCATGCTAGAGCTCACCGGTTACACAGCAAGGACCAATCCCTCAGGAAATTTCCCCATGCGCTCCTGTCCCTATGCTATATGACTCCAGCTTGGAGTACAAATATAACATGGACCCCACAAGTCTTGTCCTATGTGCCATAGAGCTTTACGACATCAGGAAAGATAAAGAAGAAGCATTTGAGTGCTTTGTGTATGTGACACCGAGCTGAAAATCAGTTTCATGTGTGACTGACTTCCTGTCTGACTATCCAGACGAGCGTGGCACCATGGCCACCTCCCCTCTGCTACAATGAAATTGGTGACTCACTATCTACCTATCCAAACATCATTGGACCATCTTGATGCATCTGAAGAAGGGCAACGTGGAACCGTCTCATATTATGTTCAATCCATTGGCGGCCCGGCGGGCCTGGCCAAACTCTTCTTGGAAGCTGGTCTTCTTCATATCGAAGGAGCAGCTTCTGTCTTCCTGTCCGCATCTTATTCTACGTTGTCGTCCATTAGGATGCCGCCACAGCCACAGCCCGGAGAAGGTGGCACAGAAGCTTGGAAGCGTGATAGGGAAGCCGCAGGTCGATACTTTGAGCGTGCTCGCGCTCTGCAACCCGATCTTGATATTCCTGTCCTTCCTGATGAAGGCGTTGCCCAACATGGCCTTGGAAGCACCCATGAACTTGAGATGCCATCTATAGAGATTCATCCTTCTGCCTCGGAAAGTGTCTATTCTGGAGAGGATTCGCTCTACTCAGAACAAGAGATCATCCCACGCCGAAGAAGGCAGAAGAAAGAAGAGCTTATCTTCATGGACGAGGTCAAGGGCAAGGATGACATCGATAGCGCATGGTATCTGTATGTTCCCAGCCTAGTGGGTGCCGGCACAGCATTGTTGGTCGTGGGCGTTATAGGCGCACTTAGCCTTTCGTCATGGAGAAGAAACCAAGGATCTTGATGTATCTCTTCTTTCGATTCGCCATTATCAGGGATCTGTTTGTTTTGTATGTAGACTTTAGCCATCGTTCTAGTTTTACTATTGCTCGAGTTATTGCTTCTTTGTATCAATGCCTATGTCCGGCTGTTGCTACTTGCCAGTATTTCTATCGTGGAAATGACTCAATGCGGCCGCTCTGGAGGTCCATGGTGTAGCTGGTTCAAGTTGACTTCAGGGACTGTTTTCAATCTGGATCATCGCCGTCATGCGGCAAGGCACCGCTTGGTCTAAAGCTGCAGGCTCTCTGCCTTCTGACCGTCTACGTCCTGCGCAACGCCCACAACATACCCCCCAAAAACAAAGCAAAGGAAAGGGTAAAACCCAAGAACCTTCCAAAAGCAAAGCGATTCGTAAGCTCGAATCGCTCGCCGGGGGCGTTCGCAAGTCGTCTGGCAGAGAGAAGGATCCGAAGGGCGGATGTTTCTGCCAAGGTAAGGGCTCTTCAACTGATCAGAGCTTATGACGCTGAAATTAAATCCAGCAAGAGAACATGACCTTTCCCCATATGCCCCCATATGCCGCAGTTGCGGATTGATCCTATGTGTTATCAACTTGCCCTACTACGCATGTCCGCACTGTTCTGCAGTGCTCCTCTCAGACATTGCGCGTTCCTCTCTTTCTGTCCGTTTTGATGAGGAGATATCCAAGCAAGTAGCAAAAGAGGAAGAGGAGACGTTGCGGATCGTCCAGCAAGCACGCGATGCGGAGGGCGCGTTCCCTGTTCTCCCTGGTTCTGCTACACTACCAGTTCTGTCAAACGCTCCTTCTCGTCCCGCAGCCCAGACGCACAAGATATTATCTTTGAACTCCAAGACGAAGAAATACACTGTCTCATCATACACGAACACCCCTGTCTCATCCCGTCCGGCATCTCGTGCTGAGTCTGAGGTTGAAGAGGTTCACAGAGTCGCGGCACCTCCCCCACAGATTGACTTTGTGAAGAGGGCACCTGATCGAAATCATCCGTGGAGCAATATGCGTATGGAATTGCTTTATGTTCCCGTGAAATAACAAGCTGGCGGTCAACAGTGCTAAGGAGATTGCAAGGCCCTTGTTAACTCGCATATAACGAAGGGTGAATGGTAGGCTGAGGTAGTGTAAAATACAGTATACCAGTGCTATTTGGTCATACAGATACAGGATACATGCAGCAGAAATATCAATGGACAAACTTCCAACCCCATTAAATACTAATAGATGTGCGCGTGAAACCAAGATCAAGGGCAAAATCGAAAAGAGTACAAAGTAATACATTTTATCTTTGAGATCATGGCGGCTCCTCTGGGAGTAAGTGTTCGAGTTCTTCCATATCGAATTTGAGCTGATCGAGGGCCAGCTGCTTCGCGGCCAGTTGAGCCCTGGCTACCTCCAATCCCTCTTCAAGTCGCCTGAGTTTTACAGGATGGGGGCTGGAAGGGCGTGGCGGTGGATGGGGGGATGGGATGATAGGGGATGATTTTCTTTCAGGTGAGAAAGGGAGCGGAATCAGGAGCGGGTCCACAGGAAAAGATGTTAAACCAGGATCGTTCCATGATAGAATAGCAGTGGGCTGCAGAGGTGTCGCCAGTTCCATGTTTTTTTCGATATCTATACCATCATCCAGATGCTGAGTGTCGTGTGCGTGATAAAGATTCTGGTAATTCGGTGAACTGCGGCGTCTCTCTTGCACGGACGATGCACCTACTGGTGACTGCTGATGCAATGACAGTTTGAGAGCGTCGATTTCCTTTAGCAACTCATGTTCGCGGGACTTGGCAGAACTTCGACTGTGCTGAAGTTCTTGTTCCAGGTGCGAGACCTGAGAGGCCAGCCTACGCCACGGTAAGGATGAGTGCACGGATGATACGATGGTGTCAGGGACCCTACCTCACGCATTCCTCCTCAATAACCAAGATTTGTAGGAAATCGGGAGGTTCCCCTCCATTAGACAACTGTAAAAATTATTCAGTGATACGACGCAATGACTGACGTGTCACGAACCCTGTGTTTTCTTACGGCCACCTCAACCAGTGCCTTCCTCTCCGCTTTAAAGGCCACAAGTTGGGAGGTGTATAAATTAATCTGATTATCCAGCTGTGTAATAGAGCGTTGTGATGCAGAATCAGAGGAAGCTGTGGGACTATTGTAAGATAATGGTCGTGTGACTACATGTGAGTCAGCTGGCAGGATGGATACTGTATGCAGTGTTGGCGTAAAATGAGTTTCGGTATCAGTTGTCAGAGGTTTCCTCGGGATGACTGGTTGGTGCGGGTGATCGGGAGAAGCAAATTTCGGCGGTGACGAGGGGCCAACAACGGGGGTGGCATCTGCTGAAATGCATGCAGGTGAAGCCACGGAGTCCCGCGCGCGCTCAAGCTACAGCGAGCACGTAATCAATAGGATCGTATCAACGGTGGCAAAAAATGTAATCCCCACCTTTCGTGCTAAACTCCGTATTTCAATCTCAAGAGATTTATTCCGAGTGTTGCTGTCCACTAATGCACGGAGACAGTCTTCATCGGTCATTGGTTTTGGAGGTGGCATTTCGCTTTCGGGGGTTCGAGCTTGGCGCGAATGGTCCAGCGGTGACCTAATATTATCTCTCTTTTGATGGTGTCGGATGGATGCTTCTAGTACGACCTCGCGTGCGGCAACTTTAGCCTCCAGTTCAGAGATACGGTGGTTGGCTTCTTCCACAACCTTGCAGTGGGCTTTGCGCTCATGGTCAAGCTCGGTGCGAAGCCTAGTTATGACAGAAGCACTGTACTCCAAGATATCCTCAGAATCCCTGCAGCTTGTATCACTGGGTTTAAAATGGTTCTCAGGGAGTTGATCTGGGCGTTATTTTTTTGGCATTTAGTCTCAACGTCCGCGAAGCTATAATGGATGGACAGACGTAGATGTTTTGTTATGTCCATGCGACTGCAAGGCCACATACTCCAGTCACTGGACATATGGACTAAGAAATGCAACATTGATACATGAGCGGCAGACATGCGTCCGTTTGCAGATTGCCATGCACCTTTCTGAATCAAGTCCTCAACGACATCTTTGAGATCATCTCGCTCAACTTCGAGCACCTTCGCGAAGGTTCTCCAACGGTCAATTTCATGGGACAAGGTTACCCTCTCGTGTTCCTTCGCCGCTAAGTCGATTACATGTTGAGCCTTTAGAGAATCGACGGTGTCAATAGTTTTGAGAAGGCGAGCCTGCGTTTCTGAAGTTCGAGCAATATAGGCGTCTATCCGAGCCTCCAGGCAGGTAATCTACATTAATGTACCTATCAATAATATTACCCTGGCTGACTGTGCTATACCACTGACCTGTTCGTCCCGTTTCCGGAGAGTTTCTTTTAAGTCATCTCGCTGATCTTTGTGGCCCATATGTACCTGGATAAATTATACAACAATCTATACATCCAGCCCGTCTGAGTCGTAGATCAAATTTTAATACCGCATGTGCAACACATGCAAGCTATGAGCGTGAGAAAGAATTCCCGAGTCTTCATTTTACACGTCCGACTGTCAACTTTCTCTTTTCGCCCAGGCAACTTAACCAGTCTACGGATCACACAATGTCTATGTGTGTTTACGTTTGTCAGATGGTTTCGCTATTCCGAGTCAGGGAGGCCTGTGATCATGAGTCCTGACTCCAAGTTGGCCTACACATCGATCAAGAAATCCGCAGAGCGAGGCATATGACCGTGATTGATCATGAAATCCACTGTCTGACTCTACGGATGCTCTTGACTTTGTCGTGTCATATTCATATGATCTAGACAGGGGCATCATCCATACATCATGGTCAAATCCAGAAATAGTCCAGTATCCAGCCAGTTCACCGCGACTAGCGTTCCGATTGTATGCACCCACGTCATTCAACAATGGAAACCTTTGTAGATCAGAAGACTTAGAAACAGTGCCACAGTTTCATCTGGTATATATAATCAGGTCACCTGCTCATCAGAGACTTCAGAACTTTTGCACTCTCTGAATATTGGACTCGCTGTTCTTGATTGCACCATAGACTTGTATTGGTGCGTTCTCTTTGCCTTTAGGACTGGTGACATCCTGACCTTTCATCTTCGTAGAGTTGCCGTCATGTGTTACTTTGTAGTCCCCATCCGCACTTGCTTCAAGTGCCACCAAAACGAACCACTTTTCGACGAAAACGAAAGGCGATTGTCGCATGCGAATGAGAAGAACGAGGTACCGTAATCATCTATGCTTGAAAGAACTTCAAAGCTATTTGACTCATTCCTAATAGCGAAAGTCAACATACGTAGAACCTCCCCAAGACTGCTACTCGCGCTGGTGTATTTTCAGTAGTGAACACTCTAACACTTGCAACTCCTGCCGGATCACTTGTAAACAAACGTCAGTGGCAGTCTTTCCTGTTATCTGTCGAGACTGACGCGTTTTATACTCTGCAGACTCGGCAAAACACGCGACATTCAGGGTGGTTCACCTTCATACGTTTGCGACATTTGCGCCTCAAGCCCTCAGCGGCATTGTCAATGCCACTCGCCATATGGCGTAGGCAATGGTGTACTTCGTCGAGGGGAAACTGGTTGGTTTGCCGGGTTAACGAGATCTTCGGCAAAATAATATCTGGCAAATGACGTTTCCGTATCATTGACACTTTCTACGAAATACCAAATTCATCACAAAACGTTACCTCTTCCAAGTATGTTGGACATCCGCGATTGACCATTCGACATCACGATCCTCCTCTTGTACTGTACTGAACAGGCCCACGGCGTCTTGAATATTACTGTTGATGTGTTCCATGACCATGGGACCTAGGTGCGCGCCATGAAATACAGCCAAGACGCAACACATGTGTATATTCATCTGATCTGAAAAATGTATCAATATGCAAATCACTGGCACCGTGTAATGTGTCTATCAATGTACTGTGAGTTGAGCATACCCACTTGCCTACCAACCAGATATCCCTACTGAAGTACTCACATTTCTTACGCATGAATTGTAAACATATTCTCACGATTGAAACGTGCGTTGCTGATCCCATTTTTAGGTGCTTACTCGTTCTAGCAGGTCAGCCTGTTAGTAACTGTGATCGACTAAAGCTATATCCTGATTAGCGATAGTCAGACAGATATTCCTGTAGCCGCTAGGCCAGATTTACACCTCACTGCTCGACCTGCTCGAACCTTAATGCAAAAAATTCGTATTGCTATATGATAAGGAAGACCAGGACTGAGGAGACTCTAGGACTCTCCGCACTGGCGGTGCCACATCGCTCACTGCTCTGCTTCCTCTACTACCTGACAAATATACGAGAACAGGAATACGAGTCTTTGTTCTCCTGCACTGGGATCACCATGTGGTTCACCGTCTTCTGTGTCGTGGGTCCGTCATTATTATATTATATATCTTCAGCCCTTAGATAATGGCGTCTTCCTGGATATTCGTGACATTCAGGTATCTGACGAATCTTTACGGAATATGACAGCGATCCGAACGGGTTCTCAGACTCGGGAGCACAGTACGGAACGGAGACCAACGGCAGCATGCTGTACAATACTAATGCTGCATATTCGACATCTTATAAGCAGTAACCTGAAGCGAGGTCGACTTGTTGGCATAAATTAGTATGAATGCTTTTCAGGCGACTCAAGCTGATGCGTTCTTGAGGTTGGGTGTAAGTGCAAGTCCTGCTATCGAGTGTATCCTGTATCACTGATACCTGTCGTCCCAGTATCCTTATGGTGCGGCTATGGGTTTATGATCACTTTTCATTCATTCATTTATTTGTCTCCCCATGGTAGTTGCACTAACAGCGCTGTGGGTGAGCGCAAAAATTACGACAGCCTTTGGTGAACGAGACTCACGCTTTTATTCGAACATTTAGTTATATGACTACATACTGTCCATACCCGACGCGGCAAGTAGAAATTTCCTTGGACATCCCAAGGTGCACTGATCCGTAGTCGGTGCAGGTTGAGTTTATCGTCGAGTCTCGATGGGGGCTCGGGATGTTTTTCTATCTCGCTTGCAGTCACTTGCCCTTTGCCTTCGTGTCACTGAATATGCTCAGTGAGTGTTCGGTACACATCTCCATTTTTCCTCCCTCATGATGTGATGACTTTCAGTGGTTTTTCAACCTGATGCCCCACTCCCTGTATGTGCAAATTGGAGCGTTGCAGACACTTGAAATTAATCCATCCCAATCGAAGCTTTGTCGCTCTTATGGTATCGCCAATGTCTGTGAGTCTTGTGAAGCTTCCTCCAGCCATGTACTGACTCCGCGCTATAACTCATGAGATATAGGGTTTCTATTGATGTTCTTCGTTGAGTGTGGGTCCAGCAGTTGGATTACCCAGCAATGATTCTGCGCTCTAACAGTGTTGCACTGATCCAGCTATTTTCATACTCAGGGCATATGCAGTATGGGAACGGGAGAGGTGGCACGCCATATTCGCAATCGTCAATGTCATTGTGAGCCAAAATACATGGAGGCTACGGCCAACTCCAGATAACAATGCCCAACCCATCTTGCGCAGGCCTATCTAGTACCAACTATCATTTGCCTTTGGGAATTTGACTCGTCAGTCTCTGGTACGTATAACTTCAAGTTGGACTCCGTGTCTGCTTAGCTCCTGACCTCTTAAATACAGGGGAATGCTGGATTCCTGGCATTTTTGGATATCTAGATATGAAGACGAGCTCGACAGTATATGCGCTTTACTGCTTGCTCGCTGTTATTGAGCTACGTCCGTATCGGGAGCTACTGCTAACACAAGCTTGAACTTACTACATGCACACGATTCCAGAAATATTGTTTCTTCTGTACTATCGCGCCATCAAGAGTCATGGTGGCCGGGAGATCGACAACCGTCTCATGCGTGGTCTCATGCAACACAATCTGCTGTATTTCGGCTGCAGCTTTGGTTAGTTCTCGCATATTACCAAACACCTCTTGCATATTTACTTACTGAATGTTACAGCTTTTACTCTCAGTGTCGTTCTCACAACAATCTTTACTCCGGTAAGTTAGATGTGTACATGCGAAGCCACTCCATTTATGCAAGACGTAGTTTCCATTTGCACACACGGTGGCAAAGTTTGTCTACTCTCGATTTGGAGGTGATGGTTACTTATTCTGCAGCAGCTATCAAGTCATTGTGCAAGCCGTCTTAGTCACGCAAATGCATAGGGACTTCTGGAGGTTGAACCGTGCTTCTTGTGGCACCTACACGGATGTTTCTTTCACGACGTGGATGGCAGCAGTCCCAGATATTATATGACAGTGCGCTTCCTCTGCCAAATCGTCATGATCATGCAGCTGACACTCGTTGATCAAGAGACAATACTACTTGGAACATGCCAACCCTTAAAATTACGTGACCATTGGGCAGTCTCTTATACGGGCAAGGCTAAGAAATGGATGACGCAAATTCGCTGGAAGTCAACCCATCAATCACAGCATATTTAGTTTCTTCTTCTGTTCTCTCCCTGACTATTTTATATATTTATCCCGTTCATCGTCACTCTAGGCTATGTCAACAGTGCATAGAGTATATTTGTGTTCATTCACCCTTTGATCTAGCCATACACACTCACACACACACACACACTCTCTCTCTGCGGTCTTTCTTTTCTCTGGGGTCGAAGACCCTATGTCAGACATAGCTCTATTCGAGTGCGGGGGGCTTGCTCCCGGCTATCTATCGTAGTTTGTATGTACTGTGTGCGTGATGCGAGAAACACGTACTCCGAAGGTGTTGATGAAGCGGCGAGTACGTGCGATAAATTTGAATAGCGGCTTGATACATTTTTTGTCGTTTAGGAGGTATTTCAGCTGCTGGGTTCTGGTTCCTAGTTCTGCCCGCATGGCGTTCCGCTTGTACATGCTGGGCATGCTAGCAGATAGAGTATAATACGAAGTGAATGCAATTGATCAGAGTGTGTTCACGAGTGACCGTATGAATAGTATGATATGTAGTATGCACGTGCAAGAGATGAAAAGAACGTCTATGACGTATATGGCACAGAACTCATGCAGTCCTCTCAGAGTTTCTGGTTCGGTATATAACTATGCAGTGCACATGGGGAGTCTCGACCCGGGACCATCCCATCCTTTCTGTTAAAGTTTCTTTTACCTCAAACCAAAGGAACAGTCATATTGATTTGATTACGATGCAGCAAATGAGCAAACAACTCCCCCGGAGCGTAATCATTAGCACCAGGAAGGTGGCGCGAACGGTAGTACTTACCACAAAAAACACATGTTACCGGCTCGAATTCGGTGCGGCTGTCGCGTTTCTGTGACTTGACGTTGTACATGCCATGTTCGTTTAACGACGATGTTACCGAAAACATCTTCCCCGATGCCAGGATGTTTTGGAATGATGTTCCAAGTTTCCAGTTATAATCTCGAAATATCACTCAAAAACATCCGACCTGCCTGGCTCGAACAGGCGACCTCAAGATTAATTTATCCAATTACAGTCTCGCGCTCTTCCAACTGAGCTAAGGTCGGTTACGTCTGATAAGGACATCCGCCGATCTAAGAGGCTTCACGTGCAAACAGCGTATTGACAAGAGTGAAGATTAGCCGAAATACAAGAGGTTTATGTCAGTATCAGAATCCGCTTGAAAGTAAATATGAATATGCAGTCGTTGCTTGTCGTTAAGGGTCATGCATAGTAGAAAGTAAAGTAGAGAACGAGAGTGAAAATGATAAAAACGATGGTAAGTTTCAAGAATTCAGATGCATAAGGTGGAGGTGGCGGACCCTGCCTTTCACATGATTGTGCACCAACGAGACTTCTTTTCCTTGTCTTCCTCGACAGCGGAGGGGAGGGCAGTGGTTGGAGTGTTTTCAACTGAGGACTTGTGGATGAATTCTCCTGCTGCAACGTCGAGTGATGTGCGACCCTCTTCAGGAACCTTGGGTGAAGAGGAGAACCATCCACCAGGGAAGAAACGAGAAGAGGTCGTGGACTCCAGTCTGTTGCGGTTGGCTCCGTTATTGGTGGGAATATCGATGCGGAGGGTGCTGGATTCAGTGACCTCGGCGGCGTTAAGCTCGTCAACTGCAGACAAGCTTGGCCTGAATGCACAGAGTCAGGAACAAGGAAGGAAGTGAGGGAAATGTGGACTGACTTCTTGGCGATTTTCTGTGGCTCTTCGAGAACAGGGAATGTTTGAGGGGTCTCTCGGGCGATTGGAACTCCATTAGCCTCAACGTCGTCATGTGTCTCGGAGAGCTCTGAAACAGTCACGTCACCCTCTAAGCACGAGAGAGTCTCCGCGATGACAGGCTCATCTACAGACGCGAGCGTCTCGGTGATGAGGACAGGCGGGATGGGTTCCTCGTCAGCCGCAAGTGCAGAAACGCTAGAGAGTGGACCAGGCAGATGCTCTAATTCACCAAGATCCTCCACTTCTTCAACATCATTCGGCCCCTGCTTGGTGACAGAGTACGAAGGGGTCCATGGCGACTTTGGTCTTTCTCCAACAGGATCATCGACGGGTGTCAGAAGCCCCGAGTCCGATTTAACCTCGGGAGTACCCTCTACAACAGCCTACGGAATTTTCAGCAAGTGTAAAGCTCGGTGCCAATACAATCTTACAGGTGGTTGGGTCTCAATGATAAATGATCCATGGTCAACAAATTCGCCGTCCTTAGCAACCGCTTGATCCTCAAGTGCAGATGCTGGTTCAAGTCCAGTTACTGAGTAGGACCGCGTCCAGGGAGAACTACTATGCTCTTCGTCAGGGCCAGTAGCACCCAATTGCTGTTGAAAACACTTAGCGTGGCTAATCTTCGCATAAATAAATAGTAACCTACCGTATTCTCGTCGTCGACGATGAACGATCCCTGTTCAATTTCCTCCTCAGGCACTTCCTCCACAGTAGGTGGCTCGGGTGTAGTCGGTACCGAACGTTCTGCTTGAGCGATGACACCTTGCTCCGAAGCAACATCCTGGGGAGCCTCTGCTTCAACCGCTGAATCAGGAATATCCGATTCGTCTAGCATTGCCGAAAGCGTAACATGTATGTCTGCAACAACTGTGGTAGAACTGGTTACCTCGCCAGATATGAGTGTTTCTGTGAAAGGAACAGGTTGCTCTTGGTATCTCTCCGCTGCAACAAACTGGGCAGCGCTTGGAGGAAGCTGCTCCAAGTCATCAAGTCCCTCGTTAGCCTGAGCAAGATTGCCTTGTACAGTCACTGAGTAAGAAGGCGTCCAAGGTGATTTAGGGCAAGGTTCTTCTGATTCGCCGAGCGTAACCTATCCCCGAGTTAAGTCAAAGGCAGAAAGGCAATAGGGGTGAAATCATACCTGTTCCGCTGTCAATTGTAAAACCTCAACCTGGGATTGTCTGGACACCTCCATATCAGTTGCAATCTCTGGGACGACCGCAGCTACTTCATCGATAATGATCTCGGGTGTTTGTGACTGGGCAGGGACAGCGTCATCATCACCTCCATAGACGTTTACATGCTCCTCGACGGGAACGCCTGGTCCTTGAGTGATGACGCTGTAAGAAGGGGTCCATGGTGACTTGGGACGCTCAATGTCAGTAGCAACGTTGAGAGCTGGAGATGTCGCAATCTAAAACATATCTAAGAAAACGTGGATAGCGACAACGGATCCTACACACCTCTTGCTGTTCAGTGACCTCCTCGACTGCTTTAGTCTCTTCAATCTCGTTAAAGATCTCCACATGTGCAATTGGAGGCTCCAAGTCCTTGTCGACTTCAGAATGCTCCTCATTGAAAGGAAATTGAGAGGTGACCACATGCAGCTCCTCTAAAATCTCGGGCTTCTCGGCGGGTACGGACGTCAACTCCTCAACGATAAGAGCCGTAGGGAAAGACTCCTCTACAATGGGTTGCTCTGGCAAAGATACGGGTGCCTCTCCATGTTGTGAATCCTCAGTTTCGTCCTTAGTCTCTTCACTGGCAAACAAGGCGTCTTCAGTGTGCTCCAGGGCAGCATGGACCTCTTCGAGAGCGACTTCGACGACCGACACTTCACTTGCAGCAGGAGCGGGTTCTTCAACAGCCACGGATAATTCAGTTACGGAAGCGTCAGACTCGACAGTTGACTCCTCAGCGACGGTTGTAGTTCCCTCAAGAGACAAGGTATCGTCAAACATCGGGTCCGCAGAAGTGGTGGGGGCCGCTTCGAAAACTGGGATGGCCTCCTCCGCTGTCGAGATGATTTCTTTGGGCGCAGTAGCGGTTTCTTCGGATGTTGGCGGTACCTCCACAGTGGAGGTGGCGGTAGGCTCATCTTCAGGCACGGAAGGTTCTTCGGTGGCTGGACCGTCATCAAGTGTAGGCTCATCAGCAGCCGAGGACACTTCTGCAATGAGGGGTATCTCGTTCATAGCAGGAGGGATTTGATCATCGACAGAGACAGATGCCTCTTCGGTTGTGAAAGTTTCCTCGGTGGTGACAGGCTGATCGTCGAGCACTGGCGTATCCTCGACAGCAACTAACTCATGGTCTCCCGTTGGCGCTGCAGCTTCCTCATGCACAACTGGTTCGCGCGCCTCTACGTCCGAGGGCTCGAGAGGTTCCTCGACCGCAAGGATATCCTTTTCGACCGATGCGACAACTGCCATTTCAGAAATCGTTTCGCCTGACACAACGACAGTGACGGGCTCTTCTTCCGGCACATAAGGCTCTTCCGTGGTTGAAGTAGCCTCAAGAGCAGGCCCGTCAGTATCCGAGAGCACTTCTGCAAGGAGAGGTGTCTCGCCCATCGTGGGAGGAATTCGATCATCAACAGAAACATCTGCGGGAGTTTCCTCGATTGCTACAGGCTGGTCTTCACGCCCCGGAGTGTCTTCAACCGCACCAGACGTATGCTCCTCTACTGATGCGGAGAGCTCGTCGACCGTTCCTGATTCAGATATATCCACTTCTGCGAGCGGGGAACATTCCTCAACAGCAGGAACATCTTCTCCAACTGGCACATCAACAAGAGGAGCATATGTTTCTTCAACGGTGGAAGCATCTCCCGCGAGCGAGATCTCTTCAATCGCTGGAGCGGCTGTTTCAGCGAATGCCTCTTCAGGTGCAACAAGCTGCTCAATGGATGCGGCAGGCTCTTCAACGGAGAGAAGAGGCGTGTCGACATCGGTTGCATAGACAGAAGGCATGGTCTCTTCCAACACCGGACCATCGTCAATGGGAGCTGCGAGCTCTTCGACAGTGCGCTCAGCTTCATCAACAACAGGCTCTTCGACTGGCGAGGATGATTCGATTGGAGCAGCTGATTCGATAGGAGTGTCTTCATCAACTAGAGTGATTTCTTCGACTGGTGCATGTTCTTCAATTGCCACAGCCTCCACTGAGGGAACCTCTTCGACTGGTGCGGGCTCCCTTGTAGCAACGTCAATTGGGACGACCTCTTCAGCAGGGATAGTTTCTTCAACTGCCGTGGTTTCCTCAACCAGTACGTTCTCTTCATTCGTTGCAGGTTCTTCGACCGGGAATTCCTCGACCATTACAACCTCTTCGGCCACTACAACTTCCTCCGCTGCAACTTCCTCGACTGATGCAGACTCTCCTGTAGGATTAACATCGATTGGAATGACCTCCGCAGTCTCCTCAACAGAAGGCTCTTCTACCTGCACCTCGGACTCCACATCAGCAGCTTCCAAAACTGACTCAAACGCAGGAGTCTCCTCAGCTAGAGGCGTCTGCGGCTCGTCATCATACGCGAAACCCACCTCAGGGTCCTCAACGAATGACACGTTGGAGCTGGGTGGCTCGACATCGATCTGAACAGTCTCCACTACAATAGACTCGACTGCAGGTTCTGTGAGCTCCGCATCAACTGCTGCAGGCGCTTCCAACTCGACAGTGGCAGATTCGAATCCTGCTGCTGCTACAGAATCCGTCTCAGTCGAAGTAATGGGCTCGGGGTCAGGGGCTGTGACTGGTTCCGAGTCAGCTGTAATGAAGTCGTGTGCATCAACAGACTCTGCTTCGGCAGCAACGATAGATTGGGCAGGGACCTCGGGCGCCGTAGTTGGCGCGATGGCAGCTTCCTCTGATTCAGTTGACAGGACATCTGGCCCTGTCGCAGCCTCAGCTGGAGCCGAAACAACCTCGGGAACAAATACTTCCACTTCCGGTTCGGTGGGAGCGGCTGGCCCGTTCACAGCATCAATAGCACCCTGCGACTCCTCATTAGCCTCCTTTTCCGCTGTGATACATGCATCAACCTCTGCAGCAGATTCCTCTGCTTCTGCACTCGATATCTCGGCTGGTGCAGCAGTGGCTACTGCTTCCGTCACTGGCACAGTTTCTTCAGTCGGAACGGACTCGGCAACTTCGTTGCCGGGCTCTACATCTGCTGCACTATTTCCAATCGGTTCCGACTCGGTAGCTTCTGGGGTGGGCTCCAAAGTTGCCGCGGCTTCCGCGTCAGGCTCGTGAACCAGACTGTCCTCCACGACCACCTCGGGCGATGTTGGTTTATTTAGTGCAGCTTTAAGCATCGTTGGCGTGATTACTGGCTGGGGTGTAGAAGATTGTGTTTCAACTAGTGCAGGTTCTTGCTCGTCCGATATGTTTTCGCATTGAGGAGCGGTCTCTGCTACAGAATCGATGGACGCTGGCACGGTCTTGGTAACAGCAAGTTCATCTCCGACTGACGAAGCCTCCACTTCCATTGGACGTGCTTCTGCTTCAATCGGGTCACATGCAACTTCTACGACAGCCGGTTCAGGTTCTGCGGCCATGGGAGATATTTCCTACAGTGACGTCAAGATGAAGGTAGAAACGTCGCATTCAAAGCGCGACTCACCTCTGCTTCAATAGCAGGGGGGACAACAACCTCTTCCAGTATATCAGCAGTTGAGCTCATTTTGGTGTTCAGATGGGAGATGGGCGTCTCGTCCTGACAGGGAGAAGGCACTGCAGCAGTAGTGCTTCCGACGCCATTTATGGAAGTCGTAACAAAGTCTGATAGGGACGTGTCAGGGCCGGTGCTAGCAGCGATAGGAGGCTCTCCATCATCTAAAGAGGCTTTAGAAGCTTCCACAACGATTGTGGCAACATCGAGAAAGGGTATTTCCGTGCCTGGGCTGTCAGTGATTGGGAATTGGTCCTGTAGCTGATTGTTGGAGAATGGACGCGTCAAAAGCATGTCCGCACATTTGCATACCTTGGGTATCTCTGGAATAACCATACCGGAAAACTCAATCGCGTCCTCTTGGACGAGCTCTGCGAGACTCGCGGGCTTGTCGCATGGAGCGATTGTGAGAGTTGTAAGCTGCTCGGACTCTTCTACGAGAAGAGACTTGTGGTAGCCGTTGGCAAGAGGCTCAGAGTCATGGATAAAGGTGGCGTTCTCCTTATCAGAGTCACCGGCGTGCAGGCCGGGTGCCTCTGGCCCCATATCATGGACCAACTTGCCCTGGATACAACTCAGTCACACAAGAGCTACAACGCGGCAAAGAGTGGCACACACCACGTTGAGAACCTCGACAGATATCTCCGCCGCGAGGGTGTCGTCAGAGGAAGCAGTTACCAAGGTATCATCGGCCTTGTTACCGGCTCTGGAAATGTCTTCAGCACCTAGTGCAGACTCTTGCACACCATTTGAAGCAGCCTCGACGACCTCCCCGTCAGTCACCAACTTGCTAGGTGTCTCGAAAGAATTGGACCGTCGTGCACCTGGTGGCCATTAGATATCGGGTCGTCAGCGACGACAGCGTTGTCGGCCACAATAGACATAGTCTCGAATAATGATAGTAGGGAATGTGCTATGGAGCTAGTGAGAGAGAGAGAGATTGCAAAGTTCGTTCTTGTGAGCGAACCCGACCAGTCGCAGCTGCAAAAAAATGCAAGCGACGTGCGCAAAGAAACTCAACAGAAATCCGCTTGAAAGTCTACGCGACTGGTCACGTGATATCATTCAAATATTCACTGGTCACCCTGGTCAAATGAAACACATTCAATGATTTCACAGCGATCCTTTCACACCAGGGGATAGGGTTTATAGTGACAAATGAAAGATGCTCTTCTATAATGCACAAAGGAGCACAAGGATGGGCAAATACTGCCAACAAAAACAAGTGACTAAAATATGAATAATGTGGAACGGAGCAAAGACAGTTGATATATATCAAATTAAACAGTCCGCCGCGCGTCATGATCGTGCCCGTATCATCAACATACTTAGAAGAGAGCAGCACCAATGAGACCCATTACACCGGCAACACCCATTGCCGAAGAGACAGAAAGGCTACTGGCGGCGCCGGTCTTCTGAGTCGTGCCAGAGGATGCAGTGGTAGTGGCAGAGGTTTTAACACCAGAAGAGGTGGTACCAGATGCAGACGCAGAAGATCTAAGCGAGAATGATGACTCAGTAACCACTAAGGCGCACAGAACAATTGCAACTTACCCAGCGGCCGGGGTAGAGGTAGCCACTGGCGACAGCGCTACCACTCGACGCGCCACCCTCATTTACTGCTGTGTTAAGGACAGGAGGTGTCGCTGCCAGACATGATGGTGACGATGTCAGAGTATGCCGTAGAACCGGTACTGTCCTTGAGAGCGATGTTGCTAGATCCCAGTCAGCTGCACGTCTCCGAGAATCCCACGGAGGATAACTCACAAGATAGTGTTGGCTTGAAGATCGACGTTCCAAGTATAGGATGTGCCCGTTTGTGTTGGGAAGGACTTGATCTATTCGAAAATGTCTCAGAATAGCCAGTCAGCTTCAGTGTAAAAATAATCACTTACAGGTGAGGCCATGGATTGCCCGCCTATTAAGACTCGATAAAATGGCACCTAATCAATTGCACGAGATGACATACCAGGCACAAGGGTCAAGTAGTAGGGAGACTGTCCGCCAGACCAACTAAACAAAATAGGCTCTAGAGGACACGAGCAGTGTTAAAGCGTGATACCAATTGATAGGAGAGTACATACGGCACTCAACAACATTGGCCCTGCATCACATGATGAGCACTCTCTCCCGTACGACGAGATCTAAGAGAAAACACGTACGGTGTGTTGATGGTAAGACCAAAGACGGCTGGAACGGCGGAAACGAGGGCCACGAAAACGGTTGTAAACTTCATCGTCGGTATAAGTTTGTTGAACGAGTGCGGCGCGAATAGTGGGTCGGGTATTTTGTGTCTAGAACTTCGAGAAAATAAAAGTACGAGAGAGAAATGTAATGTTTCCGTTACGACGGCACTCTTAAGGCTTGGCGGAGTTTAAAGTTTGTTGCCCTGCCGACACTTCGGCAGAGTCATTTTTGAACCTCCGTGAACTATCGTCCATTCCCATTTGGATTTAAACTGATACTCTTCTCGTCAGCCGCAAACGGGTAGTACCTACTGATGCATATGCTGAGAAACTGGCTGACACTAAGCTGTATTTGCATGCAACGAAACTTGTTGAGGCTAAATATTGTTCTACAAGTGAGATCTACAAGTGAGACTTTGTGGAGCTAACTGTAACGATCGTCACGCGTTAACTTCCTCGACTCCCACGTTAGTGAAAGAGGATCTTCGTCGGTAGGATACGTCTATTTTCTTTGCAACTCCGCCGGCACTTCCCATATTGTCGATCGATCATTCCCTTTCCCGTTCGGTGTGACTGTCCGCCACCCATCGCCTGAGTGGGTTATTGAGCAACTAGCAAGAACTGTTGAGTGCACTCAAAAGTCTGCTATATGATTGTGGAGATGTCTGCTTGAACATAAAAAGTCTGCCAGCTACACCCATTTGATACCTTATTTGGTTGTCTTTGTGTCTGTCATTCAGTTCTCACTGAGCCTCCTTGTTTTGTTATATGTCTCAGTGGGTCACTCCTACATGGTGTCAGCTTTTATGGGGTGTTCTAGAGTTTCACACTGACCTCTCTGTTAACATCTCTGGTGCCCTACAGGTCTTTCTGCTGGAATCAAAAGTAATTCTGCCTCAGCATTGACATAAAATAAAGAGTGCACACAAACTGAACAGCATCAAAATGATACAGCTCAGTCTGCTGCCTTCAATTCTGTCAGCCTCACTGAAGCCTCAGTAATGGACACTCCTTCAATTATTGGCCAGTCTGTCAAGAATCTTGGTTGGTATGTATGCATCTTAGGGATATATCTTGTGTTTCTGAGATGACCCTTGCACAGTGTGAAGGTAAATTCCTTTTCATGGACAGACTATTGCATAAAAAGGAAGTTTCAGCCCAATGACTGGGTCTAGTTACATTGGACTTCTGGAAATTTATGTATTGCAAAAATGTTGTCAGCAGGTTTGAACCAATTCCAAGAGGCGCAGATTTTGACTCTATTGTGAAAACTACTTGGCTAAGACCAATTAGATGAACCCCTGATGAAGCCATCCATGAGTGAATGTCAAGGTATGATAAGAGGAGAAATCATTTGTTGGCAAGTTCAAATCTGTACCACCCAAGAGAGTAGATTTCTAATCTGTTCTAGTTGGCTATGACTACTTGAGATAGACCTTGAAGGATCCATCCTTGGGTGAATGTTCAAGGCATGGTAGACGAAAAAAGATTGTTGAATAGGTTTCGAACCTGCAATTGACTGTCATGCTTACCACTTGGCTAAGACTGGCCAAGATAGTCATCTGTAGTATGAGCCAAAGAACATCATGCATTGACAGTAGAATCACGTAGGATTAGCGGTCATTTGCCAACACAAAATGACATAAAAAGACTGGTCTGCATTTAACTCAATCACAAGACATGCCAAGAATAAGCAAGCCGGGCGCCATTGCGATTAGATAAGTGAGACCATATGAAGCATAATTACACTTCAAGCTTCGTATCACAAACAGTTCTTTTTGGGGCAAAGACAATCTTGTTATGTAACATCAAAAGAGCATGCAAGCGACAACATGGTCGACAATCACCTTGGAGCCCGCATGCATGCGTGCATGCTAGTAAAATGCCCCTCATAATCCAATCCAACTACTTCGTCCTCCAGGATTGTGCAGCAAAGTCTGCCCAATTTTAATGACGCCTGCAGTAGACCTCGGTGATACTTCGCCACTCTTGCGCAATTCAGAACGCTCTAAAGATGGAAATGCATCGATAGCGTCGATGACAGGACTCGGGACCGCAACATGAGTTGAAGTACATGCGAAGAAGGACCCATCTCCTGACGTGTCCTCAGAGTGTTCAGGCGACGATGGAGTACTGAACACGGGCAAAAACGATTCGGCATACCACTCGTACCATACCTGCCGCTCATTCGTAAGCCGCCAGATTGATACGTGCAGCTCTGAGTTGCTAGGTAGGTACAGAGGTTCCTGAGCGAATGAATGTCAACCACAGTCACCAGGGAATGCCAATGTCAACACCTACTTTGAATGGGAAGAAGAGCGGGAACCAGCTCAGCATGTCCTTCGACACCCGATCTTTACTATGCGGATGAATACTAAGACCAACATGCCCATAGAGGACGGCTTCGAAATAACCGGCAAGCCCGTGCATAACCCCAGCATGAGGAATATGGAATGACAGCTTGGCAGAGCGGACATTGTGACTATTTGTCAGGGGTAAGCCTAGACACTCGGCGTAATTAGCGTCCGCCTGACCCGAAGCCCGCTATTCAGATTTACCTCGTTCATCAACAGTCGCATCTTTTCGCGGATGCTCAAATTCCCAGCATTGTTGAATCCTAGGCCCACAGCGGCCAGATACTCCTCCGCCATCCCCGCTCAGAATGTTGACGTTTTGGAACATCACCACATATGGTGTTTCCATGCCTTTGATTTCTTTACTGATTCGCGCGTTATTGTACAATTTTGATGAAGATAGTGGAGCGAGATGGGCACTGTACGATGATGGGATGGAGATGCCATCAGCTGGAGAACGGTTAGCGAAATGGGGTGATGAGCGTAAACAATCCACACGTTTCAAAAACCTCATTGCGCCGTCGAGACACTCCGGACTTAGCTCGTTATCGCCGAACGAACCGAGTAATTCAGTGATGAGGATGTCCACTTGCTCAGGGAGCTTCACATGCCGCATGTCGCCAAAAAACAGCTGAACAGAGTCACCCCATTCATTCTGTTTCCGGCCCTGAAGCCTATTTACAGTCAGACGTCAATGTGGAGATGATGAGAGCCAAACAGACGTCACAAAGGCATTTGGGTTCTTCTCAACTGCGTACACACAGGCACTTCTTCCCGATCTCTTGATCGCCGTCAAACTTCGTTCGATAAGGGGGCCACGGCCTGCCCCAGCAACGCAAATCACACTGCGAAGAAGGGTTAAGCCTTGTAATACATGCCAAATTTGATTCGCACATGTGATCACTATCAGGCCAGTCCATCAACGCGTGATACACGGCCTACATATTTCACGTGTCACTGTACAACTTCGGTTCATAACAGATGAGACGCACTTCTTCATAATTGCGGTATTTCACAGGGTCCTGTTCGAATGTTTGATACGTAATGCTCTGGAGGTTGTCCATCAGCGGCTAGGAAGACATCAGTAAGATAGGATGCGGAAATGAGGTGCATGTATCAACTTGTAGGGGGTTCTGGAGGTAGTCTTGATAACCCTGAGCGAAGTGCTCAACTGTCCCTGCCGTCATCGCTGCCTGAACAGTCAAGCTTGTCTTCTCGACATGTCGTACATATTGTGCATATGCTGATTCGCCACCTTTGGTATGTAACCCCGAGCTAACCCCTGACATGATGATGATAGGGTGATGCTAGCCGATTCTTGTTTCATCATCTGCCCAATAGCAGAAATACAGCGTTAACTCACCGCCATGCTATTGCGTAGAAAGGATTGTGTACCCTTGGGAAGGACAGGGTAGCCCTTCACATTCGCGATAAACGTGGACGCGGGGAGGAATATATGGTGAACAGGTTCAGCCATCCATCTGTTGAGGATGCCGGCATTAGAAGGTAATGGCAGGGTGAGATCGAGTGCTGGAATTCAGCTTGTCAAGTACTGTCTCCAGGACGTAAAGTGAATGCATACTGAGCGTCAAGCGTGTGTTATATTCACAGAGTGTGCGTATTATGTCCCACATTTCCCAAGTTGCATTTATCTCTCCTTCGGGAGCCCGTGCGGCCTTCAAGGATTTTGACGTGGAAGCTCGCGGTATCACAATTTTCGGCGTTGAGGGTGCAGATGGGGTCGACGATGTACTCGTTGTCGAAGGAGGAATAGATGGCGATTCTTTCGGTTGAAAGACCGCAGGATCGTAGATAGGAAGACGTATCGAGAAGTTCATGTAAGTTGTATTTTTGAGACATTCATTTATGGCGCGCGCATATGATGCAACTTGTGATCGATGCCTAGGTGGAGGTAAAATGACCGTCTGAACATTGAGGTATGACGCGTAGGCCACTTCCTGGCGTAATGCCTGAAAAATCAGATTCGGGTTAGTGCACAACAATAAGCTCCGCGAAGATAGCTCCACAACGCTCGCAAGCATGATTTTTTTTCACAGAATGGACTCACGATCTCCGAGTCATGCCTAACCCAGTCATCCGTTGAGTCAAGCTGAAGCCAGTCTGATGCCATCACAAGTACAGGCTCCGCCTCATCTATCGCATTGCCACTCAGGATGCACGATTGAGGACATGATTCGTTAATCTCACTTACCAAGTCTCGAGATGGTCACCTCCTCGTGCAGGAAAGACGGTGCTTTCCTCCATGCTTCCGCCTGCTGTTCTGCAGTGGCATTCTCGTCTGTGTCATTTGCACTTGCTGATGGCACGATGCACATATTCCTCCATCGCTCTCTCCATTTTGGGGTAGTCAAAGGAAGACAGACAAAATCATAACCCTTGGCGTGACTTTCACTGATTAATTTCAGAATGGGAGTTTTATCGGATCCATCAGTGCGTGCAGATGCCTGTGAAACGTCATCAAAAGTGAAACAAGAAGCTAAGCTTGCAGCGTCTGTCATGATCTTGGAGGAAGAAAAGTGAGTATCCTAAATAGGCAATCTTGAGAAAACGCGTCGTATCGCGTTTTTATATCTGACCTTGCTTTCGTTGGACACTGAAATCACAAATTTAAAGTCTCCAAACCCTTGCAAGCCCTTGCGACCTCCTTCATTCTTCTACTCATTTCGCGACTTTCCGAATCTCTGCGCCCGCAAACGTGTTCATATAGAAGGCTTATGTTTTGCTTCTCAGACAAGTCATGATTGATGTCGGGTGAATTAACTGCTATCCAAAACACTCGTGCCAGCCCGTGCCCTATGATACCCGTGGGATCTCCATGGACATATTTGCATCACACACAGGTCTTCCGCTGTGCCAATAGATAGTCGCCCAGAATCACCCCAAAACTGAATCTCCCCGCGGCTCATGGGCAAAAAGGCGCCACAAAAGCATAGCTTCAATACCCTAGTCACCTTCGAACACGTCGTAATCAACGAACTTCCTCGGAAACTTTGTACCAGTTCAAAACGTTACACGTTCCCATCTGTTCTCACTCCACGAACGTGAACAGTTTCGATCTCATAAATTCGAAAGGAATTAACGGAGTTGGTGCAGGTTGACGCTGGGCTGTGCTGAGCCTGGGCGCACACCCTTCACTCCGGCTGCGGACATCCGACTGCCAGGTATTTTGGACTTCCAATCCCGTTCTCATAACATATGAGGCATGTCTTAAAGAAGTAACTGTTGCCTCCGAGGGTGGTAACTTTTTACGGATAACGTCCCTCGGGTGACGGCTGATTTGATCGACTGTGATCATGATCAGTGTTTAATCGTTGCGACGATCATCCGATCGGGTGATTCGTTTTCTCAGAGTCCAGGAGCTATGTACGTAGTATGGACTATGTAGTATGGATCCACATTGGTTGGTGGGTAGAGTATTAATTGCTATTAGCCATCCGTTCGAGGTCTCTTGACTCCATTGGGTGAGTCAGCTTCGGAATTATGTGTGGCGTCATCATCCGTCGTCATTTCATACCCTGCTATTACCCCTTCTAATACTGTTCTGCCAACGACTCGTCTCAACTCCTCATCAGGATCCCGGCCATCTGCTTCAGAGCGCTGCATGATATCATGAACAGACTGCATAAGCGATGACGTGAGGGATTCTGTTGCGATGTTTTGCTGATGTTGAGAAGGTTGCGAGGGCGACACCGCCCCAGGCATCATACATGAGGAAGGACTTAGGCGTGACTGCAGGTATGCAGCAATTTCGGGAAAGTCCTCTCGTAAATGTTCAATAGGCTGATGCGTATTTTATATCAGCGAAAAGGTAATACATGATTTTAAGCTCACGCACGGATACACCATCATTATTCTGATGGTCTAAAGTAGATCCGTGGTCCAATAGCCATTGTGCCGTCTCGGTATTTTCAACAGCATATAGCGGTGTATCTCCGTCTTCATCGGTGACATTGACATCTCCTCCTGTGCTTGGAAGGGAAGTTTTTTTTACATTTTGTGGCCAAGGATCTTATCACTGACCTTGTGAGCATAGGTATGCTAGGGTTTCAAGCTGCCCGTATGATGCCGCAGCGTGCATGGGAGTGTATGTGAATTCATCAGGAGCATTGGGCGACGTGGCTGGGAGGGATCGGATCAGAGCTCTTCATGTGAACTATAAAATGATACCTGCACTGCTGTTCAACAAGTTCCTGAAGGAACGAGATAAGCTCAGCACCTACCGTAAGCGAAGACAAGTTACGTACTCGAACTCTGACTAAATCGCCATCACCTGCAGCCACCCAAATGTTCTTTTCTGGTTGAACTCGTGCTGGGACGGGCATCGATGGGATGGGGCTCAATCAGCGACTGGAGAGGACTGGTTTGGTAAAAGGATGTCGTTAAAGAAGACGTCCCGAAATGGGAATTCAGGCTTAAATGCGGGTCCAACTTTTTGCCACAATCGGCACACCCAGTGCACAGTTGATTTGAACCCTTCATTTCCGGACACTGAAGATGGAGCCCACCTACGCCGAGGAGCCCGCAGGCTACGGAAAATTTTGAATGCTTCTAACGGTAGGAAATTTGTGGAAGTTACTTGGTTTGAAATCTCGGATCTATGCTGATCGGAACTTCCCCTGGGCGAGCTCGGCACCGTCATGAGGATGAAATATGTCGTTAGAAAACAGAGCATGCGGTGGTACTGCCTCTTAAATTTACGAATTTTGTGCCTTCTGAGGTATGGAACGCAGGCGAATTAAACGGAGTCTGAGTTCTGATATAAAATCAGCGGAGATATTTAGTTTATTTAAACAAGTTGCACTAAAGTCGAACCTGAAAGTCAATTTTGAGACTATACGGACCCTCCTTCCGTCCAAAACGAATGTGCCCGCTCCTACCTGTGCTCGATCGATTGTTGTAACTCTCAAGGCCCGTCGATCCCAATTTCAACCTCCGTTGGTTGACGACCCACTGATTGTAACATACTGTAAACTATTATTGGCAGTCTCTTTACGGGACTTCGTTTTTCAAGCTTCTAGCTAGCCATGAGCTTCCTCGTGCCAACGCAACGAGGCCTTGAACATGTAACCCAGCCCATGGGCGACTTCTCTTCCATACATAACCAGCCAAATAGATCCCATCTACCCCTTTCCTCCTTGGAAGGGTATCCTCATCAGGGCATGTCCGCCCTCCCAACTTCAACACCCTTTCCACCTTTTACCGACAATTCAATGTCTCAATCTTTGCCAAAGGTTGGCGAGACCAGATGCTGTGAGTCTACCAAAGTCTATTATTCCCTAAAGGGTCTCCAGTCCGATTGTTTCGGAACCTCCACAACCCGATCACAATCCTGTGATTTTCTCTTGATCGTCAATGATTTCACTAACCACGATTTGCACTTTGTGGCACCTTTAGACTGGTCCTTATTATCGTCTGAATTGGATTTCGTCTATCTGGATCCCGTTCTTGCCAACCATCTCGAAACCCAGGCCGACTCGCTCATTGGCAAGTCCCTCCTATCCTTTGTTCACCCCGAAGAGCAGGCTACTGCGCGAGCAGATCTCGCAGAAGCTCTGGAACAAAGGACGATGCACGGTAGTGTTACCAGGTAAGTGATTCCAATTGAAAACGGATTTATCTTGATCCCATTTTTTCCAGGGTCAGGTTTTGCCGTCTCTCTCGCGTCCGTCGTATCCTCGGTCACCAAGGGCCTACTCAACCGTGGCCGGATGGTGACAAGGTTTCCGTGGATGCCTACTACATGGTCGTCGACATCGTCATTAACTGGGCTGCAGAGGGCCTCGTGTTATGCTTTATCCATGCAGTCGTCGATCTTGAACCTGGTGACAATGATGAACATCATAGGACTCCATGGTCAAATTGGTGTGGCACACCATGCATGCACCCAGAACAGATAACACTGTTGCAGCAGCGGCTTCTATATTACTTCCCTCAATCAACCGCTACGACTAGGGTTTTCCAAATCTTGTTCAACTCCAATTACAGCCAGCAGGACTGTCGTCTTCTGTTGAGCTGGCCATCAGACAGCAGCCAAGAATATCCCGGCATGCCAGGAGCAAAAGACTTTGCCAGGCGAGCGGTGGGAATTCAGACATCCACTCGGGATAACAGCGCCAAGACGAGCTGCACGAGACGTTGGAGAATCCAAGATACAATGCCTGGAATAGGCGAAGTAGAAAGCGTGTTCATCCCTCATGGTAAGCGCTTCCTTGATGAAAGTCCATGTGCTTCTATTAAGCAAGCGGATATAGGTTCAATAACGTTTGCATGCCACACCATCCAACAGCCTGCTTCGCGGAGCTTGTCTGCCTCTTATTCTCAGTCTCAGCCGTTCACGAGGTCGACAGACCCCTACATGCCTACACACAGCCAACATCACCCCTATGACCTGTCGGCAAGCCCGTATACACTCCCGCCTGTGTCTACCTCAATGCCACAATCTTACGGACACTACACGCAGTCTTTGACGTCCCAGTACTCTCACACGCCCTGGGGGAGTTATCCGGAACCTTCTTCTTCGCTTTCCCAGTTTAACAGGTGGCCTGCTCAAAGCCCTGCACATTCGATGGCATCCCTCCCATCGTCTTCATGCACCTTGCGCGAGTCGCCTTACTCGAGACCATCAACGTCTCCAATTTATGGCGAGAACAGAGCGTCTTTAAGTAATTATCAAGCTACACCTAGTCCTGAGGACTACAGTACCAAGACCGCCTTCGAGGCCTTCGAGTCCAGTGTACCGCCGCCGCCGCCCTGTGGTACAGACATTGTACCTCCTCCAAGGCACCGAGTGAGCCCCGGAACACATAAGGACACGCTGCCACGTAGCACCAACAATCGCCCTCTCGGTGTTCTCAAATGCAGTAGTTGCAAGGCAACGTCTAGCCCTGAATGGAGGAAGGGCCCCAGTGGCAGGAAGGAACTCTGTAACGCGTGGGTGATATCACAACATGCGACGAGACTACTTACTAATATTTACTTGTTTTCTGTTTCATTGACCAGATGTGGCTTACGCTACGCCCGTTCTCGTGCTAAGAAGGAAGGACACGTGGTGTCGACACAGCGTCGGAAGAAAGACAAGACCGGAGCCGTTACGGCTAATGAGGAGTCTGCGGTGCCGTCTACTCCTCCAATACCTATTGCCGGCATGCCTTCGACAACTCGTCGCGGTGCTCCTGAAGGGAGCACATTTGCTTCCCCATCATCTGTTGGCTCTGGATCTGGTAGTGAACCTTACTCTCAACCAAGCCCTGTAGCACCAGAAGATAACCGACCTTCACCATCACCTCCGCTGCCTGGTCTCAATTTCGTTCACTACCACCCTTCTCAGTCCTCCTCTGGACCGTCGCATCATCAGCCACGAGTTGATGGTCGTGCATTCCCTTATCACGCGTCCAGCCCTTTCCAACCCTCCCCATCTCCGTTATCTTCGGGTCAACTGACTCTCCGTCCACCACGAGGACAGGATGATGTGCCTGGCTCATCGTCTCGCAGCGGGTCGTATCACCCTTATCCCTCTCCCCCATCAAATTCTACCCCTTTTGAACGGGCAAAAACGCAGGATCGCCACCTGACTTCACTGCCTCCCTCACCGGAGCGTAGCAGATTCCGGTGACCACGCCCTGTTAAATGGAACGATTTGAAGCTTACACGAGCGTTATGCGACACCTTGGCCCTGTTTCTGTGAAATGCTGTGACGTTTCAGTATTTTTATGTTTCCGGTTCATTTCTTTCGGCCAATGGTGCAAGCACACCTTCCTTGCCAAAATATTTATTGATGCAATTCACCTGGTTGTTCCTTTCGGACTCACATAGTGCAACCAACACATGGATACACGCCTTGTGTAGTTTTATCGTAGTGGACATGCTAATTTGAAATCATAAGATCAAGAGTTTGGTTGCGGTCGGACCATCGATTGTACTTGCGCTTGCCCACGTTTCTGGTCGTGAAATCGCGATCCTCAAAACTTTGCTACGCCGATCAACTCGCAGATGCGCCAAGGATCGCCCTGAAGAAATTTATTTTACGCAGTGTCAGCATCAAGTCAGCCAAACGATGGGGAATCCTGTGTGACTGATACTACGTGCAGCTAAGATCTCTCGTTCAGAGCCACCTATAATACTATGGTCTGTCCTCATTGCACACATAGTCAGAATTTCGACGGCACGGTCTCCAAGGTCGTCATTCCTTCTACACAGCCACAAGAAGCCACGCTAGTTATGTAAGTGACATAACACCGCCAGTACGTACTATACTACTTAGCCTTCGGATCTATATCATCCCTGGCTTGCTGACACGGACCTGTCATCTCATCATGCACCGGCCGGATGAACAATCAGTGGAGTGCGCGAGTCATGAAAAAACTGTAGTCGTTGAACGGTGAGCTCCGATGCCAAGCTCCGGTTCAATGTATCTTGACCCGTTGATAGCCCCACAGCTCGTGTCGCATTACCACCTCCTGCGGTAGATGGTGACTCCGATGGGGAAGCCGAGGCAGATGGATCGCAAGCAAATGATGGTGATCTGTTGGAAGACTTTCCGGACGAAACTGACGTGCGTACTTACAGTCTTTCATTGTCTACCTAATCGAGGCATGTATGACTAGGAATTAGAACTCGTGCACTCGCGGTTGAGCTCTTTGGCTAATCTTCGACTCGACCGGTTCGCAAGGCATCTGAGGAAGCTATGTCTGAGACAAAACGCTATCTCGCACCTAGATTCAGAGGTCTTTAAGCTGCTCACGCAGCTTGAAGAGCTTGACCTGTACGATAATAAACTCAAGACTGTGGGAGATGCATTGGACAATATGTCTGCTCTAGCGTGAGTGACGTTTCTCTCACTCTAAGTCTCTGATGTATTCTTAAGTCGCTTAGCATTCTGGACCTTTCATTCAACCTTCTACGACAAGTGCCGGAGGCACTATCGCATCTACGTTCCTTGAAGACAGTATATTTCGTTCAAAACAAGATCTCGAAAATCGCCGGCTTGGAATCTGTGGGAGCGACATTAAGAAGTCTCGAACTTGGGGGAAATAGAATACGGGTAATTTGCACCGATCAGTCGATCATTCGCAGGAGTAGCTCACGCTGGTACTTCAGCGTATCGAAGGGTTGGATGCGTTGTTCAACCTGGAGGAATTATGGCTCGGAAAGAACAAGCTCACGAAACTAGAGGTGCAGTGCGGTGCATCGCATCATCTTAGTTTGATGCTCAAAGTCATACCATACAACAGAATCTGAGTGCACTGAGTAGACTGAAAATATTGTCTCTTCAGTCTAACAGGATCACAAAGATCGAGGGTCTGGATCAATTGGCTGATCTGGAAGAGCTCTACCTGAGCCACAATGGAGTCGAGCGTTTGGAAGGTCTCGAGAACAACGTAGGTATTCGGTCAATTGTTCCGCCGTCATGCTTAAGCTCTTGCGCAGACAAAGCTGAGAACGCTTGATGTTGGTGCAAACTTTGTTCCAGCGATCGAAAATATCTCGCAACTGGTATCACTAGAGGAGCTCTGGGTACGTGTTTCTTGACTGCGACGGAACCCAAATCTCATTTTATGGTCAGCTTAATAACAACAAGATTGCTGATCTGCGAGCCCTCGAGCCGCAGCTCAAGAATATGGCGTTTCTTGAAACGATTTACTTGGAAGGCAATCCTTGTCAGCAGGCCGAAGGTACAGGTTACAGACGGAAGATAATGCTTGCGCTTCCTCAGGTTAAGCAAATTGATGCCACGTTAGTAATATTCGCTTTTGATTTATTTCTAGAGTATTTGGCTGACCTAGTCTATATAGGTTTGCGAGGTCTTTATGACCCACTCGTCTCCAACAATTTTTTTGCAATGGGACGTTATTGATTTCAATTAGGATAACTTATACTCAGCGATTGGCAGGAAGGATATTCTTTCGTCCTAATGTTCCGCATCACCTTGCTTGCAAGGTTATATGCTATGTCGAAAGTTCTGCGGATTATCTACACGAACAAACAGCGGCCAATCCCAAACGAGTTTCTCTCACTGTTTTGACCGTCGCTCATACCAAATGCGTCATGATTCTTGATGTCACAATCTATCTCTTAATCTAAAATCATTCATACGGCCTTTTCCTGACGAGTCAAATGTGTGATGTTGCAATCACCGATGCCGGCACATCTTCATTTTCGAGTGTTCTGTCATTTTACAAATGTATCATCGGAGAATTCCGAATCATGTGACCATCGAAACCTTGCCGTAGTTAGCACCACTGAGTGCTCACTCACACCAGTCGCCAATACATGCACCATGCGTGACTCTCCTTGATGGGACGCTTTTAGGTGCTTAAGCCCTAATCCACGAACGTCCGCTGTTAGCTTGTGCTTTTCAGTCCCTGAAAATCCAAGGGCACCCTGGAAAATCTGTTTCATTTTTATTTTTCATGTTTTTGATTTCTGTGGGTGAGAGCCCTGCTACGGCTGGATGTCTCTGTACAAGCTCTATGACCCTGCAGAAGTCAGCATACTTGTCCTACGCTTCGGACAACTGGAGAAACGTCAATGCTATGCAGTTGTATATTTCATCCATGAAGTTATCTCGCTGAAAAGTCCGCCTATGCTTGAGCCCAAGGTACCCTAACCCTAAGTTACTGCATGCCTTTCACTGCGATATCAAGCCAGAAAACTTTATCGTTGAAGATGGCTACGCACCTTCTTTGCGTCTCGATAACTTGCTCCAACTTGCTCAGACTGTTTTGTGTCAGTCCAGTAAAGGGAGTGCAAGTGTCACGCCAAAGTTTAGTGAGTTGGACAGGGGTCTTGAGAGCGATCTAGAATGCAAGGCAGGTTACCTGGTCGGTTATCCATTCCTATGTCTGACTCTGGACCCACAGTCACCCTGTATCTCTAATACTATTGCTATTTCTCGTTGCTGTGGCCAAATCAGAGAGTCTTTCATCCTCTTTCGAAGGTCTTCAGAGGGATGATGAGTAAGTAACTCATGATCAAAATCTCTGAGTAATTTGAATCCTGATAGTTTCTTTACCTCGGCTGCGAGAAAGCGGAACGTAGGCGTGAAAAGGATCCAATAAAAAAGACGAGGTTTTGCCTAGATCAACAATAACCGCTAAAGCAAGGACATTGCCAGCGACGGCATCTAGTTTTGTTTTAGTAATATGAAACGGCCAGTTTCTAAGTCATACTGTACAAATTGACACATAAATATACTCGACATCAATGTTGTAATGTACTGCTGACCATATGTACAATCAGATCCCCAGGTCTCCATGATGCAGACGCCAATGAAGCTGGAGGCAGAGAGGCGCTGCGAGTAAGGTCGGAGGCCGGCGCTGCACCCCTACGACATTCGATGCCGAGACGTCGTTTGTCAATTGTAATGGATCACTGTGAAATGTAAATAACCATGCAATCGTGTGCCATTGTTCTGCACTCGGCGTGCCCTTGATCGATATTATTTACGATCTCCTCATGGTCTGCACGCTGCCAGTAATTTCGGGATGTATCGAATATTATTGGATGTGCCAAGCAGTACCATCATTATTCACTGCTGCATAGCGTGGCCATGTATAGCTGGCGCCGCCCTAGGGATCTGTCACGGTTATCTGCCAGTGAATCTCAACTGTGGGAGATAACTCCAACTCCAAGTGCGAACTACCAAATAAAACATGACGCTTACAACCATGGTATCGTATTCGTACGTCGGTGAATATAACACACTGTTAAAAAGGACATAAGCTGAAGAGCCGCAGGGTATAAGTATACGATTGTGTCATCGAGTTAGGATTTGAGGAAAACTTATTCTGAAAAACTTTTTTGGAATCAAATACTCGTCTTTCACGATTTCGTTTGTCCGCAGCCCACGTATGCGACCAGCAGCGCAGCTTGCGAGGCTGGACGCAGGCGTGAGGAGTACACACTCCAGGAGGCGTGGAGTCATACTGGCATCAAGGTACAAATAGACGGTAGTGTCACAGCGTCCGTCCGGAATTTTCCGGTGTAACTGTACAGTTTGAAACTTTGGTGAGTGAGCATACCCAGGCAGTCGCGGTCACGCAAGATCCAGCAAGCATCTAGCAACTTACACAATGGCGAAAGATCGCGGTAGCTCTCTCGTGTACATGTATGGCTCACATCTCATTCCCTACTTTCAGTTGGCTCTTCTGGAAAGAAATTCCGTATGACACTTGGTCTCCCTGTTGGTGCCGTCCTCAACTGTGCCGACAACAGCGGCGCCAAGTCACTATTCATAATCGAGCCTTATGGTTTCGGTGCACGACTGAACAGATTGCCTGATGCTGGTGTTGGTGACATGGTCGTTGCATCAGTAAAGAAGGGGAAACCTGAACTGAGGAAAAAAAGTGTGTATCAGCGCTGCACCTTGTGTCGATCAACTGTACTGATGAGATCGATTTGCAGCTATGCCTGCTGTTGTTGTCCGCCAACGTAAGGCATGGCGTCGGAGAGATGGCGTTTTCTTGTACTTCGAGGTATGAGACAATTTTGTTCGCATTATTAGATATGTAACCAATTTCTACAGGATAACGCCGGTGTCATCGTTAACCCCAAGGGTGATATGAAGGGCTCTGTCATTGTCGGCCCTGTCGCAAAAGAATGTGTAGGTTTACGTTTCAAAATGAGGAGGATTAGGTCTCTGACGTTAATCCTCAGGTTGACCTGTGGCCCCGTATTGCAGCTAAGGCCGGCTCTGTTGTATGATTTAGATATGGTGCAATCGCATTTTTTTTTCATCGTCTCACGTTTATTGGTAACTATCGGGTAAGTCACTAGGCTGAGAAGTCTATTAGACAGTCTCGACATGTAGGACAGCGTTATTATCAATGGCCCATCTATTGCATCAATAGGCCTGGTAATGCAATTCTCCAGTTGTGAATGTATTCAACTGTGGAATTCGAGAAGAGCGACCGTGCATGCATACTAGTATGACCGTCGTCAGTCACATCTCATCTCACCACTTCTGCGTTCACTTTCGGACTCTAGTGTCACGGGTACCTAACGCCGTGTTGACCTTTTTTTGGCTTTCAGTGTGCCCATTGATCTGAAGTAAAACGTTAAGCGAATGCTATCCTCCTCCGCTTTGCGTACATCAAGTACCGAACAATCATAGTATCTTAGGTTTGTGCAATTCAACCCACGTCTTCCGCACTCGGCTCTTCGCGTTGTTACCCTCGCTCATTCAGCTTGTACAATACAGGGAGTCACTAGAATCGCTGGGGGGCTTCTTCATGTCAAATTCCTTTGAAAATGGTTGTTGGCTCTGCCCCCCGGTTCGGTTGGTGGCATGCCTAGTCTCTCGGCTACGCCTTGTTCTTAACTTCGGGCTGGTCTCCTCTTTCCGTGGGCACATACAAGTCATGGCCAATCCTGTCTCCTCGCGTGCCCCGCATCAGAGCTATCTGCAGCATCTCCCCTCCCCATGAGGGCCTATTTCACGCTCCCCCTCTTTCTGCTCTCTCCTGCGCCACACAAATTACCGATTGAAATCATTTCAAATTAAATCTAAGGACCCCTATGGACGGAGAATATAAGCCAGCCGTCCTTGCTTTCCACGCTGCTCATCTAGTCAAAGGTTACCACACTAATGCTCTCCTCCGAGTCCCAGATATTAAATAGCAACACGCCAGAAACGGTCTCACTTTTGCTTCGATGACGGAAATATCATGTTGGTCGCACAAGCAACCACCTTCCGTGTGCTCTCCCACTCCTCTCCTATGTTCAAGGAAATGACCGGCTTCGCATGCTTTTTCTGACTATAGGTGTTTCTCCCGTCGATGCTTGCCTGCTAAAACGTGAGGTTATGATGGATTGAGGCCCAGGCAGCGAGAGAGAAGTGCGAGAGATGGAGTGCAGAAATTTAGGCCCGGGCCTCTAGAGTCCATGTAGTTGATACAGAGCCCAAACTTAGTTTGCGGGTCATGTGACACCTATGTCGCTTGTAGTTTATTTGAAGTCTTTGAAGATCTAAACTTCGTACAAATTCAACGTTCAACAGTAATTCGCCTTTCCTTGGATGGCGCCAACTAATAAAGCCAGAGCAGCAGGTGTCAGCGCGAGTTCATTCTTTGACCTCAAAGCAGAAATCGCAAAGAAAGAAGATGAATTTGCTCGGACTAAAGCTGCAGGAGGCAGTAAATACACGGTGGGAGGAGTCAAAAGACCCGACAAGGTGAGTGAATCCCGTAATCGACACGGAGAGGCTTGAATACAAACATAACGCAGAAACCGACTGTATGGACTCGCTCCAATAAAGGCGTCCAAAATCGCGCTGCGCGCGACATAGAACTGGAAGAAGTCAGTAAGGTGACTATCGAGTCCGGGCGAGCTGTATTGGAGAGGAAGGCGAAAATCTACGAGAAACTGCGGAAAGGGAAATCTGGTGGCCTTACTGACAAGCAGTACGAGGCTTTGCTCGTCGATGTATGTATGCTACTTGCGTGCGATGACTAGGCTTGCTGATACCCAGACTCTAGTTCGACTCTCGAGGCCCTAGTGATCATTTTGAGTCGGACAGCGATGATATGGATGAATCATTGACAGTCCCTCAACAGCCTCAAGACGACGTAGGTACTCCTGATAGACCCTCTGGGAGGATGCTCATAGAATGCTTAGGATGACCCAATCATTGAGTACGAAGATGAATTTGGAAGACAACGAACAGGACGCAGGTCCGAAGTCCCTCGGCACTTACTTCCGCGTGCTGAAGATACAGAACCAATACCGGATGAAGACAAGTAAGCTAAAGAGCGAGTTCTCATCACACTGGTCTTATTTTTTCTTCAGGGACGTCATTCACAATCCCGTCAATTACTTCCCAGTATTCGAACCTTCCGCAGAGCGCGTCCAAGCAGTTCAAGACGCTTACTCGGAAGCCAATAATCCACTGTCTTCTCACTACGATGCTTCGAAGGAGGTCCGCGCTAAAGGTGCTGGGCACTATCAATTTTCTGCAGACGAGGAGACGAGGAAACAACAAATGGAAGAACTGCGGTCAGCTAGGATGGAGACTGAGAAGACAAGACAAGACACTGGAGCAATGGATCTTAAACCAGGAGAGGTGGAGGGCATGCGGGATGATGGCACTAGTGCAGGCGCATCGAAGAGCAGGGCGATGGAAAAGCGGAAGAGAGATATTGAGGAAAGGCGAAAGATATTGGATGCGAAGCGGAGGAAAGTCAAAGGTGACGAACCCCCCACAGCCCGAGGTTTTGAGCCCGATACTCCAGAGACTGTGACGTTTGGGGCGCAGGACACATCTGGACCTTTTGCGGCACTGGAGAGGCAGGCAGCTGATGCCTCAGACCGACCCAACAGAAAAGGCAAGCAGAAAGGGACTAACGACTCGGTACCAAAGACAGAGGCAGACGATTTCTTGGCCCAGTTGGAGCGGGAAATATTAGGAGGTCGTTAACCACTAAGTCATGCCCTTATCGGTGAGTTAGTTTTTGTTGGGTAGTTATTTGTGCTCATCGAGTATCTAGCTTTGACTTTTCGCGATATCATGAGGTTGTAGACCTCATAATTGCGCCAGGACGTGACCAGGACTAATGAACCAGCCACTTATATCTCTCTTATGGAGGAAGGTACCATTACGAAGTAGAGCTTTGGATCACCTACTACACAAAGTCCGTCGTAAACAACGCTTGCGCTCATTGCCTCTACTTGATGTACTTCTGTGCAGTGGCATTGTGGCCTTCACAACAAATCGGATCATTATATGCACATGTTGCCACTGATATTTACAACCAGCAAACAATTGCAATGCCCCTCGCTTGTGTGACTGATACCGATATGCACTCGATCTACAAGTGTAGCGTTTCTAGCACTATGAAATCTACCCTTTAGTCCAACAGCTTTATTTTTGAATCCATCACGCCACTGCTTCACCCTGTGCTTCGAGAACCAGCCTCTCGGGACAAATCAAAGAAAATCGACCCTCGTCCTCCTTGAATTCCACACACCACGTCCCCCGACGCAAATAACGTCTCTTCAGTGGCTCTTCACCAGAGACGACATTCTCCATGAACTTCCTACACGTCCTAAGCACCTCAAGTGCAGGACGGAGAGCAGTAGCGTGCCCACAGTTGATCATTACATTTTCAGAGTCGGGTTGTGTTTTTACGAGCTCGATGAGTTGATCAATGGTGGAAAACCACACAGGTAAAGATCCCCCGGTTGGAAAAATGATGGGATCGTCTTCATATAGAGTGTCCCCGACGTATAACATTTGCTCGTCTGCATCCCACAAGGCAAGCTCGTCGGGAGTGTGCCCGGGGGTATGCAAGACTGTGAGACCCATAGATAAACCTGACGATGAGGTGATCTCATGTAGGTGCGGTACCAAAGTAAGCTCGTAGATTGGGGGTCGTAAACCCAGAGCATTGCATTCTGAGTTTACAGGAAAGTTCTCCGGAGAGACGAAGGTGGGCGAGTGGCTTGAGCCGAGAATGGGGCTGTCGGTGGCGAATGGTTCCACGCCAACTTCAAGTCCCAGGGAGCGATCAGCAGGTCGACGAGTTGTATCAGAAAGAAACACCTACGAATATGGTCGTAATGGCAGTGGCTTTCCACCACGATATACTTCATCTTTCCTCCTTCATTAAGAGGCTTTCCGTTGTTATCAGGAACATCGATGGTCTCGATGAACTCTCTCAAGCTCTTCAGACCGATCTCCGGATTATGTGTAGCCCCGCCACATCCCGTGTCCATGATGAGGATGGTCTTAGCGGATGGGACTACTTTGACATAGATGAATGGGCGTTCATTGAAGACATCATCCCATTCGACGATCAAGAAAGTAGTCTGCGTCAGGCGTCGAGCAGTGAACGCTGGCAATTGCTTGTTCTCTAAGCTGGTGCCTTTCTCCATATCGTCCGTCATCAAACGAGACTTAATATGTGGTTTTCGATGTGTCACTGGGTAGAAAAATACAAAGAGAACACCAGCTAAAAAGACCAGTATCGATTCTAGGCTTGAGTTCATCTGGTAGGGAAGCGCTGAAAGCAAAAGCACGATGAGAAGATTGTAGTCTTATCTTTGAAGCATACTCACCTGCAATGTACCACGAGACTTCTGAGAGATATTTCCGGTGATCTTATCCACCTGACACAGGGCAGATGATAGCGACTTCTTCTCCTCCCTTTAATGTCACTTCTTCAACATTGTTCACCATTTCGGCGTTTACGCTCCATTGGCTAGACTGAAGGATCTTGTCTAAGCCAACGTCTGGGTGCAATGACACCAAGAAACCGCTCAATGAGGAAAGTGGGTATTGCGAGGCAGGGAGGGTGACCAATTGTTCCATCAAGCCAGTCGCTGTGGATGCAGCAGCAAAGTAGAGAACAGTGATTTCTGGTTGGCTCATGATGGTTGGCTCTGACCTAGGTAGACCTTTGTAGACGAATGATCCCAAGATCTCTACTAATAGCTATAAACCATGCGGACACAATGCCTCTATCAGTACCATAAGGAACACACTGAATCACGGCCACCTTCTCGAGTCTCGACCAGAGCCCCATCAGTTCCCCACAATATTCTAAGCCAGCACTACGAAGAACTACATATACAGCATATTGTAGCATATTCACGATCCAAGTCTAATTATGCAATTTAATGTAGGTGTAGCATACGTTCTTAGTGGTCCCTTAACTCTGCACACCACCAGATTGGCTTCGAGGTCTTGATCGTGACGTCTTGTCCTGGTATAAGATGATTTGATGTTGACATAAGTCCATCAAAAGATGACTCTGTGTTGTCCAGGTTCCACCGCAATCCAGTTGTTGTCAGGATGGTTGAGTCGATGCCGACAGGGAGGAGCCCACACGTTTGTCCTAATACGTCGTGGTTGATGTGGATGAGATGTTCACCCTGAAATGGTGAGATACAGCACTGAAAAAGTAACACGACTCACTTCATTAAGAACCCATCCTACGTTATCGTCGGTGACTGTGAAGACGCGTTTGCGGGTCTTGCGAAGTTTGTGGAGGTATGATAGTGTATGTACAGTCTGGTCCAACCTTCCGGAGAGACCTCCCAGGATCACGATCTCGAACTATTCGAGAGATAAATTTTTCAGGCGGTGAACAAAAAATTCCGATTTTACCTCCTGCCCAGTTAAACGTTCGTTCTCTTCCAGTGCTTGCACACATTTCATGAGGTCCGTAGAATCTTGGTCGGAATCGTGGATTACTGGTACACCCTGGGGAATTGTTGAGACAGTGTCGATCAAAACACAGGCCTTACCAGTGAAGTGTAGTACAATTTTACATCGTCTCGTAAAGAGTCGAGATCACCCTTCACCATATCAGGGAGGAACCTGTGACATCACTAGCCATACATTGCAGCGCACGCGAGACTCGAAACTAGACTTACGAGCTTCGAAGGTTTGGATCACCGCTTGCGCCCAAGACATCATGTAAACGATTAGCCCCCCCATCGGCGCAAGAACGCCATTCGGAGGCGGCCCAGACGGTCTTTAACAATTTGACACTAAAAGGTTGATTCAGAATGATCAGTGCGCGCGGAATATTAAGGCCTTGAGAAGCTCGCGGGTCCAAGAACTGGGTGCACCATTCTACGACCATGGCAATGGAGAAGGTAGGCAGGATCCGAGGCTGTTCAAGCCCATGGCAGTTGATGTCCCATGACCACTTCGGGAAATTGTACTTACAACGAACCGAACCGTGAGAACTTTGACTGAGCTTGCCGTTGACCAGACGGAGCCTCTGAGACTCAACAGCATCGGGTCATCGACTCGGAGCACCACGGCAATGTCAGACACAAGTCCCCTCGAGCAAAGCAATGAGTACATACTCCAGGTATGTCTTTAATGTCGATAGTTTAGCTCGTGGTTAATGAGTTTTTGATTTTCAGTCGGCACTGGAGACTGCCTTCCAGCACACGGACATTGCGCCTAAATCTGCTGCTTCTGCTCTGGCCGCTCCTACATCACTCTCAGATGCACCTGCAGTAACTTTGGAGGTCCCAGAAGGTTCTGAAGCGGTCGAAGAAGACGCATGGAAGGGAGAATATGAGGCTCAGGTAGAGGAATGGCGTGCTCAGTCGGCCGAAGCTCGTGCCAAAGCAGAGCGCGAGCGCGCACGGTGGGAACATATTAGGAAACGCGAAGCAGAAGAACGGCAAGCTCTCGGCCAGGAGCCAGAAAACTGGGATGCATTGGGCTCCCATATTACGTCCTCATTCGCCGCTGCAAGCGAAGTATTGGCTTCTTCGTCCGCTTCTCTAGCCTCGATATCCCTTGCGGATTCCGGGCATCTTGTTAGTGAACAAAAGGGCCCGTCGAGTCATTTACAGGTCTCTCAACATATTAAGACGGATAGCGGGTCTCCGTCGCAGAAATGGGAACATATAGATTCATCTCCCACTTCTTCCTATCCATCTATGTCGTTTCCCGAGACTTCTATCCCCTCGTCACCGTCTCCGCCGCATTTTTCGCTGCAACAAACGACAGGACATGGTCAACCTCAGGAGCAACATTCTGCAGAACGCAAGCCCTCCAACGTGCCACCCTCCACCATCCCATCCTTGCTTGACAGCACAATCGCGCCACGGACACGCATGACTCTGGTTCTTACCTCTCTTGCGATCAACCTATTACTTCCTTTTGTAAATGGGGTGATGCTAGGCTTTGGAGAAATATTTGCCAAGAACGTTCTAGTGGGGTGGATGGGGTGGAAGTCGCAGAGCGGTCGCACTGCTGCAAATGTTGGTATTCGGAGATGATCCCCATCTTGGTAGCGTGCATATCCACTATGTACTGATCATCGGAAGCGTCACAATGCTTTTGAATATATACACTTGACTTCACACAGGCAGTCTCAATAACGCGTGTCTTGTATTTCATTGTGCCCACAAAAGTATTTTGCATGTGCTTTGATCTGGTGCGCTCGCTCATTGATGTCTCTGACATTCGAGTTCAATCTTACTTTACAGATACAGAAGTACCGTTGTGGCTTAGTTCACAAGACGTGTTCTAGACGCAATTTGTCTTTGTGACGTGGAGTGGTGGCACCCCCAATCCTGGACCTGCAACCCAACCTCACGTCTTTCGTGTGTTTATCATTCAGACTGACCTTTTGTTACGAGATTTTTAAAGACCGTCTGGCCGCCTGCAAATGGTGTTTGATGATAGAGTTGCGCTTCGTTTACATGATGTCTTGGGCATAGCAGCCGGCGGCTCTAACCTTGGTGTTTGTCAGTCTACCTTGCGTGTAGTCCTTCAGATATCGGTGTAGATTCCTCCCTGATACGGTGGACGACCAATTCGATTCTGATTGTGAAACATGCCGCGTATCAGGCATTGCATCTATGTTCTAATCGACAATTTCTTCAAGCGGCCCCCCAGAATATACCAGCAACCCATGGTTCCCTGCAAGCGCGGATACCGGTAAAAACGTGGCCACTTGTGAATGAAGTGAGTCGAATGGCTTTTCGAGGGTTGCGTCTTCAGAGCAAACGTCTTATTTCATATCTGGATTGACGACCCTTTGTTGTTTCTGCCCTCGTATTGGCTCAGGATATAAGTGTAGGTCCGTCTCAGTCAAGCATGCTACTAGTCATACCAAGGAACGACTATGTCGATGATTCGATGTCTAAATGGCACCTATGAACATGACTCAGTACCAGTGAAGAATGCTGGCTTGGTGGGCAAGTTCATTTACTGGGAGCGTTTAACATACCTTTCAGCATTGATCAACGAAATCCAATGAGATGCCAGTACTAGTGCCTGATGAGTGCCTGGCTGATTTCTTCAAGATCTAGAAGGACAGCGCGTGATGTCGACGGTCGGACATTGCCTCGTCGCGCAGTTTAGAACTTTGAACGTATCAAGCACTGAGGAGACTAAAAAAATGCCAGTTTGTAGGAAAGTAGGACAATTTTGACACGTAAATAGAAATGAAGTGCACGAGGTTCAAGTGCATCAGACGTTGGAACGCCCAACTCCACTCTGTCTTGCCTTGTCTTTCTACCATGTCTAGCGCAGGGGCAAAGGCTGTCTTTGTTACATGCCTCATTATCAACGTAGTTCTGTGGTCACAGAGTCGATACGGCCAGTCTTACCAAGACCGGTCTCTGCAGTCCCTTTGGAAGCGGAACTTGAATGGCCCAACGCTGACGACTACAGACGAGAGCTGCTCTCCTCTATCATATTCGGACCTTTCATTACAATGCGCACATGTTATCGAGTCATGTCCGTCGCCTGAAACGTTTCTAAGCATTCCGTCCTTGTCCTACTACTTCTGCGCTCCCCCACCCTTCCGACCTCTGATTTTCGCTGGATTAGTGCTCTGGCTCCTGTTTCTATTCAGCACACTTGGAATATCCGCATCTGATTTCTTCACTCCAAACTTGGCGACCATTGCAACCTTCCTAGGTCTCGATGAAAACGTTGCTGGCGTCACCTTTCTTGCATTCGGAAATGCCTCCCCGGATGTGTTCAGCACTTTCTCCGCTATGCGTGCAGACTCAGGAAGTCTTGCCATCGGAGAGCTGCTTGGAGCTGCCTCGTTTATAGTAAGCGTCGTGGCAGGCAGTATGTGCATCATCAAGCCGTTTAAGGTCGAGCGAACCCCATTCCTAAGGGACGTCGGCTTCTTTACCCTTTCCGTCATTGCGCTGCTCGTGATACTCCACGATGGCCGCATCAGAGCGGGAGAGTGCGCATCGTTGGTAGCCATGTACGCGTGTTATGCCGTAATCGTCGTCGTGGGGAGCTGGTGGGAGCGGCGGCGTGATCGAAGGGAGAAGCTTGAAGCCCTCATTCGAGCAGAATACGGCGAGGATGAAACTATAGTAGAACAGTATCAAGACGTAGGTGCGTGTCTATTCTATCCCTTCACTCCTACCATTCTATTGTCGTTCATCCCTGAATACATGCAGTTGCTCCTCCCGCTGATACACTTGCCGTGCCTCTCTCGCCACCACCACGAATCCGGGCGTCATCGTGTCCCCAACCCCCACGACTTGCACTCCCAACACCTTCACACACTCGCACACTGTCATCCTCTTTCCATGCACAGCCCCCTAGCAGGGAGCGTACACCCTCGCCCCTGAGTTCACCCCACCTCTCACAGATGCCGTCCTTCTCGCTGGTCGGGGCGCTCGAGTTCAGACAGGTGGTAGCAAGCCTACAAGCGCATGCCGCTTCCAGCAGCTTGTCCATCTTCGACAGCCCCATCACTCCCTACGCGGGTGGCCACTACCACCGACGTGGCGGGAGCCATGCAAGTCGCACTCCATTGAGCGAGGAGGAACCCTGGGACGCAACGTTAGGGGGACTGCCTCTGAACGAGCGCAGTCCGAGACTGCTCGTGAATGACATCATCTCAGAGGGTCATGAATCATCGCAATCATCGTCAGCGATCAACGTGCAGGCACGCGCCTCTACTTCAATATCACCCATTCCATCCATTTCGCACACCCCTGCGTCACCAACGGACACCGCGTCCACCACGACGACAGAAGTGGAGCCGTATGTTCCTCCCTCGAAACTCGAGCGTGCATGGCGGGTCGTGAAAAAGACGTATTACATCCTCTTCCCTGCATTGCATCACTTCAGAGAAAAGAATGCATTAGGGAAAATAGCAAGTTTGCTTGCCGCGCCTGCAGTAATGGCGCTCACGCTGACTCTACCTGTGGTCGTGGTCCCATATGACTCTAATGGATCTGCATCGGAGAAAATGCATAAGCGCCATCATAACGCCGGCGAGGATGGCCGGTTAATGGACTTCGAGGAAGACGGCATCGAACGTGCCTTGATTGCGGAGGAAGTGATGCAGCAGGATCTCCACGAGATCGAGTTTAATAAATGGCTGATGGCTGCACAATGTGTCCTAGGGCCTTTGTTTTGTTTAGGGGTGTTATTCCGTGCGTATGTTTTCTCTTTGCCCGCTTCCCTTTTGGACTTTGAATGTGAGCTGGCTGTTGATCATTTGATTCAGATGATGCGGATCACTTTATGTTCCTTGCGTTAGGAACAGCTGTGTGTGGACTTGCAGTTGCTGCGCTTATGCTCGTGTTTGCGGATGGCAGAAGCCACCCTACTGCACGTATGGCTCGGTGTAGTATGGGTTTCTTGGTTGCGATTGCATGGATTATGGCAATCGCCGATGAGGCTGTCAGTGTGTTGCAGGTTCGTTCTATATCCTTCTCCTATACACACCTCCCGTCGTACTCATAATATACGCAGACATTTGGTTTCATCTTTGGACTCTCGGATGCCATAATTGGCCTTACGATTTTCGCAGTAGGCAACTCTCTTGCGGATCTCGTAGCCAACATGAGCGTAGCTGTAAGTCTCCTTCCTTTCCTCCCACCCTCCCACCCGACCCAGCTTTCAGGTCTTCGCCCCAATCATGGGTTTCTCTGCATGCTTCGGCGGGCCCATGGTCAACATCCTTCTCGGTGTTGGCATCTCCGGTTCCTATGTGATTTCGCAAGCTGGTGGCGAGCCATACATGTTGCACTTCTCATCTACGCTCTTGAGCAGTATACTTGGTTTGCTGACATTGCTCATCGCAACGCTGGTAATCGTCCCACTGAACGGGTACGTACTAAGCCGCACGTGGGGATTCTGTTTAGTTGGCGCGTATTTCGTGATCATGGGAATGAATATATGGGTGGAGCTGAGGTGGTAGATCCATATACTTGGAGTTTGAGGGACTTAGTACTGAATGTGTTAACTTAAATCTATACCTGCATCTGATGTCGCAGTGCTTTGATAGCCGCTAACTCTGCATGATGTATGCATACGTTCAAATTGACGATGTAGTATCTAGGAGATTTCCAAGAATGGTTTTAACAATCATGCTCACGGCCTCATCTGCTTATAGTATCCATGGAGCGTGGACAGACAGGTCATCTTGTATGAATGCCACGTAGTTTTCACTTGACGCCTTGAACTCGTCAATCACCACTATCACGAACACTTCCATACACCTTTATCCAAACTTCATCGGGATGAATAGCGCGAAGAACGTCCATGTCTTTGTATCATGACAACCATGCAAGGAGCTAATAGGTGAGCCATTCAGCTATATTTCGAACTAGCATTGCCTCATTGTATCACGTTGGACGTGTGACCACTGTCACCGAATCTAGTCCTCGTGGTTTCCGGATATTAATGCTCCATCTCTGCAACACAAAGTGCCTCCATTGCAAAGGACATATCTTGCTCCCGTGTCCCCTGGAGTTTGAGGATTTAACCTCGGCCGAAGGTGGACTACACCCGGTGGGCACGGGCAGTTGAATGCTCAGCTACATGCGGGCTCGAACTCTCGGCAAGTTGACTTTCAACGAGAAGCGAGGTTCTCGATGTCACATGGGCCTGGGTGTGGGGGACTGTGTTGTGAGCTGTACAGTGGCTTTTGTGATCTCCAATGCGATAGACATACTTCATTACAAGGACGACAACGACTACCTTTTCTACTCCGTTTCATATGCACTCACCACCGACGACCATGGTCTAGCATCGTAGCCGCTTACCCTACCATACCTTTTGTATTCGCAACCGCAGCCATCCCAACAATCCCGCATCACTGCAGGTTTCTGACCAAGAATATGTCTACGGAAACTTGAAGTCAGAAAAACAAATACCCTTCACAACTGATAGATATCCTCTAAGACCTAGGTCGCAAACTACGAGCTGTTTGCCAGGCAAACACATGCATATTCCTCTGCGCTTTGCATGCTTCGCAGAGTAATTCGGTGTCCGCCTATCCTGTTCGCGATGCAAGAAGCTTCTTTCCGTTGCACAAACGCACCTTTCACTGCCTTCATTCCCTTGGCTCTATCCGCCTCACAGTCTTACATTTTCTTTGTTCGGCTGTTGAGCCACCAACGAATATAGTCTAGGCATGTACCTTCGGAATCGATAGCAGAATCACACTCAGTGCTTTCCACGTTCCCAGCAGGTCAGAACTTCCACCTCCCACCGTAAATCGTAACTAGCGCTTTAGGCGCTGCATCTTTCCTCAATCGTTCGATCAATGATTCTCCTTCGAACTCGTATCTTTGGTCATTCTCGCTGTCTATAGTACTTGCTGGCAGCTTTACACCCCAGTGTGTGAAGGGCCATCTGCAGTGAAGGGCAGGTGAATTCAAACATGCACTGGGGAGCTCCGGTCTGTTGAAATGCTCGTGTTGTTGTAAATTGTGAGGACTCTACCGCTTTCAAATGAGTAATTCTAGTGCGCATGGAGACAGTTCCACGAGCGGTTTGATTTCTGATGCGTATCAACTGATCAAGTATTAATACGGATATTCAGTGTGTTCCTCTACTAGAGGTATTTCGAGGGAAGGATTGAGGTCAAGGCATTCCTCTAGCTCCAGATCTATCATTGTCGGCACATCTCAGCCGCTAAAAACCAGGCTCTCCAGGGGACACTTCGGCCATGCCGAAAACGCCTTCAACTCCTCATGAAGGTATGATCCACCGTAGTCGCAGTGATCTTCGAGCACCCGCAAACTAGGGAGCGATAGAGCATTGAACGGGCCAGATAAATTGGCTGTGGACGAACAATGGTGCCGTATGAGGAAGGTTTGGATTTTGGTGTGCGTGAATGGAAATATTCGGAATCAAATCAATCTCTCGAAAAATCTCGTTCAACTCTTCGTGCACAGATTAAATACAAAGACAAATAAAGAAAAAAATGGAAACTTTCGGAATCTCTCGGAAAGTCTCGTTCAACTCTAAACTCCCTTACACCTTCACTTTTAAATTACCGCTGTCTTGCACTGTCCTCTTCAACGTGAGTCAGTGATCTTCGAACCAGATTAATCTCTTTTCCCCTGCCGAGAAGTTCCTTCTTCCATATCGACTCGCGTGCATATTTAGAGTTAATTTAAGGTTTACCGGGAATTTGATTTTCCTACCGCGATGTTTCAGAAACCTCATCCGTCGGTGTTGACAATCTTGACCGTTCAATTAAATCTCCATTCTAGTATAAGTTACCGGTTTTCCACTGCAAGTCAAGGCTTTTGTACGAAGGTAGCGTCAGTCTACGTGGTCGACGGACGAACCTTTTGTGTCAGAAGGTACCCGCGTGGGACGGACTAGCTGCTATGTGCCAAACCGTAACACGAGTTGGACGATCTGATTCCGGGCCGCAGAGCAGAGACGACCAGTTTGCTTGCTTGCAGCCTATCAATGACCGAAGGGATACTACCTCACCCTGACAACACCCTGACTGACCTTGTAATTAGCAGTGTTCGACGACAATACCAATGATAACATCAGTTTCTTGTGCCGTGCATCTCCCTACTTATATAGTAAGTACTTCGCGTCTTCGAGGCCTCAGCTCACCGCAAACCTGCCCCAAAGACTGTCGTCCAAGTCATTTGCCTCTTTGTCTTGTTATTCCAACCATTTGGATTGGTATCTGAGCTTGTGGTTTTCACCTCGCAGCTACGATCGACAACCAGGATTGCCGTTTTTTTAGAAGCCCCCCTGTTGTACGTATGGCACAGTGCAGTACTTGCTTCTTGGTTGCAATCGCATGGATTATGGCAATCACAGAAGTGGTTGTCAATGTTGTTGCAGGTCCGTTCTAGATTTTCTCTCCCCTTCGATCCGCATCTTGCTGCTGTCGTTCATACCCCTCCATCTCTTTGAATATACACATTGTACTAACAACTTACACAGACATTTGGTTTCGTCTTTGGACTCTCGCACGCAATAATTGGTTTCACAATCTTCGCAGTGGGCAACTCCCTCACAGATCTCAGCAAAACAAACACGAGCATAGCTGCTGTAAGTCTATTTCCTTTCCTCCCACCCTCGCATCACCTGACCACAGCCTCCAGGTCTTCGCCTAAATCATGGGTTTCTCCACATGCTCCGGCGTGCCTATGGTCGATTTTCTCCGTATCTCCGGCTCCTACGTGATTTTGGCCGGAGGCGAGCTGTGCACGCTATATGGTTGACGCGTATTTATTGAATTTGTGGGCAGAGCCGATGCGGCAGTCTAAGATGGTGAGAGGGATGCATATACACGCTCGGAGTTTTTGAATGGACGACACTCAGACTTATTTATTGAATATTTTAAAGGTTACGCCTGCATCACCTTATATCACGACTTATACCTTACCCTAATTATGTAAGACGTACCTATTCAATAAGATTATTCTTGTGAAAGTAACAGAAGACATTACGATAACGGGAGAACCTGCAATAATCTTTCCGCAATCATAAAGATAATGGTGATTACATCTATATCAATTCCTCGAGCATCAGGCGAATATTCTAACACGAGCTATCATACTATGCAACATCCTCCTGATCGTGCAGATAACTTAAGGTCATTGTCAGGCCTATTAGTGGCGGAAGCACTAGACTTTTCATCCTTGACATCGTGATGCTCATCTGGATCGCCGCGGCCCTCGGGGATTTCCGTCGTGGCTACACACTTTGGTTCCAAGCAACCAAGCATCGCCTGCACATATACAGTTTCCTGTCCTTCCCAATCTAGCTCAGACGAAGGTCCCCAGCGTTCTTCCACCTTCTTCGCCAAGTCCCACCGTCCGAATCTCAGCAACGAGAGTATGACGGCTCGTTGCGCCGACTCAAGTGCACCTACAACCCATGCATGATGCGCACTCGAGGCCTCCCCCGCAAAGTGCAATTTGCCGTCAGCAGCAGGACGCACGAGGTACGGGTACAGGTGACTGAACTGCCCTGGAGCAAATATTGCAAATGCCCCACCAGAGAGTGGATTATTTCTCCAGTCATATGCATGATGTGTGATGTACTCCGTTACCAAAAAGTCATAAGTAATCCCAGATCTGGCGTGCAGACGTGCAAGGTCTCGCAAAACGACTTCCTTGAGCCCCGACTCCCCAGAAGGCGAGTCCTGGTTAATCAGGGTACCTATACGTTGGGCATCCTGACCCACTGTATATGAGGCGATGAGCACGGCTGGCTTCTTCGGGTCATCGTGGATGCTGTAGGACGGATAGCAACACGTGCGGATAGGAATATCACCGAACGATGTACCGCCCTCTGTTATGCCGCATCGCGTGATCCACCATGGCGTCTTGAACTTTATCGCGACCTTGCAGGATGTATCATATCGCAAACAACGCAGGGCATCTCTTTGTGCAGGGTGCAGCTCGGCGTCAACGAGGTCCATGTGTTGTGAGCAACCCAAGGAAGTGGTGTTGAAAACCGAATCATACTGACGGACGGACGACTGACCCGATAGAGTAACGAGCTTGACTTCCACCTTGGCATGAACACGATTCAAAGCGATGCGAGTGGCCGTGGTGCAATACTCGGGTTTATGGGGAGCAATTCTGTTCAGCATTGCAGAAATTGCAACTGACGAGCCGCCGTCTATGCACTTCCATCCATAGTCCTTCTGATCGTTGAATTCCGAGCCCAGAATGACATACTCGGTAAAAGCTTGGTCAAAAAAGTCGCTGGGCCTGATATGAACTTCAGTGCAATTTGCGGTGCAGTCAAAGCACCTCGTACGCAATATTTGTCTCCAGCCATTTACTGGTATGATAATCAAGTTGCCTAATGATCATTTAACACAAACGATGGAGAATTATGGAGCACAAACTCACATGTACACGCGCAGGTATTCCCTGATAGAGTAGTCGTCTACCTCCATAAGTTTTTTGAAACCTTGCTCGAAGTCTTCCCTCAAAAGCTGCATGTAGGGTGCTGACGCCTGCTGAAGGATTTTCTGTACTCCAATAGCCACATACCTGGCCTCAAATATTAGCGCCCCCTCGTATAAGCAGAACGGCCTCGTACTTGTCTGGGACCATGCCGCCATTCGTGATGCTGAACTTGTATGGGTCGTACTCCGAAATGTCCATAGGCGGACCCAAAATGTTGTTGAACATCATTGGAGTATTCTTACCATTCATGCAGTAAGGAATTAAGGGAACATTCAAATCTTCGAATAGAGCAAGTGCTCTGATAATCCATATTAGAATTATGTTCAGAACCAAAATGCCCTGCTTACTTTTTCATCGTTGGAGTTTCGGGCCAACGCATGGCCCCTACATCATAGTAGTCATGAGGAGCCTCGCTGAATCTATGAGTATACAAGCGCCCCCCAGCGCGGTCTGCGGCTTCCACGAGATCAAACGGTATACCAAGTTCTTTCAGAATCATGGCGATATACAGCCCAGCTACTCCAGCACCAATAATACAGAATTTGACATCTAGATGAGCTCCTTCTTCAGAAGGACGATTGGTGCTGAACAAGGTATCGTTCGAACAGGTACCACCTAGGCCTGGGGGATGAATGGGTAGCTCTGAATCGCAGGACTCACAGAGCTGGCGAGATATACTCTCGCGAATGAGCTGACGAGCGTACCGTGCCGTCAAGGAGAGTTCGCCAACTGCCATGACCAACAGAGAGTGAAGAGAGATATTGGGGTGGAGCTACAGATAAGCTGAGAAGGAAGGACCGTTGCTCGGATCCGAGCTGAAGAAGCAGAAATGAGGGCATGCACGTTGTACGTTACTTATTCGCGAATAATTAGCACTCGGTTCATAACACTGTGCAGCCTGCAGGCCCTGCACTGTCCGAGCGAACGAGCAAGGACGCCGTCGTCCGCGCATCAGTGTCAGCGCCTTTGAAATTTGAAGTTTGCAGCGCCCCCGCAAAACGATCACATTAATGACTCGGATAAACACTTTCAAGTTCATACTCCGCATATTTATATTTAACCTCTAGCCAAGTTCGACTGCTTTTCGTCTTGACCTGGCCATGAAGATGTCTAGCTACAATCGGTTCTGGATCCCGATGTTGTTGCTGAATCATAACATTATGCCTTCCTCCCATCAATTCCACTGGAATCGCTGAACAGTCCTGAGTCCGTGTCATTGTTCAACACCTGGCAGACTCGAACATATCCACGCGTCTTTGGCGCCTTAACTATGACTTGCTTCGGGGGCGTCGCATCATGGTTTCAGTTCCACAGACAGGAAAGTAAGCCTACCAGTAGTTATCCATTATCGCTGGAACTCAGAATGCAAGGACTTCTGTCGGTTATATTAAGTCAGAGGTGATTGTCCCCATTAATATTGCCCCTTTCAATAGGCTGCGTCGAGACCACCGATGTCGTGTGCTCAGGTGTGAAATGAAACTCGATCGCAACGGTAAGCTACCGTTATCTGTTGCTGGACTTGGGGTTACGATGGCGCCATTCAAACTCGGCTGTAGAAGTACGGTATTTTGCTACATCACAGCACTCCTAACGTCGTCTTCTTTATAGGCCTCACAATTGTCTTCCAACTATTGACACTCATTGTTATTCATGTAGCCATCCCACTCCTTTCAGCAGGATACGGAAAAGGGGCAGGGTTTGTTATTGAACACCTTTGGAGTTTTCTTTCCGTCCAAGTAGTAAGTGTACTAGCGAACGCTCAACTTTTCAAATAGAGTGTGCATGTTAGAATTGTGTTCGGAATGCAATCTGATGATAAAAAAGGAAGCAGGCCAAGTTGAACTCAACGCAGACTAGTTTGACTATTCTTGATTGAGAACGATTCTGATGCAAGTGACCACAGTGCGTCTGGGTTTATGAGGAGCAATTCTATTCAACATAGCAGCAAGACGAACCGCCGTCTATAAAGTCTCGCCAATCGTGGAAGTCCACCCAGAATAATATACTTGGTAAACGCTTGGTGACAAGGGGCTTGAAGGAAGGATCCGTTGTTTGGGTCCAACTGCCGCGTAACGTTCGATTCATGACGGTGTGCAGCAGCTCGCAGTATCCTGGCTCAAAAAGCATGTTGCAAGACTCCCAACCGGTGAACTATGTACACAGCACCTTTTGTTTCTGGGGATATATATACCCCTGAGAGCAGCCCTCTGAGTCCGAATCCTGATGCCTACTTTTCAGTAGGCGCCTTGTAGTATGTACCATTCATTGCTCGACCCAAGGTGAAGTCGCGTCCAATTGCAATCCAGATGTTCAAAGACACGTCAATGGTAAAGAAATCCATTATGAGGAGTCATCAGCAACTAGGTACAATAGAGGACATAGCTGACTGGGTATGGACAAGTGACGATACTTGCCCGCCCACCGCTACTTCTTTAACCAGCCGAGGTAGGATTATACTATAAGCATCATCCCCAACCCATCCGCATGAAGAGATGGAGATGACGCTGATAGTATATTAGACAAAGAATAGTGGCACTGCATGCAGCCACGACTCGTACTGGATGCTATGACACATTCTGAGCTCGCGCAGCTGCAGCTTCAGACTGCTCGTATGAGATGGCAACGCCGCAGCGGGAGATTCCTCGTAGTCACATCTAAGAAGACTAGTAGTTGAGTTTTTCACGGAAGAGAGCAGACGGTGCCAAGGCTGTGCGCGCGAGGGTTGCAGTACCCTGACCGATCCAATAAAATCCAGGATGATACCGTCGCGGCCTGCAAGAAGAAAATTGTTTATGACACTGTACATAGTACATGGTAAGAGCCAAGCTTGAGGATGCCATCATTGAACGTTGAACATCGATGAACGTTCGATAAATCAGGGAAATAAACCAAATAGGCTGATCCGAATGACAGCCGAAAACGTCTAAGTCGGTTCTGACGCCGACCGTATATCATACGATATGTACTTAGTTGGTTGGTGGCCTCTTGCCATAGCTCTAACCGCTAGTTGATACAGCCATACGACACTGGATCAGCCCACATACCTAATACTTTCACTATCGCCGCCAAGCACCTTAAATACTATCTTCATCCGCTGCGCCCAAGATGTCCCAATCCACAGGCAAAATGAAGCTTGCAGTCCTTACTTCAGGAGGCGACAGCGCTGGCATGAATGCTGTCGTCCGTGCCATCGTCAAGATCGGCATCTTAAGGTGTGTTCCAATCTCACGTCTTCATCGTCTTCAACTCCCATCAACATTTATGTGACAGAGGCTGCGAAACATGGATTGTACGAGAAGGATATGAGGGGCTTGTAAGGGGTAACACCCAGGCTCATGCAATCCATGCAGACCTTCCAGCTGATGCATCTGCATTAAAATGTGCTCATCGGGGAGTACCCACTAATCTTACGCGGAATCTCCGTTTTGGAGATGGTGATCTTCTACGAGATGGAACGGGTGACCATCACCATGGCCGCACATTGAAAGGCCGATATATCGTCCGTGTGGGTTGGGATGATGTCAGAGGTTGGTTTGCTGAGGTGCGTATGTGTATGTTCCCCAACAACGCATGTATGCTGACTATTACTGCGCAGGGTGGTACTCTCATTGGAACAGCTCGATCGGCAGCCTTCCGTACTTCAGAAGGTCGTTTGTCTGCTGCTCACAACCTAATCAAAGAGGGAATAGACGCTCTTGCTGTCTGTGGAGGTGACGGTTCCCTAACTGGCGCCGACCTATTTCGCTCCGAATGGCCTTCCCTCGTGTCACAACTCCTCACTCAGGGTATGATCACAGAAGAGCAAGCAGAGAAGCACGGACATCTCAAGATCGTTGGCCTTGTTGGCTCGATTGATAATGACATGAGCATGACAGATCTGACTATCGGTGCACCGACAGCATTACACCGTATTTGCGAAGCTATCGATAACATTAATTCAACTGCTGCAAGTCATTCGCGTGCATTTGTGCTGGAGGTGATGGGGAGACACTGTGGCTGGCTCGCTTTGCTTGCTGGCGTCAGGTACTACCGTTGTGACTACTGCCGATATGCAATGCTTATGGCAGCTCAGTTCTGGAGCAGACTTTATCTTCATCCCTGAACGCCCGCCCCAGACTATCCCAGGGGGGACCTGGGAGGATGACATGTGTGAAGCCATTCGTGGCGTAAGTTGAATTCCTTTTAGTCACTGTTATCATCTCAAGCCTCCTTTACAGCACAGAGAAGCTGGCAAGCGTAAAACAATTGTCATTGTCGCTGAGGGTGCGCACGATGCGGATCTCCAACCTATTCGCGCAGAGTACGTCAAAGAAGTCCTTACTGAACGTCTTGGGCTCGATACCCGCGTCACAACTCTTGGACACACCCAGCGTGGTGGTAGGCCTTGCGCTTTCGATCGGATTTTGGTAGGTCTTCATGACTCGTTTGTTCGTCATTGTTCATTGCAGCTCGATCCAGCCGACACTACAAGGTGAGGAGGCCGTCAAGGCACTCTTAGAGGCTACGCCCGACACTCCTTCGTACATGATTGGTGTAAGGGAGAATAAAATAACCCGTGTGCCACTTATGGAGGCGGTTGCGATGACCCGTGCGGTAGGCTGATGCAATCGGCGCGAAGGACTTTACAAAAGCAATGTCCATGCGTGACCCCGAGTTTTACCAGAGCTTGGAGGGTTTCTTCGCCACCTCGACGCTATTCAAAGAGAAGCAGCTTCCCCATCACAGAGTAAGTTTATCATATCCCATCAAGCTTAATCTGATATCTTGCCGCACAGAGAATGCGTGTTGCGATTATGCAGTACGTCCTTGCACACTACATCTCACAAAATATTGTCTCATTCTACGTAGCATGGGTGCCCCTGCTGGCGGCATGAATGCAGCTACCCGAGCTGCAGTACGTTACTGTATCAAGCAAGGTCATCACCCACTTGCGGTGCACAACGGCTTCCGCGGTCTGCTTGACGACAACATCCACGAGCTTTCCTGGCTCGGTGTCGATGCTTGGACCTCCCGTGGCGGTTCTGAGCTCGGCACAAATCGTACTCTCCCAGACGTTGACCTCGGCGCAGTGGCTGCACGTTTCCAAGAGCATAACTTCCACGCACTTCTGATGATTGGCGGTTTTGAGGCATTCAACGCGCTGCTGATCCTTGAGACCGGACGGAAGCACTACCCAGCATTCCACATCCCAATGACTCATCTCCCAGCTACGATATCAAATAACGTGCCAATGACGGAGTTCAGCTTGGGTAGCGACACGAGTTTGAATGCGCTTGTTGATGCATGCGACTCCATCAAGCAGAGTGCAAGTGCGAGTAGGAATCGAGTGTTTGTGGTTGAGACGCAAGGTGGCAAGTGTGGTTATCTTGCCACCATGGGTGCGTTGGCGGTGTGTAATCTATTGGTAATCTTTAGAGAATACGAATCTGATGAGTGCGCCTACACAGACTGGTGCCAGTATTGTCTATACTCCAGAGCAGGGCATGAACCTCGATACCCTTCGCCAGGACGTCAAATTCCTGAAGATCCGCTATGGACTAGATGCCAAGGGCAAGAGTGAAGGTCGTATGGTCATTCGGTTGGTTTTACTTCTCAAACTCAAATGGTGAACTTGCTGAGATAGTTTCCCAGCAATGAGTGCGCGTCGACGGTCTACACCACTGATGTCGTGACTAAGATGTTCAAAGAAGAAGGCGGTAACCTCTTCGATTCGCGTTCCGCTTCCCTTGGACACACCTTGCAGGGTGGGGTCCCATCACCTATGGATCGCGCACGTGCCGCGCGTCTCTCTCTGCGATGCATGACATTCCTTGAAGAACATCACGATGCCCTGCAGAAACAAGTTGGCAAAGTGAAGCAGGCGCCACCTGAGAGCGCTGCAGTTATCACAATACAAGGATCTACTATTAAGTGGGTGCCGGTTCAGGAGATGGTGCAACACGCAGATATGAAGAACCGCAGAGGAAAGACAGCTTGGTGGGGGGAGATTAAGAACCTTGTGGAGGCACTGGCTGGACGGCCTGAAATTTTATGAGTCGACTGAGGCAAACAGAAAAATCAGCGTGTCGTACGTATGTGTTATCTCTGTATATAAATGTGCATGGTCTATTCGCTTTCCGGTTTATTGATAGATGGTTGGTACTTGGTAGTTACAGATACGGGCAGAATGATGTCATTATTATCCACTTAGTCGTTGTCGTTGCCAGCTGGGTGCGTCTGACGCCAACCTTGACATTGTCCAACTTCTGGCCCACAATGCGCAGACCTCATCGTGGGTCAGGACTTGGTAACGATTTGAGACCGTGCAATGACGACAAGTGATTACAGGCAGCCAAAGCCACAGTGTAAGCAGGTGTGGCCATTTGTCTTGTGGATGACTAGCATTCGGTAGCCACAATTGTAAATGGACAGATCACAAGAGTACGTATGGGCGCCATTGTGTCCCAGCATGATGGTCACATCGGAGAATCGAAGCTGGTGACCACAACCACTATATGAACAAGAGCATAGAACAAAGGCGGAGTGCGAAACTGGAGGTTTACACAGCCACATGGTAAATGTTGATTTTTCACACGGCGCGTTTTAAACGTGACTGTCAAGTTTGAACGTTTTATATTTGCAGCTGGTTCTGGTTTGTTTTCCCAAGTCTTGACTTGACTTGACTTGTATCTCTTCTAACTTGTCAATACTTGATTGTCACCGTGGTCTATGATGCCTCCAACAATATTGCCACCACGACCCGAACTTCCGTTCAAACACCAGAATCCTCATATCGCTTCTCGTAAGTCCTTTTCTATAATGCTTGTCTACATCCTGACCCTCGCCTAGTCGACCTCTCTAAATTGCCCCCTGTTAAATATCAGTCGCTTGATCGTGATGGCCATGAGGTCTTGGTACGTATACCGATTATCTCATCCTTATCACAAGCTGACCCTTTCTAAGGTGGGGCGCATGAAGATCCCTACAGTATGTTCGGTTAAATCTAATTTGATAATAGCTGAGGATCAATCTTTTCTAGCCCGGTGGTCATGCTTTCATCTTGAGACGTTTTGATACGGGCGCCATTAGTCTGACTACTATGTTCCGAGCCGCCTTCCCTACTGCTTCTGAAGCTGATGAACGTCGCGAAACTGTCTGGGTAAAGGATACCTACGATCTCGCTGGGAACAACGGCTCCGCTAAGGAACCTGCTATCGTGCGGCTTGCCGGAACATGGGTCAGCGCTGAGGTCGCTCTCCTTCCCGAATTTGCACAAACATATGGTTTGGGCGGCGTCATTCCTCATGTCGCCAAGGCCACCCCCGACCCTTCTGCAGCCTATCGTCGCTCTTCGACAAAAACGACACCCAAAGCGGCGCCGAGATCGCCTCCTGCTGCGAGTAGTACACTCCCGACTCCTGCTCCCTCAATCACACTTCCGACTCCCAAACGCAGGCGGGAAACTTCTCCTGTATCGGCAGCAGATCCTGCGCCTTCTACCTTACCTCCTCCACGCCGATCGGCGCGGACAAAGAGTCCAGCACCTGTCCCAGTCTCCTTGCCGGCCCGATCGCCCGTCAAGCCCAAGTCTCCAGCGCCTCGCTCGCCGGCACGTCGTTCACCGGCACCTATTTCGCCAACGACCAAATCTCCCAAGCCCAAGTCATCTGCGCGAGCTGTGCGGATCATCGAGGTTACTACTCCAGGGGGATCCGACGAGACTGTTGTGGAAGAGGAGGCTGAGACAATTGAAATTGCGCACCCAAATATGACCCAGGACATAGCTGAGCAGAAGGAATTGATTGAGCGGTTGAAGGCGGAGAGAGATGCGTCGTCGATGGAGGCTGACACATTGAAGCGCGCGAGGGATGATGAAGAAGATGAGGGTACAGAATTTAGGTTCCAGTTTAAGGAACCAGAAGTGCAGCAAAGGCAAATTGCAACAAACAAGCGGGTCGGAAGGTTCCACCTGGAGCCAAGGCAAAAATCATTTGCATGGGGCGTCGCGGCATTCGCGATTGGAATGAGTGCAGTGTAAGTGTTTACCCATCTGGCCCTTGTCCTTGTTTGCTGACGAGAATACAGAACGTTCATCCCAAATATATTCTAAACACACTATCTGCTTGTCTTTTATCTGTTTTCCTTATTGTCAGCTCTCGTTTCCCTTCTTTTCTGGTGTCATCTTAACACCTGTACGTCTGCTCTCCTGCGACACATTTTTCCCATCATGGACTGTCATAATGTCCATTTATTCACCTTTTCGTAGCCAACTTCGGGTTTCCGGTTGACTTAGGTAGACCGTTTCTATTGTTAAACGTTGAGTAGGTAGTACTGTATGCTGATGATATTGGAATACATGCGCAGATGACCGATTCGAGGCGAGAATGGGGTCCACACTTTCGTGAATCGCCTCGGCTACACTTTGCTTGTGTAATTACAACTCACGCTTACTGTGTGTTCGAGATGTTTAGTGAAGGCCGCACACGTCTTTGCAAGATCCGGTGCAACTTGAAGCTTGCCTTCGGTACCATGCATCGGATGATGTATGTGCATTATACAGTTGTTGTACAGCCATGTCGCAATGATATTTCTCCGAGTCCTTCAAAATTCGTACGCCCCGTGTGCAAGCGTCCTTTGAATCAGGCGTCCCAGGTATCTGCCATTTGCACCCTGACAGGTACAACTTATGGACCTGTAAAATCTCTTTAAGTTACCGGTGATTTCTTCCCGCTCGACTTGAAGCTATTATAACGGCTGCCGTGTAGCAATGCGGACGGTCTCGGTTCAATATCTACCGAACGCGAGAAGATCCTGTCAGTGTCCTGTCCTTCCTAAGTTTGATCGAGATTCGAGATCCATGTAATAACGTTTATCGAAAACACATGCGTTGGCTTCCATCCTTCGCAGCCGTCCTACACCCTTAGCTCTCCTTAGCTGTTTCTTGACGGTAATACCGGTGTGTAGCCATTGACATCGATCGTGGGTATTGCGTCAAGGATGTGCCTTGCGCTTGATCCTATTTTTTTGTAGTTGGTGCTGCGGGTGCCTAGAGGCTAGGTGTCCCTTGTGTTGCATTTCTCTCATGGAGACTTAGACGACCTGATTTAATTGGCCTGTCCCCTGAAGTTCCCGGCCAGTCCGTAAATACCCCTGGTATTTTCCCCCTCCACTGTCACGGAGCGATTGTTCTTAGCGAAGTGCCTCGTAGATCTTGGTCTTTCACGAAAATGCTTCATCTGAGATCGTGTCTGTGGTGCTCAGATGGAGGTTGCCACAGTGTTTGTTGTGTGGTTTTTAAATGTAGCCTGTTGGTATGGAAGAACCTTGCATTCCGGGCCCCTAAAGCTGTTTGTGATGAACACAAATGGTGAAAATTTGAACAGGTTGTCATCAGTGTTATACACGCGATGGTCGCGACACTTACAAATTTCACCACCGGGTTGTTGTATCTGTATTTTTGAGACCTATGAGATGAATTGATCAGACTGAGTTCATTTAACAAACGCATGAAAGAGGTAGTATATTTCAGCTCAATATAGTGTAGTCTCGAGCCAGTCCAAGTCACCTTGTCAAGGAACAATGCAACGTGCTTGAGAAGATAAAAGGTACTCAAAAAAAGGATGATTGAGGCCGGGAGTTCGTCCCCAGTCGAATTTGTTATATCAATGTCACCAAGGAAGATTCTGCCAATAGAGGAGTGTGCGAGTAATGTGCATCATAAAAATTCTCTTACTCATTCACGATGCACTATGTTAGTGTGTAATTCATGCGGGAATCATAAGGGAGTTCAAAGAAAGTATAAATTAATAGGTTTATCCGATGACCCAACTTTGACGAGATACCTAGATACAGGTATGACTATGTAGTCTACAATACCAAGTCAGTATGGGTGAGACAACTATGAACGGATGTACCCTCAGCCTCGGATTGAAGACTGAGGGACAACCGACGATAAGCGTCCAAGAAGTGAGCGTTTCGGATCGGGATACTATATACAGTAAGTAAAGAACGATGGTGCAGACTCGTGTATCTGTCCATCCGTCGTTCAATTTTAGCCCTCGGAACACACAGTAAATGCAACATGCGGAGTTCTTGTCATCCACGTTGAGAGAGAGGTATCTGTGGAGATGCCACAGGAAGCATTGAGACGGTCCGATCTCCAGAAGTCCCTGTGCATTCGCGTGACTAAGAGAGATTGAACAACAACTTGATACCTGTTGCGTAATAAGTGACCTCACCTCCTCTGAAGTGAGAATAGACAAACTGTGCAAGCACGTGTACAACTGGAAACTACGTCTCTTATTAATGGAGCGGCTTCGAATGTGCACAAAAACTCACTGGAAGAAAAATTGCGGTGAGAATGACACTAAGAGAAAAGGCTACAACAGTCAGAAAGTAAATATACGAAGTATTTATTTATCTGCAGGCACCAACCAAAGCCGCAGCCAAAATACAGCAGATTATGTCGCAAGAGGCTGACCATAAGACGGTTGTCAATCCCCCACCCTCCACGACTCTTGACGGTGCGATACAGCAGAAACGACAATATTTCTGAAATTGTGTGGACGCATGGGAACGTAATCAGTTCAAGCTTGTGTTAGCAGCAGCTCCCGATACGAACGTAACTCGGCGGTAGCTAGCAAGCCAAACGCTACACATAGTCTGGTGCTTGTCCCCGTATCCAGATATTTAGCAATGCCAGGGATCCAGCATGGTTCTGCATGCCAGAGGTAGGGTACTAAGCATGCAAAAAGTCTAACAACTTGAATGTCTACATACCAGGGACCGAAAAGTTATATTCCTGCAGGCAGATGGCAATCGCTACTAGATAGGCCTGCAGAAGAAGAATCAGACATCGTCATCTGGGATTGACCGCGGACTCCACATATTGGTCTCACAATAGTGCTGATGACCGCGTACACCGCAGTCCATCTCTCCCGCTCCCATACTGCATATGCTCTGATAATAAATATACCTGGACCAGTGCAAATGTTAGAGTGCAGAATCACCGCCGGCTAGTCAGATGCTCTACACACACTCAGCGCAAGCGACCGTCAATATCCCTACATCTGGACAGAGTCAGTAGGTGTTGTCGCGGCGAAGTGTCACCAAACTCACAGGTATTAATGACATTATAAGTGCGGCAAATCTATAGTCGGGATGGGTCAAATTCCATTATCCGCGACACTTCAACTTGGTTGCACATATGTACATACAAGGATTGGGGCATCAGGCTGTAAGACCACTGAAAACCATTGTGAAAAGGATCACACTATGAGGGAGGAAAATTTACGGATGCGTACTGGACACTCACCAAGCAAATTCAATATCAAGAAGGCAAATGGCAAGTGGCTGCAAGTGAGATACAGAAATGTGCAGAACCCCCATCGAGACTCGGCGAGAAAAGTGACCTGCACCAACTACAGATCAGAGCACTCTCGAACGCTTAAGTAGTTTTGTACTTGCTGCGTCGGGCAGGCACAGGATGTAGTCATACGACTGAATGTCCAAGTGAAATATTAGTTGCTACGCCAAGGACAGTGCGACTCCTATAGCTCACCCAAAGCGATGTGAGTGCAACTATCAGCAACTCGATTGATCAACCGATGAAAGCAACTGATAATGGATAACAACTGCACCATAAGCGTACTGGGACGAGCGCATCCGAGTTAGTGATGCCGCAGGATCGACCTGAACTCAATAACGGGATTCGCACTCACGTTTAAGTTCAAGCCTGAGAGCAAGTCGGCCTGAGTCACTTGCCGCGAAATATTCATGATCGTACTAGCTTATGCGAATCGACGTCTATAGTATATAAGAGAAGTACGCAATCCATGCACAGCGGCCCAGGCATGGGCCTATCATGATGCAAGAAGACACACTGCCGTGTACGTCTTGCGAGCTGTGTAATCTTATCATCAACGTTCAAGTTCTCTAGAACGTTGCTCAGCCGGTAACTGCCCGAACCCGGTCACGAACAATGCTAGGGTTCATGCATATGATCTAATCAATATGTCCTTCCCATGTGTATGCCTTTATATATAGCTACTTTCATATCGATAGACCAGTTTTCTTTTTCTTTTCCTTCGTCTTACTGCATCTATTTACTTGTGAAACTGGATAAACAAAAGGGTCCCGTTACGATGCCTTGGGTGGATCAAAAAATGTGCGACATTTGGGAGCTAAGCTCCAGGAGGTTGTCCAACTCGGAAGCAGCGAACTTCCGAGGTATTCCACTCTTGATCTATCCGAACAGTATTGTGAAGGGCGGGTCCCTGTTGTTTGACCAGCTCCACAAGTACATAGAAGTGGTAAGACGGAAAAATATGAAATCTGGTCTATCGAAAGTAGTCAGTGCCTCTGAAGCTAGAAATAAGCTCAGCGTCACGGGTCCGAAGAGTTACATGTGCTCACTAGTTGGCTGCATCAAACATTTCAGGGTGGACACCTAGGTGCCATATTAGTCATGACACATCAACAGTGTTTAAGACGCAGCCTCAAATGCAGTAGAAAATAATGATTCGCAACCGTATTGAGGGCCATAATCTCAAGACTGGCCAGTCACTGGAGAACCCGCAAACATGCATATGTGTAGCACGTCATTGGCCCCTCAAACCCTGCCAAGTGGTCAATTGCCGGTGAGTAAAAACGTTAGTCTGAAAGCAACGTTGTGTGAATGATTTAGTATTTCGCAATGGGTTCTAAATATATATAGGAACGCCATGTGCCGGATGTTATTTTGCGGGAGATCTTATTAACCCAGCAAACCAACCAATCTCCCGTGGACGAAGCACGCTATTGCCCATGCCACGAGGCGGCTGACATGCGCAATGGTGCTGAGGGCATGAGATACAGCTGTGGCAAACATACGAAGGTGAGCCACCCCGAATCTTCCGTGTTTTGCCATGTCTGCAGAACATCAAACACATCAAACTCTCTATGTATAACAGAAAAATCTTGCCACTGACGTTCGTTTACAAGTGATCCGACAGGAGCTGCAAGTGATAGGGTGTTCACTGCTGAAGACACACCACCGCGAATAGCAGTCTTGAGGGGGTGCTATATATGTTGGCTTTCGCTGTTGGGAAGGCAATGAGCCAGATGAGTTCCGAGCATAGATGATTGCGGTACCTCATTCTTTTCATTGACATGCGACAGCCGCCTTTCCTTTTCGTCAAAAAGCGGTTCGTTTTGGTGGCACTTTGAGCAAGTACGAATGGGGACTACAAATTTACACATAATGCTATGAAGATCGTAGGTTAGACTGGCACCAGTCCTGAAAGCAAAAGTGCGCACCAATACGAGTCTAGTGATTTGGAGAAAGTAAAGCTCTGATAGACTGTCACGAGAGGAGGTCGGCTGAATATATACGGGATGAAACTGTGGAACCATTGTCGAGTCTTTTGATCCGCAAAGGTCTCTATTGAGAGGTGTGGGTGGTGCAGCGTACAATCGGAACGCTTAGCAGCCGCAGTGGACTGGCCGAAGTGGACCATTTCGGGATTTGACCATCAGACGTGTAGAGAATGGTAGTCCCTGTCTAGATCCTACAAGTATGGTACGCCCATCTGTACACACTATGCCACCCAAGTTGCCCGCGTCATAGCGTGAAGATATCGTGAAAAGGGAGTATCGAGCTTCCGAAAGGTCGATTTGGAATTTTGGAGGTCGAGACGAGCTCGACTTGCCAATCGACCTAGAAAATAGGTCATGGAAGAAACTATATTTTCCTCACGCCCGATCATCATCTTATTAGTCTTTCTTAAGGAACGAATACTTATGTATCTTTCTTCGTCTACTTAGTATAAAGGGTCTAGGGGAGACTAGATTACCATTAGGCCGCCTCCAATATTTACCGAGCATCAGAGACCCAGGTCCACCTCCCCAAACTACTGGCATTTTCGTTTCTCCAGAGGCTCAACATATACTAATGGCACTTGGGCCGCGGCGAAGGAAAATGAAAACTTGTCCCATGAAATCGAACGTTGGAGACCGGGCGATTTCGGGGATGTCGTTAGAAAGATGCATAGTATTCTGCAGACGGGCACATGTCTGGCGCTCGTGTGTTAACTCATTGTATTCTTCATAGTCCAGATGAGTCCATGGACTGTAAGGGAAACCTAAGGGCAAACCTCTAAGGTAGGAGGAAGCGGGTGTTTTATTTAACGAGGACGGGCTACAACTAGTGGGTTACATTATATATACCTGTAAACAGGGATTCTAGCCGCTGCGCCGTGACCGTACCAGATCTGGCGCACTGAATTATGAGGTGTTGCAGTCTCGTGAATATAACAAAAATATCTACACCACATGTTGCAGTACATGTTTAACTCGACTTGTTTATGGATATTGTCCATTCATTTTTGGCCCGAGCCTGTATGAGGGCGTGTGCAATGGTCACATCCATAAGTTACGGATAGGTACGCTCCAAGCAGCAAATTCGTCTCTCCATTGCCCTAGTGTCAGCTGCATGATCATGATTATTTGGCGGAGGAAACACACCGTCACGTAAAATCTAGAGCTCCCACCATCCATGTTGTGAGAGAGATATCTGTGGCAATAACGCCAAAGGCACGGTCCGATCCCCAGAAGCCCCTATGCATTCGCGTGACCAAGAGAGCTTGAACAACAACTTGACACCTGCTGCGTAATAAGTAACTTCGCCTCCTCCAAAGTGAGAATGGACAAACTCTGCTAGCATGTGTCCAACTGGAAACTACGTCTCTTGTTAATGGGGCAGCTTCGAATGTATGCATTGACTCACTGGAACGAAAATTGTGGTGAGAATGACGCTGACAGAAAAGGCTGTAACATCTAGCAAGTAAATATGCGAGATGTGTTCCGTTCATCTGTAAGCACCAACCAAAGCCGGAGCCACAGTACAGCAGATTATCTTTCATCAGACCACGCATAAGACGGTTGTCGATGCCCCAGCCACCACGGTCTTTGCTGACGCGATACAACAGAAGCAATAATGTTTCTGAAGTTATGTGCATGCAGGGGAATGCAGTCAGTTCAAGCTCGTGTTAGCAGCAGCTCCCGATACGAACGTAACTCGGCGACAGCTAGCAAGCCAAACGCTACATATATTCTGGTGCTTGTCTCCGTATCAAGATATCCGCTAATGCCAGGGATCCAGCATGGTTCTGTATGTTAGAGGTAAGCAACCAAATGGGCAAATAGTCCAACCCGAATGTCTACTCACCTGAGACTCTCGAGTTAAATTGTTGCAGGCTGACAGTAATCGACGCTACATAGGCCTACAAAAAATGAATCAGATATCGTTGTCTGGAACTAGTCATAGCCTCTATATTTGTCTCACAAAAACAGCAAAAATCTCCACCGCCGCGAACCATCTCCCTCGTTCCCACACTGCATATGCTCTGACCGCGAAGATACCTGAACTCGGTGCAAATATTAGAGCACAGAATCTCTGCTGGCTAGTACAATTGCTGGACTTACATTCAGCACAAATCATCAACACCGTCCCTACATCTGATGAAGTATTGAAGATGGTGTCAGTACGTGTCTGGCGAAGCGCCACCAAACTGACAGGTATTAGCGATATTATAAGAGCGGCAAAGCTATGGTTGGGATGTGTTGAATTCAAACATTTGCGACGCTTCGGCTTGGTTGCACGTACATGGAGTGGGGTGTCAGGCTGAAAAACCACTGAAAGTTATCATAAAAGGCATCGCACTATGAGGGAGGTGAAAATGGAAGTGTACCGGACACTCACCGAGCATATTCAACAACATGAAGACAGGTGGCAAGTGGCTGCAAGTTAGATACAGAAATGTGCTGAGCCCCCATCGAGAGTCGGCGAGAAAGGTGATCTGCATCGACTACAGATCAGAGCATTCTCGACGCTCAAGCAAATTTGTACTTGCCGCGTCGGGCAGGCATAGTATGTAGTCATACACCTCGATATCACAGTAAGTTTCTGCCGATGATGTGATAACTTCTACTAGCGTAGCTCACCCAAAGCGTTACTAGTGCAACTATTGGGAGAAATAACATGAAGAGATCAACCATTCAAGTTGGAGGGCTGATCATGGAAAATGACTGCACCATAAATGTACTGGGATGGAGGCCCATCAGTGATTTGGACTCGATAGCAGGACTTGCACTCACGTTTAAGCCTGGGAGCACGTCAGTTTGAGTCATTTGCCACGAAGAACTCATAAAATTTACGACTCGACATCGCTCTGGCTGATCGATATAAGAGAAGATATACGGAAATCTGCGAGGTCGTTACGTTCACACACGAAGGGTATTTCGACGATTGGCGATCCACAACCACTACTTAGCCGGTGACAACTCTCCGACCCTCGGCCACGAAACATCCCTTGATAGGTATCATTTGCACGTAAAAACGATTAGTTCTTTTCATACATGTCTTCAGTTGTCTAGCGCCTTCAGCTCCGGTGCGACGGTGACGGCTAATGGAAATTAAGCTCAGTGATACGGGTGCATCAAACCTAGGTCCCATAGTGATGACACATTCACTGCGTCATTAAGAAGGATATTGCTCTTGATGTTGAACAAGAATCGGAAATAAAAAAGAGGGTGCCTGTCAATGCACAGTGTATTTGCAGGGGTCACAATGTCCTGACGATATCGATCGAGTGGTTCTGGGCCCACTGCAGGTGAGTCTACTAAGAATGGTAAGATAATCAGAAGAAGCAGCTTTATGTGATGGAATTGATATTTCGTACCAAAGATATGCAAACATCAGTTGTTTTGACCTTGTAATGACCTACTAGTGCTAGTAGGAAAACAACTAGTTTCGCCTCCGCGGGGGTATACTTACCAGTGCCTACCGTAAGCGTGTGGCGGCTACGATAAGTGCAACTATGGCCATACAAAGGTGAGCCACCATGAATCTCGAGTGTCTTGCCGTGTCTGCATCAGAGAATTCGTGAGTCTACCCAGGGTGCTTTACGTTGATTGCGGTGGTTTTCCGACGTTATACATGGCTTTATATGACTTTATATTCCAATATAAAGAAAACCTTTCCTATATATGATCATATATCGGCATATATGACAATATCTTCGGTTCACGAGTCCTCTGATGTGCGGCAGAGCACGAAACACGAAACACGACATTGGATAACAGGAACTCTTGCCACTGATACTTGTTTACACGTGTGCAAACAGGAGTTGGAGACACTACAATGTTGGCGTGTATGTCCGCACATCGGGGGTTCCATGTAGTATGTTGGCTTTTGCTGTGGGAAGTAATGCGATGAGCTCTTAGCATAGATTTTAATTATTGCGATACTTCGAAGTTTCTTACTCGAGAACTTTGAATCGTCGAACCGCAAGGGCTTTATTGACAGGTGTGTGGCGGATGATTGGAGCGCCTGCCGCAGTTGGAATAGACGAGGGCCTCCCAAAGTGATTGAGTCATGGCAGCCAGTGGCCTGGGCCTTGCGCATGTGAAACTCATGGTCGGCGAGAGACTTGTAAACAAAATCTGAACTGGAGTTCTGGACGAGAAAGTGAATCCTTTGAGAATGTGTAGACGAGGAAGAATCATCTGAAATATGCCTGACCAGGATGCAGCATGAACCGGCGCAAGATAACTCAGGCATAATTTGGATCCGTGTTTGCGAGCGGCTGATCCTTCGCTGTGATTTGTGATGCGCGCTGCATCAACGCCGCGTCATTTCCACCTGGGTTGACCTGGCCCACCCGTGACTTGAGACTCGGAAGGAGATGACATGACCCAGCGCCACAATATTGATGACAGTGGGAGTTTCTGACTTCCCTACTAGGCATGACGATTGATCAAGGGAATTTTGATTGAACTCTCGTAAGTGCTCGAGCCCTCTTAAGTCCTAGTCCGACAGGGTCGCCCTCTGCCGTAGCGTTTTGTTCTCTTCCCATCACTCTGTATCTCGCTGTTGCGGACGACTCACCTGGTGTTGCTTTATTTGCATATAGGTAAGTAAGTCTATTAAGCTATTTTGAGTGAGCATGCAGACGAAGCGTGTTCAAGTTCGGTTCAGTCTAAACGCCAGTTATGCTCTCCCGAGTATTTACAGTCCTTGCTATACTTTTAGTATGTATTCAATCTAGGCAATGTGATTGTGTCTCATTTTCTACAGGCAACGTTCATCTATCGGAGCGGTCGTCTTGTTAAACATGGCATCTTTACTCTTCCTGCACTACCTCCATCATACTATGTCAATGGCGATGTCCAGACGCATTGCACACTTCTTCAAGAGCCAGCCCATACCATTAATTACTGCGAAGACATGACCTTCTGGGACCACCTGGATGCAGATGGCACTGTAGCTGCCCGTTTTGTTATTGCGGGGTGCGACCCTAACCGCAAGGCATGGAACACTGTCATGGGCCCCTTGCGCGATCCAGAACCAAGGGCCTACCTTTGGCTTGTTGATACGGTAGACAATAGCCTGCAGCGTATTGAGTTGGATGGATACCCGGAAGGACATAGCTTCCACCCACTTGGGATAGAAGTCACGCCTTCTCAGGCCGGAGCCCCATCTATTCTCTATGTAGTCAATCACGCCCGTGAAAAGACCACGATTGAGCACTTTACCATTTCTCCAGATGCCCCAACACGGGCACTCTGGCAACGCACACTTTCATCTCCTTGGTTTGTGTCTCCTAATGCCTTGGCCATCACGAACGAGACGTCGTTCTACGTCAGCAATGACCATCTCATGACTCGTCGACTCCCTTTCCCCCTTGCACCCGTCCTGCCGCTGACCGAGACTATTGCTGGACTACCCCTAAGTTGGCTTGCGCATGTCACAGTTAACCCTGATGGCACAATCACGCACGAAGTAGCCGCTTTCGGTGTGGCCTTCGCCAATGGCGTCGCCATCTCCCCAGACGGCACGATTCTCGCACTGTCTTCTACATCTCTCGGCCGAGTCTACTTCTACGACCGCAACACGAGCACAAATGCACTCAAATACCGGGAGACCGTCAGCGTACCCTTCTTCAACGACAACATCATGTTTGATGAGGAAGGCACACTTATCGTCACAGGGCATCCACATTTCCCGTCTCTCGCTGGTGTCGCTGCCAATAAAACAGATGCGCGAGCGCCAAGCTGGGCCGTCTCGCTCACTCCCCTTTCAAACCAAACGCATTTCGCGAAGAGCGCACACGCAGCAGATAGGAAATATGATTTACGTGCGCCGTTATCGGCATCAGAAGTTGTCCCCGCTAGTGAAGGATGGGAGGTGGAAACATTGTTCCAGAGCGACGGGAGTGTATTTGGAACATCTTGCACGACGCTCAGGGATTCGAGGACCGACTCACTTTACATGGTGGGCCTGTACGAGGAGGGGTTGATGGTCTGTACGCCATAGTTGGCTGTATTTCGAATGTGTACGCAACTTCAACGTTCAGCACTGGTTTCTGCTATTTAATGTACTAGTACCTGTGCCAAACACAAACTATCTATTTCCAAGAATACTGAAATAGCCATTGACGCCGGTACCGAAAATCTGGGGAAACCTCCGTGAGCGTGTTAAAAATCCTAAAAATACAGGGGTGAACAATATAAGCTTATTGCTGCTATGATAAGAAACATGCGTGAGTTGCGAACAACACAATGATCCCAGAAACCTTCATCACACACTCTACTCATACCCTCCCCAGGGGAAGCATAATGGCACGGTCCTGATGAAACAAAAGTTCTCAGCAGTACTGGTTGGGAGTGAATGAGCCGATTGGAGATCTGGGATGAAAGTCGCATGCGCAGAAGAGATTACTGGAAACAAGCACTGTCGTTTGCAAGTCGTATCCATAGGAGAGCGATACATCCGACGGACGTGTGGGGAAGCACCGACGGCGAAGAAAGAGCCACACCCAACGGACGCGGAGCACGAAGACGAAGACCTGAACGATATGGGCGCTTATTAACGCCCTTTTGGAACCAATAGATCACCTGGCGGATTCGGACAACTTGTTCAAATTGCCGCAAATGCGGGCAAGTGTTTCCACTTCAGCACTTGTAAGTAAAAGTACAATGACTTCCCGGCTTGTAGGCAAGTCTAAGATAACAGAATGCTGGTTGCCGGTTTGGCCATTTGCCCAATAATAACACAACTTCAGAAGACCAGAAGGTGCTTCGAGAAAGCCAATCCAACGGGACCGGACTTTCGGAACCGGCAGTCTGCCAACCACACATCCCAATGCCAACGGAACCGAAAAATTGGGGCCGTCAGCTGCATGTTCCAATCCAACGGGAGGAAAAAGAGATGCAAAGGGAAGCCTTATAATGAAGCAGGTTCTCCGATGCCAACGGGTAGAAGCACGTACCCCCAACGCCAACGGTATGCTCACCGTCGCCGATGGACTATCCGCAGGTAAGGCTTTCCGTCACAATATAAAAGGCAAAGTTCTGTCCTCGAAAATTCACCTCCTATACTCCTGTCATTTCCCATTGTCGCCCAACATTGTTCCTGCGGCGCGCTCGAGAGGAGGAACACCTGACACCTGCAAAGCAATTTTAAGTTTACAGTGTAGTCAATTATACCAGTCAGACAAAAAAAAATTATTTTAAACCACGTGTCGAAGCAAATACAGAGACAGGTAGTGTGCCAGAAAATGCGGCGAGACCGAACGTTCCGGTCCAGATGCCAAGTTCGTCCACATAACTACTATGCGCGACGTATGAACCTGAATTCGTAACAGGGAGATATCGAATGACATACTTGGGATGACGACGACTCTGGCTCCACACCCCCTTGGAAATGAAAGATTATTTTCCTGCTTGTCGCGGCGCCACGTGGATTTCTGCCTGTCCCAAAGAGCCTACGATCAAAGCGAGGGAAATAAATTCGGCGCCACGTAGAGGAGGATGAGCTGATGCAGGAATCACATTTGACTGTTGTGAGTGCGTCAAAAAGGCCCACCTTGAAGGAAGAAACATGCTTACGATATCAACGACAAATGTCCAGGTAGCTTGCACTATCCATGCGCCGGTAACTTAACTTTGTCCTTTACTTCATCGAAACGTGAATTGCCACCCGCTTTGATTGCTCTCTGGGCCAAGAAACTCTCGAGCCTCAATAACCACACGACAAAGGCAACACCTGCCCGGAGCCGAGCATGGGCGCTGAAATGTGGCAGGAGAAATTTTGCCGCCCGAATGAATATGTGGATAATAAATGGGCATAAGAGTGATTAACAAGAAACCCGCAGCACCAGAGAGATCATAAAAATCTGTCTTCAGCTTTAGGAACGAAGATGCAGGCCAAGTCTGCTTGTAACGCATAAGCGCTCACTGTGATGAGTATCAGACATGATTTTAACAGTATTACGTCTGGTTCTGAACTGTCAATTGATACTTCAATGATGGAAAGAGGGGAAACCACAGTTGACGTGTAAGTAGATCCTAGCCGAGCCATTAATATTGATGATGTCAATGAGTTACTTTACTAGGGGTCGGCGTTGCCGACTTTTTACCTTGCGGAGCTCTTTCGCTTAATTTGACTTGCCCACAATATCAACAGGGCCAAATATCTTTGATTACTCGCCGTTCAGACGCACAACATTCTGAGCATGATACAAAAGGCTGTAAACTTTCATATGGGTCCATATTCACCTTCATTAAAACGTCTCTCGGTGTCTTCTACCAGTTCTCCATTCTTTCGTCTTCTATACGAAGATCTTCCAAAGGGTGTCGAAGGGGTCTACGATGCAGCTTAGCGTGTTCGAATTGCTGAAGACTTCCAACGCCGAATGTGCTTTTATATTTAGTATGTTTAATTCGTTATGTGCATTATTTATCGTTGATGAGTGTCTCATCAGTCGAACACCAATCTCGCGGCACTCCTCATATCTTCATTCAGACTGCGGCCGCTGTCCAAGAAGCCTTTGAGTCTAGCGGGTCTCGAATGATTTATACAGACTCTCCTACCATCCTTGCAGATCAAGTGTTATGTGCAGATCCAGCAGAGTTTAATCGTACGTCAGTTAGTTATATGTTGGCGTCTTTTACCCTAATTTATTACTGAGGAATCGCTCAGAAAATGGCACGCGACTTAGATACTACAGTGGTGTATGCAGATACACTTCTGTTAGCAGAACGGTTGAGAGATGCTGCTCTCAAAATTTCTCGAGTGGTCAGTTAAGAAATTGGTGCTTGGGCTGTTTGTCTGACAATTAACTTACGGACTTTCTGTGTTCTCTTTTGCCGCATTTTTGATAATGGTTATGTCGTTCGTTCGTCGTATTGTCCGCTGTGAATGAAGTCCATGACACCTGTTGTGATGACATAATCTGAGTTAGTCATTTGCTCGTATCTAATTGCGGAATGCGCCAGGCTGTTGACTTTCATACAGAAATGACGGCAAGCAGTTACATTTGTAGAATCGCAGGTCAGACGATCAATTGGAGTCGTGGTTCATATTCAGGCGAGTAGTCTTTGTCACTATGCATTTTTTCATATCTTGGACAGGTTTCAGGTATAAATCAATTTGGACGCATTCGCGCTCTCGTATGCTCTGGATATTGGAGCACATACCATCCTCGCATATGCTGTGTGCTTTTGCATCAGCGTGGTTGAAACAACCTCGAGGTTAATTGTTCGCACTGTTATCGAACCTCGGGCCGTTCATAGCATGGCATATGTGTGAGGGCCAGTGATGAAATGAGTTTGCCGGATGGATTTTAAAAAAGTAGTGTAATTATTGTTCGGGAGGATCGTTCTTGAAGATACTTTGTACCATTATCTCATTCGCCATAATGTAATTCTGTGCAGAATCAGCAATAACGCAGTCTAATTCATTTTGGTGTGTCTGGTGTCAGATGGTTTGCGATGATCACGTGTATATTTTGTGATGTTTACCACCACAGGTCACGCCGCATTCATAGACCTTGCTCTGCAAGGTAACGTAACTAAACGGAAGCAGATTCAGATGACATCAGCTGTTAAAGTGAGACTACTTAATACTGTGAAGCAAGATATCAACCACGTTAACTATGATGTCGCTCACAACAAACGTTCATCTAGAATCACAAACCAAGACTGGGTCTCATTCTTGCTCCCCCTGTCCTTCGCCCGAAGGTCACACCCACCAAGCTGACCACTCAGCTGGCAAAAAGTCCATTCCCAATACTGGCTGGTGTGATTCTCCTCCCATCCCCTCATGTGATGGCAGTGATTCTGAGAAAGATTGGATGTTAAAGCTGCCATACAATTGGTCACCAGTGTGTGGTCCAGACAGTGAGGAGCTCTTCAAGACAAAATATGAGTCGTCCTGCTGGTGCAGTGCAGTGCATTTTGCATTTTTGGGCGACCCATTTGATGCGAAGCATTGTCACTGTAGACAATGCCAATGGCTGCACAGTGCCCCATTTCAGTGGGTGGTCATCTTCCCAAAGACAAGTGTTCGGATTCTGGAGAATAACAGCGATGCTCTTCACTGCTTCTCTACCACAACGAAAAAGGCTAGTCATCATGTCCCGTGCAAAGTCTCCTGCGACATCTGTTGGGTGCCACTTTTTGATGAGGGGAAGCGCATGGTGCTTGCATACCCAAGTGGCTTCAAATTTCCCCCTATTAAAGCACACCTGAATGCTGCTGATGCAAATGATGGTGAGGCAGTGGAAACAGGTGAAGGGCTCTATGATCCACAGCATGAGGATATCTGTCCTCCAGGTCACTATGGTGGAGTCCCTCTTGAGTTTCAACCCAGTTGCCATATTTTCTATGGCCAGCGCATCATGGAAGTGTATGATGGAATGTAGGGGTGCATCTGCCTGGTCACCCCTTAAGTTCTAACATGTCAGTTAACAGCCCAAAGTGGAGAGGCCATAAGGATGACAGTGAGCTCATGCAGGAGATGAGCAATGTGTCAGGTGTTATGCCTAGATACAAGGGGTATGATGAGGGGCTACACCCATGAGATGGCATTAATAGACTTATTGACCTCAAAACAAGTCCGACTACGTCTTGGAAAGAGTGTGTCAACCTTGACTTGCCTGTAGTAGTACAAATCAAGCTGGCTACAAGCCTAACTTGATGCCATGAAGCACTTGGAGAACCTCACTGTCATGATCTGATCATGCAAAATATCTAAAAAAAATAATGGATCCTGCATTGATTGCTGCCAGAGTTGTCTCTAGTATTTCTCTGCACTTTTGTGCACCTTGGGTGTTCTTGTCTGAGTACAACACAATCACAGCCAGCTCTAATATGTGCTATCACTGGAGGAAGAAAATCAAATTCACAATCTCATACTATCGGACACACTCACAGACTTGTTGGTACGTCGATGTTAGTGAGGCCTTCGCCCGGAAGAAGCCATTCACATTTCAAGTACCTATCGCTCACAGGGTAACATTTCGAATATTTTATTTATTTTTCAAAGCCCTCTAGCGCTCCGGTTACCTTTAGTGATCGTGTGATGCGCCAAGTGGGTTTGCGCTTTGTAGCAGGATATGTACTACATTCGAGAGTTTCCGCATATAGTACTCCAAAATAAGATGACAAGGCTGGCGCTGGCACCCAGACTTGTGGGGCTTGGAACTGGACCCCAGTGCCGGGGCCTTGGCGATTCGGTAATTAGTCGTGAAACATGATGACGCGCTGATGGCGGCGAGCCTAGGACCTTTAACTTGAACTGTTAATGTTGCGTATGCCGTCGCGGCAGAGAGAGATAAACCTGCGCCAAACAGATGTATACATGGGAATATTGATGATTTATTCGCACGGCGACGACATAACCCCAACGCTAGACAGGATTACAACCACCCCGAGATATTCAAAAAAAAATTAACGGGCGAAACTTTGCTATTCTTTATTCCTATCTATCCCTGTATCACATACCCGGAGCGTGTGCATGGACAATCCACAGCACTATCAACCGCTCTCCCATGCACTTCATCCTCCCGTAGTGCCTACGTACGAGGAGGAGGAAGAAGAGGAAGAGAATGAAGACGAGGGCATCGTCGAAGAGCAACTTGATCGTGAAGACGACGATCATGAGGTTGCCGCTGGGTGCGTAATTACTGTGAAGTGTTATGATTACACGCGTCTGATTGCAAGTATTCGTAAATACTCATATTGTATGTGCTCGTCATGTCCAGATCTGCACAACATCAATCAAGTTCAACTGCAACTGGAAAGCGCGCAGGTACAGCACAACCCGACCCGCCACAAGACTCAGAACGGAAAAGGCGTCCTGGTCGTCCCCGTGGATCGAAAAATAGACGGTCACGGCGTCAGCTACTGACTTGAAGGAGCAGGCTAATGCTGCCCCAAAAGTGTCCCCGCCACAACATGGGTTCTACCAATATACCGCTTCTCCTACTCCAGGAGAGATACAACCACACAATCAGCAGTACTATGAGTTTCAGTGGCGTGTGCTAAACTTGTGTGCAGAGTTCTATGGAGCGGCTGAAGAGCTTGTTGTAAGCGTCCGCTGCGTGATTCTGAGGCGTTGAAATAACTTCGCCCAGAAAGCTACACCCTCCCTTGTTATTGCGCAATGTTACCAGATGGGCCCTGGTGTGAAAGTAGATCCCTTGGCCATGCTCGGCGAAGCGAAAAGAATATGCGATACCCTTGTGAGTAACGTAATTTCGGTTGTAAAGTTTGCTCGGTCCTTATTTCTCAAAGTTGGCATCTCCCTCTCGATTAACTACACATCCTCCACCTCCACCGTACTTCGTACCTGGTTACCCAGCTCCCATCCCCCCGCCGCCGCCGCCACCCCAACCCCAACCTGGGCCATCCACATCCTCTACAAACGGCAAATCCCCCGCCACTACAGGGCCAGTAATTTCGGATCCGCAATCATTTGTTGTTTCCCTGGGTCATCAGCAAGCATACCCATACGGCGCTCCAGCATACCCTACTGCACCATACTATGGCTATGGCGGATATGGGGGTTACTATCCTCCTGTACCTCCACCTGGGCCAAGCCCAGCACCTGCGTCAGGCTCTGCGAGTGGAAGCACAGGAGGTGTTGTGGGGAGCGGTGGAAACCAGGGTGCCTGGTCCGAAGAAGAAACGGAAAGACTAAAGAAGCTTGCCGAGGAGCACCGCAACGGTAGCGGGGAAATCATATGGGATGCCCTATGCGAAAAATGGGGCAACTCTCGTACGAGGTAGGTATTTTTCCATGTCGCATATCGGTTCTTTCAGGAGAGCTTACCACTCGGCCTGATAGACACCAAATATTGATAAAAGCAACCTCGCTGGGGTTGAAGGAGTCCTCATCGCGAGGAACGAAACGAAAACGGGAGACGGACGGCCAACTTGAGCGCCCTCCACCTACAGCTCCCACTCCAACAAGTACAGATGCCCCCCATCAGACTCCAGTCCCAAATCCCGTTCCCACGCCTGCTTCTCAATCCGCACAGGGAGCATCTGCTTCTCCAACACCTTCAACACCAGCACCGGGGTCCAATCAACCTTCTCCAGCAATTCGACATGCACAGACACAGCAGCAACAGCAGCCACTACTACACCAACAACCGCCAACACGTACTCTCCCATATCCAATGCCAACGGTTGCTGCTGCAACTTCACCTGTTATATCTACCTCGACGAACCCGATGGATCGTCCGGGAAGTGGAAATTACTATCGCACACGACCAGCACCTGTGATGAAACCTGCTTCTTCAGGATCGACACATCAGTTCATGTATCAGCCGAACGGAGGGCGCCGAGAGGGTTAATTGGCGTGACTTTACTGATTTTATCGCGTGGCCGAGAGTCCCTTGCTCGATAATTTGCTATCTTACTTTTTGATACCGACACAGCTCAGTATAGTCTTCGTGTAGATATCGCGTATATGGTCGGTCGACGTGTTGTGCTTTTTGCAGGTCCTGTATTCACCTGTCCAGAATTATTGTACAATCATTTTGTTACGACCGTGCAGGACTCGCGGACTTGGTAATAGTATTAATATTGCGAATAAGTTCGATAGTTTGAGCAAGTAATATGCCAAACCTCCAACACCGTTACAATATCTCACTATATTTCATCTGCCTCGAACGCTTACAGTGACTGTTACAGTCCAAGCATATGTAGACTAGGAGCAAGGTGTCCGTTGCTGGCGGGACCTTGCCTGAGGCTCTGTGAATGTATGGCCTGCCCTAAACTGTTAGTGGTTTCGGGATCTGATTATCTAGAATACACAAAATGATACTAAAGCGAAGTACTGATACCATCTCTGATATCCAGTCTGTCACCAAGTACTGCATCATGAGCTTAATATGAGGAACCTTTTTGATCTTCATTCGTTTTCTGGTCTTGATCCTTGGATAAATCTGGTAGGTTCAAGGCTACAGCCATCGAGTTTGTTTTCGGCGTGTGAGGTCATGTTGATTCCATGTGTCAATCCACCAATTGAAGGGGAATCTGATTCCACTTAATCAGCTAAATTCTCATTTGAGCGGGGACTTGGTCATACTGAATAAAACTTACTTCTGAAGCTCCTAAAGATCCTCTAGAAATATTTGAAAGGTTCTGTCTACAGCTTCTCATATATTGTACTAGGATGCCAGAACACCAGTTTGATCCCATGGCATACCTGTGATGAATTGAGAGAAATCAGGCTTCCAGCACTTGATGTGACCATGAGCATAGCATAATGTTAATATTTTGAATTAGCAGGGATGTCAACATTGTGTGATGCTCTAGAATTCAGATGGAAAATATTACAGATTACTGGGAATGGTAGTATATCCAGAATGAGGGTGATATAAATACTCGCAATACTAAATGCACAAAGGACTAGGAAAATGGACTAGGATGCATGTGAATGAGCCTTCAAGACATGGGAATTAAGCATATGTTTGCGAGAGAAAGAAGCCCAACATTGACTACACAGATATTTGACTTGTACATGCACCTCCTCAATGTGCTGAACAATGCTCTCCTGTTTCATGGGGGTTCTTGTGCAGCCATCCCATGCACATTGTATTGTTAAATGCCCAGGCCCCTTCACTCCATGCATGCACACATGTTTTGAAAGATCCAAGACACTGATGTATGTGCCACATCACATGCCCCCACCAATGTCCCACAGACAGAAGGTGTGGTCAGGGCTTGCATGTGCAGTGGGATCATCATAAAGGTCCTGTGGAATGCCACTGTGACATCAACATCAGTGACAGGTAGCATGGATCAGAAAAGAAGACTGGCAGTGGGAATATCAAACATGTGGCCTTGCACTGGTAGAGAATGACCCAGTGTCATCATTGTGTCGAATGAGAAGAGAATTGATTACTGGGAGGGCTTTATTGAAATTAGAGCTTGTGGTTATATACTTTGTGCCAGAAGGCTAAACTGTAATTGGTAGATGCATGAACCCAGATGGTAATGAGGCCATGTAGCACCACATACCTGGCCCATTAGGCCAATTTGCCACAACATGAAAGTGAATTTGTGCAAGGAATTCCGGTGGTATTATACAATGTCATTTCCACTGTTTGATGTTGGCCTGTGGATATCAATTTGAAGATGATATGAACCATAATGGAATCAATGAGAACAAACAGTCAGATGGAGGCAAAGGCCTTGTGGAGCTGCATATAAAGAAACCTGCCACAGCACCTGCAAATTCTAACCTTGCATCTTGAGCCACAGGTAACCTCATGACAATGATGATGGGTAACAGCTAGGAAAGGTAAGCCAGGAATGTCACAAAACTAAGTGCCAGCATCCACTAATTAGGCACTAGGAGTGAAGTATTATGAGACTCATTGGCACCATTGATTGTATCCCTGTGCAGTTCGAATCAAAGGACTCAATAATGACAGATGGAATGATGCACCCCAATTGGAATACTGCAGTCACTGAAGGGCCTGAGTTGAATGGCCACCCTGAGTGGCAATTGAACAGGAAGGTGCAGGATGACGCTACCTGCACAGTGATCCCAATTTGTGATGAGGTATGTGTTACGAACTCGGATAGAGCATCATTCCAATAAAGGAATCAAGGATCAAGGTCGATCAAGGACTAAGCCTTATCAAGTCAATGCCTCCCTCAGGAGCGATCACTTAGACTCCCGCAGGATCTAAGGTTCTAATGGGACAATGGCTAGCCTCCTTCCCAAGGAGCTAGAGTTTGAGTATCAAGGAGAACTGAGTAGATTCAAGTTAGAGAAAATACAAGTGGTAACTAGGGTTTATATACGTAAGGAAATCATGCACAGACCAGGCTGGGCAAAGGGTAACAACTACTGAGAAAGGAAGGTTCATGGGAAAACAAGGTATGAGTCAAAGATAAGGGAGACCATGAGGAAACAGCACAGTGAAAAGGAAGCGTTAGAAGTACAGCCATATAGGAGTCTGCAGTGATGATGGGAAAAAGAGTGGGGCACTGTAACAGTATGGTGTCAGTTGCAAGTGCTTGACATGTTTCATGAATTCCTGTATTGATGTGTTGGAATTCCTCATAGAACAATCCCTGTTCCACAGAAATCAATAGAAGTTGGTTAGTGGGTGCTTTATCACAGAAAAGTGAACAGTGGCAAGTTCACTGACACTGGCCTATACAGCAAACATTGTGGTGTTTGTTGCCAAATCAGTTGGAACACACCAGTCAAAATACCTCTGGTGATTCAATTCCATATCAAATTGATAGATCCCAATATGCTTCAGCCTGTTCATGCACATTGATCACACAGAAGCCAGTCCAGCCACCCAACACCTTTGACTTGAGCAGAGATATGTGCATTCAACATGATTTGCACAATGAACCCAAACTATGGGCAGAACACATAAGAGAATTGATGGCATCCTTCACCATAGACTGTTTCCCATGGCATGATGCAGTCACATTGGTCCAGGAAAGGATAGTTGGCCAGGTATCCTGTGCAATGATAGTGACAAGAACCCATCAGCTGGGGCCCCGTAGTAAAGATTCAGACATAAAGATGATCAGAGGTAAAGTTTAACATGTAAGGTTTGAGAACCTTCGGACCGGACCCACATGTTGGATGATTCGCGATCCATGTCAAATCCATCTTGCTTGCTGGTTTTATCGATAGGCTGGGCTAGACGGTGACCATCGTGACATAGCGGAGTCATCGACTAAACAAAGCACTCGCCGTGGCTGAGTCAGCTTGTCGCCTCTTTGTCGGAAGCGCTCACCTACCTCTGTTTTTGATTCGACTGGCCACAGCAGAGTCCAGCCGCCGCCTCTTGCTTTTGAACCACCATTATCACCATCATCCCCAGTACCAGCACTTGCACAGATAACTTCATACAAACAATAATTCTTTGCGTTGTCAACGGAGGTGATAATGTTCTCAAGCCCGACATCGAGCCGTACGCTCGCAACCACCACGCTCAAGGGCGCTGGCCTCATCGACAGTGACACACGCATGCGAGACGCTACAGCGGACAAACCAGGTGGTCGCAAGGGCGCCTCAAAGATCCGCACACACCGCACACGTCCGATCGATGCCTATAAGGAGCCTCACGGCCCTAGTCGAGCTAGCATGGTAAATATGAGACTTTTCCCCGCTCGCATTTCTTAGCTTAGTTGATCTCCCTATGAATGTTTTCCATGTTCATGACTTGGGATTTTTGTACGTCGCTGTATTTATCGCCGTCGTATATCACCCCTTGCCTTTCCAATTGTCTGTCTATCTACATCCGCTCTTCGTCTCCTTTTTGTGTAAAACCCTCGCTTACAAATGTCTGGCGCCCACCGCCGCTCGCACATGGACAGCTCGCCGCACGGACACAACCAGGCGGCGCGTCAGATATTCTCACGATCCGCGGCGCTTCGACGGTGGGGCGACTTCGCAGGAACGCCGTTTCGGCGGCAGTTGCAGGTGTAGCGCCTGGCAAGGCGCACACAGCACCAGTGAAAGCAGTAGAAGTATGGAAAGATTTCGTGAACAGACGGTGGAATCCCGAATTAAGGTTCTTGAACCTAGAGGTGAGTAAATACCTATCTAGCCCTTGAATCTCAGGTGGTTGATGTCATGGGCAGAGGATGATGGACGATCCAGAGATTCAAAAACATAACTTGTTGCCGCCGGGCGCCCCTGCATCCTCAGTAAGAGAGGCTTCGGTTTTGTTCAAGTTAGCCTCGCACCTAAGACCAGCTGTAAGTCGAACTTTGTTTTCAGACTCTGTTGGAGTTTCATGCTTTGACCTATAGGTCCAAACACTATCTCTCGCAAATAACAATATCAGCTCCGGTCAGCTCCTTTCAACGCTAGCGCACTATCTCCCCAAGCTTGCCAATCTATCACTGCAAAATAACAACCTCAAGGTTTGGCGAGATATCGATTTTATTTCTGGGCGGAAAGGGAAGCTCGAGCATTTGCGAGAACTGATACTCCTCGGGAACCCATTGAGAGAGCAGGAGATTCAGAATGGAAAGGGAGATAAGTACAAGAGGTACGTTGACAGGAGGTCATCAGGTCATCAGGCTCATGTAATTAACGATATCCAGTGACATGGCACGGCGTTTCACGTCATTAATAATGCTGGATCAGGAGGCTATTGCTACTATAGCATTCGACGCTCCTGGACCATCGTCTACTCCTGTAACAAGAAACCGAGCTACTGCAACCACATTTCCATATGAAATGCGGTCACCATTCATCACAGGTGTCGAAGACTCGGTTGTCAGCAATTTCCTCGTTCGGTGCGTTATCTTATAGTATATCTCTTGATTTTGCTTATAAAACGTTATCATCAGGTTCTTCCCATTATTTGATGATCAACGAGCTGCCCTTCTCGATGCATATCACCCTTCGGCGACTTTCTCGTTCTCATGTAATACAGCTATTCCGTCTCGTGCACGTATACAGGGCCTTCACGTATCTAAAGACATGCCCAATCAGCGCAAGCTTGATTGGGGTATCTGGCTCAACAACGGCTCCCGAAATCTTAATCGCATGGGAGGTGGCGTTGACAAAGTTGTTAACAGCCTCCACCTAGGTAGCGAAGAGGCGATTCGAGCAATGTCGACGCTACCAAAAACGAAACATGACGTATCTGGTTCACCAGAGAAGTTCTGCATCGATGCATGGCCTGTGGGTCAGGGCGAGAACTTAAAACTGTTCATTTCCCTGCATGGGCAATTCATAGAAGGTAAGCACCCACGATCCACTCGGAAGTTTTGACCGCCCTGGACATCTCTATACTGTTTGGTGTTCTATTGCCTTGGTTGCGATGCAGTAACCTTCGCGTCTTCGAATTCTGTCTTCCTCAATCCCACGTCATTGTGTTCACAGCTGACATTTTCCTTTCTCGCAGAACCTTCGCAGGGTATCCGGTCATTCGACAGGGCCTTCGTCCTAGCTCCAGCGCCACCAGGTTCTCGGTAAGCCGCCTTTTCATCGTACGCGCTCGGCATTTGCCATTGACACAATGACCAATCTGACAGGGCTAAATTGAATGGCTGGGACGTTATGGTCCTGTCAGACCAGTGGTCTGTACGAGCATACTCAACCCACGATGCATGGCATCCAGGACCGATGCGTGTGCAAGCTGGGGATGCCATGCCGACTCAGCCGACTCAGCAACCGACAGGGTCTATCCCATCATCTTCATTAATCCCCGCGAGCGCGCGGGCGCAGCTAGAACACACGATATCGACATTTGTAAGTTTTCGCTTCCCGTTGTTCATGCATTTTTACTTACGTCTTCATTTCCGCACCGGCATACACTATCGACTTGGTTAGTCTGAGCCACAGCGTAATCTCATCGTGCAGATCTGCGAGCGGACGGGTCTAAATGCCAAGTATGCCGTGGATTGCCTACAGAACAACGCGTGGGTTTTCGACCGTGCCATCGCAAACTTTGAGCAAGTCAAGGTAAGCGGGGTGTTTTGAGTATTTTCGGTGAAACTTTTGCTCACCACTGTTTGTCCAGGCGGCGTTGTCACGGGATGCATTTCTGTGACTTTGGGGAACACGGATTCTAATACGGCGAACTCCGTTCTTGCAATCGGTTCACACTTATTATTAGAAGGTTCGATTACGATGAGTTCGGGGATTTCGCTCACGGACTTTAGGTCAGGGATAGACTGATTGCTACCCCATGACTACTCTATATACATTTGGCAAGCTGAAAGTACTTCATGCATCATCGTACCAGTTTCAATGTAACGTTTTCATATCATATTACTATCATATCACCAAGTATTTCGGTTTGTTGCACGCAATGAACTTTCGAATTGATGAAATGTGTTGCTTCTCCGGATAGTCTTGACAGTGCGCGCCATCAGAGCTACTATATGAATTCCCAGCAGATTCGCCGCCGCCCTGCATGACGGGTTGGGTGATTTTAAGTTTTTGTCGTCGAGACTACCACCCTGAGTGAACGAAAGACCGACCCTTTAGTAGTTGAATACTACTCGTATTGCTCCTCGATCTAGACTATATACTAGATGAAGCCGACAATAGGAAGCGAACAATGAAAAGAGTGATGGAGTTGCATTGTTGGCTTCTGCCATTATGTTTTATTTTATTTTACGTGATTGCCTCGAGGCAGGTCGGACAGCCGGCTCGACTAGGCGCTTGCAACTGGCAAGAAGAATGAGCATCAGAACATCAATGAGAAGAACTGCTTTTTGCCTCGTTGTGCCCCATTTGAGTGCATTATCTGTACGTATACAAAACTCAAATCATCCTCCAACTCCACAAAATCACCTCTTCTTCTACTGACCGACTCATCCGCCCTACGACCAACGCCCATAACTCATTCTCTCTCACACTCGCTGCGCGCTATTTACGACTGACGACTATAACACCATGATGAGTCGTGTACAACGCTCTTTTGAAAACTTTGCTTTGCTACAGGCTGCCTCAGAGGGCTCTGCTACCGCAGTGCGCGATGCACTCCAATCTGGAGCTGACATTAACGCGTCTGACAACTCTGGCAGAACTATTCTGACATGTGCTCTCACCGCCGATAGGTGAGTCATTCTCTAACGCGTTGAAATTTTACTGAAACGTGCTCAGGTGGGAGACCATTGACGCGTCTGACGCGTCGTTTTTGTCTGAGGATCGCCTTCAAGTCCTCCGCATAGCTGTGTCGCATCCAGAAATCTCATTATTCACGCTGAATGCTCCCCAAGACTCGATAAACGACGTAACTCCTCTTGGCATGGCAGCTTGGCTTGATATGCCCCAAGCAGTCCAAGTTCTTCTAGACTGCAGTTCAGGCTCTATCTCCGTCGACGCCGAGGATACGGATGGTGCAACACCTCTGATGTGTGAGTCTCGTCCGATTAGCATTAATTTTGAATTTCAATTGACGGCGTTATGACAGACGCGGCACGCGACGGCAGGTTGGCTATCGTCCAGCACCTGGTACGTTACGTTTAGCTCGCTCGGAGTTCAGATATCTGATCGCTCTTCGGTAGCTTGCTCATAATGCCAGGCCTGATCTCAGAGACCGAAATCATCGATCTTCGCTCCAATTCGCTTTACCCCATCCGCGCGTCTTGTGGACATGCGAACAGGCGCTACGCAACTACCGCTTGCGCGAATATCAGGTAACCGATTTGCAGCGCACGAGTCTGGGCACAGGTACTGATGCAGTTGTGATAGAACGGAAACAAGAGAGGTCTTTGCAACCCCAGCCTCGCTATTAACCATCTATCACCGCAAACCTCCGCTCAGCTCAACTTCGCGCCAAGCATCCCCCCTGCCACGACTTTTTCATCTGAATCTATATCTTTCATCACCGACTCTGTTGTACAAGCTGTTCTCGCTGCCGATCTTTCTGTGCTGTACCCCCTGTTGTTTACACAATCCTTTGAACCTTCCCCATTGGACCCCGGACCGATTCTTGTAAATGTACCCGATCTGGAAGGATGGAGCGCCATTCACTACTGCGTATCTGTACCAAATCCATCGATTGAGATTCTCGACGCCCTGTATCGCGCTGGCGCCGACGTCAGCTTGTTCACTACCGGCGAGCACTACACGCCTCTCCATTGTTTTGCACGCCTCGCACGCGCCTATGATGACATTCCAGAATCTCCACAGTTATTGTATCAATTCGCTATCCATCTTATCCGTGATCTCCGCGCACCGCTCGCGGCGCCCGACAAGCATGACGAAACTTGTATTCATGTAGCCGCCGAGCACGGCGAATGTCTTGATGTACTCCTCGCTCTTCTTGATTGTGACACCACAGGCACCATTCGCAATCTGCGCAATTCCCGAGGGTGAGTTTATTTGTGTTTCATGTTCCTCCATCAAGGCCATAACAAATTCGCCACAGCCTCACAGCCTTCGAGGTCGCACGCCCAATATTCCGTTCCGCATTTAGTCCTGATGGACAGTTCATCCGTCCAGAGTCGTCTCTCTCCGATCGCACCATAAGGCCAGGAACTTCGAGTTCTATTACATCTGTCACCTCTTTCACGGACCGCGCTACCCCGCTTTCCCCGCCCACGGTCCGCATTTCCAATGGCCCAGCCTCTCATCTTCCTCTTGATTTTGATGCGACTGCATCCACGGAACGCCTACTCGAAAACTTTACCCTGCTCTCGACCGAAGCTCAATTTGTCCGTGACCATGAAGGGTTGGATCGCTTGGCCAGCGTGGTGAATGAGACCTCGCAGTTAGGGCACGACGTGCTTGCCCACTTCAGAGGGCAGGTAGATGATGCAGCGAGTGACCTACGCGATGTGCGGGCAGCTCTCAACGCTATCGATCATTTGTGGAATACCACTTCGCACGATGTGGAAGAACACCTTCGCACACTTCCTGATGGCCGGAGTCTCGAGCGCTTCCTGGAACGCAAACGCTCGCCTAGGGACTCTGAAGACTCACAAACCACTGCAGTAGAAGTTCAACCAATTTACGTCAAGTCTATCCTGAAGGAGACAGAACCCAAGGTGTACGCTGATGCTTCTGTTCTCTCCGATCCTTCGGCACCTGTGCCTCTTGAGACGACATCTGCATCCGGCGCACGCACTGTTCCTTGGCCCGAGTGGTTGGATAGCTTCATTCTCAGTGCAGACTCCACGACGTACAAAGCGCACCTCGCGAATCTCATTGAAATCGAGCGCGAATTGTTCTCCCGCGAGACGATGAGCTCACTCGAAGAAAAAGTTCCCAACAAAGAGACCAAGCTTAAGAGCCTCCTACGCAGTCGCAAGCGCCACGAGAAAGTCGAGAAGAGCGGGGCGTCGAAACTCAAGGCCTGGCTGAAGAAGAAAATTGTGGCGGAGAAACCCATGAAACTGCAGATTGTATACGACCTAGACGGCGAATGTGCAGTCGGGAGGGAGGTTAAGGTGGACTTTACGCAGCTCTCTATCACGATCTCGGATTCAGAGAAGCCCTCAAGAGCCGCATCGTTGTCTTCGCCTCCTTCAAGTGATGAGTCTCACTCATCCCAGGTGGTCCTCTCTGGTGCAAGTCGTGACTTGTCGAGTATCGACGAGTGCCTTCATGGAGTATGTTCAGTTTCTGTCGCCCCTGCTTATGTGACTAATGAACTTGTTCTAGGTTGACCATCTGATTTCTACTGCCTGTCACTCAATTTCCCGTGCTGAGCGCATCATCAAGCGCGCCATTAAAACGCGCGAAGCCATGGTTCAAAATCTCCGTTCGCGGTACCCTCCTGTCTACAACCCCATCTTTGCATTCTCCCTTGCCCCCTCTGCATATCCCGATAACTGCTCGCGCTCTTTCTACCTCTCTCCCGACAGCGCCGCCTCCTCGCGATGCTCTTCCGCCCAGTCCTCGAATATATCCCTAGCCGCCACCATACACGACGATGAAGACGAAGACTCACGAGCATTGCGCAGGCTCCTCCTGCGAAAAATCAGCGCACGCATCGATGGCGCTTTTGACGAGATCGACCGCGCAAACGTATGGTTACGAATCGTCAAGAGTGTGCTGCGCGACCTCAAAATGCGGACGACGGCATAGGCTGGATAAATGTTGTATGTTATTTGTGTAATGTATCTGTGTATATTATTGCTTCATCTATAGACTCAGTATCTCATTGTCCCATTCCCATCTCCCATTGCATCTGTACACTGTATATACGTACGCATCTCGTAGACACTGATATATGCATTGTTGTTGTGTTACTTTTTCGATATTTCGTTGCTTTACCTTTGTGTGAGGGTTTTTGTGTTAGTGATAGCTTGTACATGGGCAATACAGACGAGATCGTGTTGGAATTGTGCGGGCCCTACTACTTGGCATTAATATATATTACAACCAAACGGTATGTACCGCTACTGAAATGATAGTTTTGGCAAACAAGCAGAAAGGTTTGTCAAGATCGGCACAAGTCTTATCTAGGTAGGAATTCAAGTGCATTGCCTCGATTGAATCAAGCAAGATTTCTTGTTTTTATTGCAGATCTGCCACGCTTATACCATGGCCAGGTCTAAGGTCCCTCAATATCTTCGTCGATTAAGCACATGTACAGACCTCGGAGGGGCAGTGGTATGACAGGTGATTCATCTATTGTGTGCGAGTATGTTCTGCGGGCTCGGGACAGCGAGGCGGAAATAGCGCAGATAGGCAGAGATGTGCTCATCTGTGCGGCAGTCTTTGTCGAAACAGATGGCGCCTAGCCTAAGCAGCAGGGATTATGCATGTCCTATCATTACTGTTCAGGTAGAAGCATACTTGAACTTGGCATTAAAGTAACAAAGGTTGTTCCCTGGGAACACGACTATTTAGATGCGCTACAAGTCGGTCGCTGATGTTGAAAAATGTGACACAACACAATGTTGGATTGCCAAGACCTACTTTGCATTCGAAATCTACTTAAATACACCATATCAGCACCATGACAAACTGTAGATGAAACTCTCGTGCTCCCTGCAAACAACAACCCGACAAGTGTTACTCACTTGTAGCGTGTCCCTTGCTATACACAACTGCCAGTTGACACAAGGTCGCGCTCCTGGAAGATGATGGTGGTGAAGGACGGTCCAGAATCAGAGTTGACTGCGAGTTTAGCGTCATATTCTCGGACACCAAGGATGAGACGTGGTCCTAGCACGAACATCTGTACGAACAACAAAATTTGAAAAACACCATCGTAAACCTCAGTTCCCACAGAGGATGAGTCCTACAGAAAGGATGAACAGTGTCACAGGCGCGCGAACTCGATGACATATATATCAGCTTACATATAACTTTGGAGAGAAACCACCGAGGCCAAGGGAACAGACAGCAACTGAACTAGAGTACAAGGAACCTCAGTGGAAAAGATGACCACATTCAAATTAGGAGCTCACAATACGAAATAAATCGTGTGAATTTTTGTCAACACCATGAAACAGTTTGCGATGGTCCCTCCCATCGATAGTTGTTGCACTTCACGAAAGTGTTTTACAACAATCCAGACTGCAAGACACAGCACGAGAACCTCCCATACAGTGCCGAGTATCCAAGTCATGGAAATCAGAAGTTTGACAACTCCTCCGTAGTCATAATGACACAGATAGGAGCCGGACAGGACGAACTCCTCTGATACTCGATCGATAAGCCCTATACGCTTTAGTCTTTCATTTATAAATGAAGCTTACCTCCAGAAATATGGCTGTTTACTAATGCGGTGAGCACTGTGCAGGCGATCGTGACAGGTAGGAAGATTGCAATGAGAAAGATAAGCATATTTCCCGATCGTTGATACATGGCATATAACCGACTGCTCACGATCACTTGTATGATGTTTCATTCGAGTCAATATCATTGAAGTATTGCAGCTGCATAACTCACCGCACAGTATGACAGTTATCACCAAAGTCATCCAGTTTGATGCGAGGTACATGATACTGCCTGAAGGATCCAGTTAGAGACGAGCGTAAAAGGACCAAGAGACTCACAGCTGTTACAGTCATTATATTCTACCAGCAAGTCAGACATGAATCTCACTCACCCCTACATAGGAGTGCAGGTAATTGAACGGGAGTGATAAGCCTCAGTAGAAAACACTCACTGCATCTGTTATTGAGACCGACGGAAGACTTGCTGAACACTACTGATCAGAAGAGAAAAACACAGTGTATCTGAGGAGACATACATAGCATGATAGCGCTAGTTACGATAATGGCTGATCAGTACAGCCCCAAATGGTAAGCCTTGCAAACATACACGGCGTATGGTAGTCCAGCGTAGCGCACCTAGAATGTGTTGAAGTCAGCACAACTGGCCAGCTGCACCTGTAACATAAGCCACGCACACTGAGATATAGAATAGTCATGTAGGACCAGGGTTGTCTCTGCCTCGTGTTAATTGTATACACTCGCTGTTGATGTGGCGATCTCCTCACCCAGATCAGTTCAAGCTATAAAAGCTTTGTCAGTGAAACAGCCACTTGCTCCAGTAATAGCGGCATCAACCTACCTCTTGTCCAAATGTTAATGCTGGAAATATCGTGAGCAAACCAGTGGTTCCGCAATACTATCTTGCTCACCCCAATCGTAAACGACCGCAGCAAAGGAGGCGACTGCAAAACCGTGCTCGAGGTTAGATCAAGGTATCAGCAACGCCCTCAACGAACCTAAAAAATAGCTGAACAAACGATATGAATTAATTAGCGGCCACGATGTAGGGTCATTTGACACTAAGGTCATATTGGAGGGAAGGGTTTGAGTGAGTGTGGTGGACTTATTGAACATATGACGATGGCGTTTGCGCTAGATATAGCACGATCCGGCGCTTTTGTCGCCGAATAAGCCATATGAAGATGAATGTACTTTCCTGCCACATCGGTTGACTCAATTAAGCAGAATGCAAAAGTCCTTGATATCAAATTGAACATGCAAAGCTTGTGCAGAGCAGTGTTAAACGCGAGGAATACAACACCTCGAAAAGCTGTTCGTTAGCTACGGAACTCGATTTTCAAGAGCTTGCCACACTTACATCAGTTCAGGAATTTCATAGTACCACATGAGAACATCAGTCTGACGGAGGCTATGGGGTGATGCAGCATCTGTTGCCCCATGCACACCTCTCGCCCTCTGTGTGACTCTGGTGCAAAAGCGGTGCATAATGCACGCGAGTAATCCATCAAACACATGGTGCATCAACTTGCACAGCCAAATGGCCGTTCTGGTTGGCAACCCACGACTGCTCTGGTCAATATATGTCATGCTATCCCGAATAGCTCAAACGAGAGCCACAAGGCACCGTTACTACCACGCGCCGAGAAGCCCGACTTACTCGTTTTTAGAATGTTACGAGACCCATTACTCGATGTCATGGAACGTTTTAGTCGTTGCATGCCAGTGGCCTTCTACTCTGGCTTAATTCCTCCATATTGAGATACTTATGCTATAATTAAGTGGATGACTTTCCGTAGGCTCGAAAAATTCTTACTATCGGTTACTATCATTCCGTTACGGTCCACTATTCCGTGAGTCACACTTAAGTCACGAATAGTAACAGACAGTCACACTGGCCAAATTTACAGTCTGCTCGACAGACGTTATTCGTGATTCGTGAACTTTAACAGCAGTTAATTAGGATACTACTAGCAAGTCTGTGAGCTATAGTATGTATGGAGAACTATATAGAACTAGTAAATGCAAATGATTAATGCTGTGTAAAAAAAATATTGCTGAGGGAATGTGTGCGAATGTAGGTAGTGATACATAGGTGCATTGTGAAATTCATGACTCAGATGTGGGGGTTGAGCAAAAAAATATGGTGGATGTGGTGCGGGAATGATGAAACTAGTATGAGAAGGCAGATGTATGAAATGTGGTGGCAAGTGTCCAGGCTGGGAGGAACTGGAGGTTGCAGGAAGTTCTGGTGGTTGGCTCAAAGTTGAAGCTGCTGATGCCAATGCTTGCCAGGGATCCTTCCACTAATCTTGTTGACCTGAGCACGTAAATCACGAGGGTGCGCAGGACACGCAGTGCCAGATTCGTGAGCCAGCCAATCCTTGACAGCTTCCTCTTCAGATGGCTGGAGGAGCTGCCATGACCAGGAAAAATCCTTGCGAGACATATGACCCTTGCTCCAGTCTTTAAGAGCCTGCTGTGTGACCTGTGCAATGAAATTAGCACCGCAGCAACTTAAAAGATAAATCATACTTTGTTTACCCTTGCAGCTACTGTTTAATTCTTGTAGGTGCCATTTGTAACACCCTTGAGTGCAGCCTGGATCCTGAACTCACACTCAGGGATGGTAGATGCCGCCAGCTTGCCTTGGCGGCAGCCCATGGCATAGCAATTGAGCCCAGCTCAGTGCAGTGCTCACGGGTGATGGATTGCAGCTGCATTGAAACACGCTGTTAATTTCAATGTCTGACGTCAGCAGCTTTGGCAGGTGATACCGATCCATGATTTTTGCTGCTGTCACACTGAAAACACAATCTCCATCATTTCTTAATGGATTTGATTTTTTTCACTTGGAACATGCTACAATAGTATGTAGAATATACTTAGTGAAGTAGCTAAACAATTGCTTTAACATTGAGTGCTGTAGACAGAATTCACAGAATGGTGGACTGTAATGGAATGATAGTAACTGATAGTATTAGAATATCATACCATAGAATTGGCCACATTAGGCAGGTGTGCCGCGATGCCGCTATTCATTTTCACATGATTACCAAACATGTTCTGTTTTGCCCCCCTCAATAAACCTTAATCTATTGGGGGGGGGTACCCCCCCAATAGACTTTGCAGATGACTTCCATCCATTTTAGGCCACTAACACCAGCGATATACGCTGACATAATCAGCCTTGCTCGAGATGCATTGCATGCAATGTAGCACCTTGCACAGTAATACCGAGGTGCATTTCAACCTTTTGTCAACTATACTAATGTCTCTTTCTCCTGCCACTATCTAGATGTTATCTAGTGCCATGTGGAATGTCCTTGGATGTCCATGCCCAGTAATGAAGTTACTACCTGGCCACAGCAACCAGTCTGCCTCTGGTGCCTCCAATCT